TCCGAGCTCGAGCTACAGCGGCCTTCAGCGAGGAGAACGAAGTCACCGTTGCTACGATCGCGTGGCCGAGCAGAAAGGAAAGCGCAAAGGCCTACGGGTCGAGGTTGTTTACCTAACCAGAGTCACTGATGCGCGGAGGCTCCTGGCCGACGGGTTCGTCCACGCCGGGAGAGAATCCGGCGTGACTAGCACCTTTGAACATCGCCCACGACCGACGTAATGTAACAATTGTCAGGAGATTGGACATAATGCATTTCAGTGTAAGAACGTCCAGAAGTGTGCAAGATGCGCCGCGGAGGGCCATCGCCACAGTGACTGTAACCAAACGGTTCTAAAGTGCGTTCCGTGTGGAGGCCCGCATGAATCGTATAGCAAGAACTGCCGGAAGCTCTACCCGTCACGCCGTGAGTAGGATTCTATGAAGGCGCGAGGGATGCCGGAGGTGCTGCTCCGGTGGATCGAGGCGTTCTGCTCGGAGCGAACGGCGACCATCCAAATCAACGGGCAACTATCTGAGGTCCGAAGCCTGCCACAGGCTGGCCTGCCCCAGGGCTCGCCCCCGTCTCCAATCCTGTTCCTATTTTTCCACGCAGATCTCATACAACGAAAAATTGACAGCCAAGGTGGTGCAGTTGCCTTCGTGGATTATTTTACCGCGTGGGTGACCGGACTGACCACGCAGAGCAGCCGGGAAGGCATTGAGACCATTATCAGTGAAGCACTTGACTGGGAGAAGAGACTGGGAGAAGGGAAGCGGAGCGACTTTTGAAGCAGACAAAACGGCCATCATATATTTTGCTCCCAAGGCCTTCAAACTGGATCAGGAACCCTTCACCATCAAGGGGCAGTCCGTCGAGCAAAAAGACCATTCTAAGATCCTGGGGGTCCTCATGGACACGAGACTCAAGTACAAGGAGCATATCGCGAGGGCAGCATCCAAAGGTTTGGAGGTCGCGATGGAGCTTCGCAGACTTCGAGGTCTATCTCCTGCGACAGCGCGGCAGCTATTCACATCAACGCTGGCGCCCGTCGTGGACTACGCGTCCAATGTCTGGATGCACGCATGCAAGTATAAGGCCGTGGGGCCGATCAACCGCGTCCAAAGGGTAGGAGCGCAAGCCATTGTGGGGACGTTCCTCACGGTCGCAACCAGCGTAGCAGACGCGCTGAAGAACATTGAGATGGAAACACTGGAGACCATCGGTCCATTTACGTTAGCCCCATAGGAGGAACGCATGCAGACCGATGTTGATCAACCGCAGGATTTCCAGACCAGAGCAGGCGTGTACATGCAGATCGCGGTCAGCAGCTCGGCACGGAACGAGCTGGTCGGATTTGGGGTGGCGATCGAGAGGCAGCCACCTCGGTATCGAAAACTTAAACTGAAGACCATTTCCGTCACATTGGGTGCAAGAGCAGAGCAAAATCCATTCTCTGCGGAGCTAGCAGCGATGGCACATGCGTTGAACATGGTAGCTGGACTGAAAGATCACCGGATTACGCTGCTCACGAGCAACAAAGCGGCGGCTCTGACACTAAGGAATCATCGACAACAGTCAGGCCAGGAGTTCTTCTGTAAACTGTACAAGTTCATAAGAAAGCTACGGAGAAATGGAAACCAGGTCAATGTCCGGTGGATCCCGACGAGCGAAGACAATAAAATGAGGGGTCTGGCTAAAGAACAGGCCAGAGCCGCGACACAAGAAGATGCTCTCCCGCAAGAACACATCCCGAGAATGAAGTCAACAACACTGAACATCGCACGCTCCCAAGCAGTCCCCAGCAATGACCTGCCGGTGAACGTAGGGAGACATGCCAAACGAGTTGATGCAGCATACGCTCAAGACGGGCGGTTTGCCGGCCACGGACTATGAGCCAATTGACCCCAAGGCGGAGCGCAAGCTGCTTCAGAAGCTTGACCTTGTCATCTGGCCTGTCTTCTTTGTGATTTACATGATGTCATTCCTGGACCGCATCAACATCAGCAATGCTCGCATCCAGGGCATGGCCGCTGAGCTCGACATGCTTTACACGGGGATGCTCTCCTACACGGGGTTCCGTCATCGGGAGATCTTCAGTACCCGCCGTCCGTCTTCAACACAACCCCTGAAACAGGAAGATTGATGTTTACTTGGGAGGCAACGACACCTCATCATCTTTAATAATTTCGCGTGCGGACCGCTTTCTTCCTGGCAAAGAACGAACCTTTGATCCTACATTGACATCGTCTTTGGTGCAAGGGTCAGTTTCTAGTCAAGTATAAACACCTGCGGACCATATCCCTGAATTTTCTTGAAGAATGCCAAAGATACATCACGATGACTAAAAGGCAAGGCGCTTTAAACGAATTCTTAAAGCAATAGAACACGTGCATGATTTACTTTTGCAAAGACTAGTTAAATCATCATCGATACTTGGATACAGTAGGAAGGGAAAGCGCATTGGAGCCCCTGTCAGCGGGTTCAGGTTATTTAAATGACAATATCATGAAAAGAGAAACGTTTTGTCTGGTTCATGCGGCTGGGATTGCGAAGAGACTAGCATCTTCTTAAAACCTTCCGCCTGTTTCTTGGGAACTTCGGAGTCAGCCGCAAAGCTTTTCAAAGTTATTGAACGCGTGCTAGCCTTGCTTTTTCGTAAAGCAGCTTTGTGTATGCCCGGTTGGTTGGTTTCCGCTCGTTCAATACGTCAAACAGCTCAGAAACGCGGACTGGGTTCAAGTGGGATTATACCCCATGATGATTTCTGGCTGTGAGCTCTCAATGGTTTGGCCACACCTCTGAACAAGGCGGTCACGTCCTCTCGGTTCGTAGCTGAGATGAAAAACTTATTTTTGTGGGCTCAATATGATGGGACCTTTGCCTCACCTTCTCCTTGCACGTAGACTTGGACTAAGCATCTGGCTGCCTGCGAAGGTATGGCCCCACTGTCATGAAGCAAGACAAAATCACCAGCATTCCTCGGGTTTTTTGGAGTTCCAGGATTGAAAAGACGCGAGCTACTAACCGAAAACATTGAGGATCACCCATTGGACGCCAGTAAGTCGATCCACAAGGAGGCCATTCTTTCGAATGCCGAGACATACGGTGGTACGGTGGTTTAGTCCATTTGTGGCTTATTCGGGTAGACACATCAGCACATGACATGGAAGGGCCAAGGCAGACGATATGAACCTTTCGGTGACTCATCATCGATGCGAGTAGTCATATGGAACGGATCATACAAACGCATCGGCATAGAGGAGCTCGAGCAGACAAGGCATTTGCTCACGTCACATTCTAATCGAATGACGGGAATATGAGTGACCTGTTGTATGATCTAAGTCAGCAAGGCTTACTACTTGGACGAGTTGTTATGACTTACCTGTTCATATATTTTGCAGCATGCTCGCTTGAGATGAGGCGATCAATTAGCTTCTTGGTCATATATTACCGATGAGATCACTTACAATTGCCTTAATGGAGTCACCATTCATCGGTGAATTGGACCAGCTAACTCATTACTCGTATATTTGATCGGTTGGCGTGAATGGCAGTGCGTCTGGTAGGAATCATATCTCTCGCAAGCACTGTCTGACTTGCTGGTCCACGATATATTCTATGAATGTCAGTACAGTGTAAATCTCAGTACTGGGTCATTGGGAGAGGACTTATCAAGTGTCTCAGACATAAGCCTGCTCGACTTTGCGTAGTCAAGTGAATAAATTGTAGAGCAAATTGCCGGGGTAGAGGACGTATTTATAGGCTTTTCGGTTTCTGTCAGTTACAAGCTGGGCAGGCAGTATTGAAGGACACCTGTCCTAATTGAGGCCTATTGTAACCCACGTCTTTTTTACCGCAACTATTTGCAGCGACATTTGTAATGCTTTAGATGCTCAGCGAGAGAGACAAGTAACAGTGGTGTTGAGAAAAGGATGCTGGGTCGGTCAAGAAACGTTGGCTGATTGTTGAATCCTTCACGGCCCTCTTAAATTGAGGTTTTGTGGTCCATCCGCAATGACAAGCTCATGTTTCTTGTTCTGATACCTCATCAGTGAGCGATTCAACGTTGAATCACCGAAAAACGCCTACAACTTCATCCCGAGAAGTCATGGATCTTTTTTTTCCCTAGCCTCGCTTTAGTGTTGTGTTGTTGCGTTGAGCTGTAGTCTGTGATTCATCACTAGTGCATGCGAAGTGCCATATCGTGATCCGCAATAGTTCCTTCGTTGATGTTCCAACGTGCGCCTTGTTGCACTAAGAGCCTAAACACCTCACGGTCGCCATGTGCGGCCGCTCGACTAATCGGTGGATCTGCCAAGCCCCTTCCATTGATTTCCACACCCTCCACCTTCAACAGCATCGCCGCCGTTTTAACGCGTCCGTGTACAGAAGCAGCGGAAAGCGGCAGTGGCCTGCAACAAAAAGGTCTGCATCGTCAATCATATGGTGGGACCAACTCACTGGCGGCGCATCTAGATATTGAAGTGGGAAGAGCGCGCTGGCGGTCTGACATCGCAGACAAGACGACGGGGGTGCTCAGTGCTCGACGGGGATCATGGGGAACTAAGCAGGGCGCCAATGCGGCCGAAATAGGAAAAAGATGCTGTTTTTCGAATATGTGTAAGATGCTTGCTTGTCTATGCTACGCGCTCGCGGGCTAAAACTACCATTCTGGGGCACTGTGGCGCACATGAGATGTGGCGCGGTTTCCCCATTACAGTACATAATAGAGATAAGTGATCAATTCTGCATGTGAACCAAAATGGGGATAAAAGCGTCTATAACTAGAAACAAGAAATTTCTTAGTTGACATTATGCAGGATATGCTAACAAAAAGTAATATACAATTTTAAGTGAGGTGTCTGATACTGACGTTGTAATATATTCTCGGGTGGATTCCCCGAAATTCATTTGCAGACCCATTATGTTTTGACGATATTTACCTTCTCATTGGATGTTCATCACGAGTAAGATGGAAGTCAAGATTTTCCGTAGGAATATATTACTCGAACAGGAGAGTCAGCCTGTGTTTGAATACACAGAGATCGCTTTAATGACCGGCCCTCTAGTTATTTCAGAATCAAAAACCTGAGCATGATCTAACTGTCCAAACCACAGCAGATCAAGCCCGTATCCTGACCAGGGCTTGTTTTTCCATGCCCGTGATGCTTCTTTCTCGGGCGTCTTGACTTCTGATGAACGACTCATCAAGTACTGCCCCACTGTTTCGGTATCCACAATCAAGTCTTTACCACTTAGAACAACTGTAACATTTCTACCCCCCTGGTTGTTTTCGGCCTTCAAGCCGAGGTCCTCCTTCCAAAGAATATTGTCAATCCAGGAAAATCTCCTTGCCAACGTATGCGCAACTCCTATATCTTTACTTCCAAAATACCAAAGTTGGTATTCATTGGCTCGGGCTGGCCGGCGGGCTATGAAGTTGTATGCCACGTCAGGCAGGTGAAGGAGGAATGACACCGGATCAAGAAACACTGTAGGCCCGATAAACGGACCAAACTCATCGGACTTGAGAAGGTGTGCAGCAATTATGGATCCATAAGAATGAGACACAAGCACGAACTTGGTCCACTCATGATAACGCATGATCTCCATGATCTCACAGATCATCACCTCATTTTCGAGAGCAGTATGAGTTATCCGAGAGCTTACCGGCATGATCTCAAGTGCGATGATGCCAACTTCGCCATCGTCTGTCCCTTCCATCTCTAGTTCACGTTTGAGGTCTCGGAGGAAGCTCGTATAAGGGTACAAGCCAATACCGATACCGTGTATGAATAGCACGGGTAGCCGTTTTTTGGATGTATGCTGTCGATGCCAGTATGTGAGATGACGCACCGGTGATCGGTAGGCGGTGAGTATCGTGAGAGGGCGAAATGGAAACACGGTGAAGAATTGCGACAGCGAATTGCGATGGAAATAGAATCCATTGTGCAACATCTTGCAGTACATTGCCGTGTCAACCATAAACACGCACTAAGTGAAATGAAATGTCAGTCTGATAGGCTGTCGCGCATTGAGGGAGAGAGAGAGGTAACTAACAGTGTACCATAGCAGACTTCGATTTGAACCCCCAGCTTCATTTAAAAGCCGTCCTAGGCCTTTCACATCCATACTTCCAGGTGACAATTTCCCTCCAATCAACTTCTCAATTTCTCTTGTATAGGCCTCGATTTCCCCCTCATTCTCCTGGTGTTGCAGCCAGGAATATTCAGGTCCGAATAAAGACCATCTGATAAAGTCTTTCACGTTATCGCGTTTGATAAATTCAGGTCCGGAGACCATAAGCCATCGGCTGAGATATTTCTCCAGGTTTGGCACATTCGCATTGCAATTTTGAAACAACCTCTCTCTGCGCTCAGCGGATAAAGATCTATGGCAGATAGGAGAATGCGAGAGGGCGAACTTGAGCGGTACGGTCACAGTGGTGAAAAAAACTGCCTCCGCAGTGAGCCAGATTTGAATAGGGTAAGGTATGTGTCCAAAGTGTGTTGGCAGGTGAAAAATTTGAACAACGACATAATGAACGCTGTACAAAGTACTGACTGGCACAATGCTGTGAAGAAAGAGAATGCAAATCCGAATAAATAAGTACTCAAGAGTAGATGTTCCAATCATAGTTGCCTCTAACAATGTGCCAAGTAGCATGGATGATTTGGCATTGATAGAAGAGCAGCGAGATGGAGAGAAGTTTGTCTACAGCATTGCCGATCAGTGATCAACTTGATCCCTGCATCAGGTATAGCCCGCGTGTAGCCTCCCAACAAAAACTTTCTCGAGAGGCTTTTCTGTTGAATTTAGCAACAACGTAAAGTAGCATGTGATTACATATGATGTAATTAGTGGCCAACCAAAAAGCCCACCCAGAATATTGACTGACTAAGCAGTGAACCAAAGCCGGCAAAGTGCCAAACAATGAAATGGAAAGACCCAATGCCAATGGTAAATTATCATTCCTTCTTAACATGGGAGCTCATCCAGATATCGAACTGACCAGGATACAAACGCTCTGGTATGCGCATCTGAGAGTTTGCATGTTAGACTCTCGCTCTTTAGACAATCTTCTTGACTTGCAGAATATACACAGGCTCCTATAATATAGAGCGAACCCTGTAGAACATCCCAGAAAAGCCCGATCTGCTTGTTCATCTGCTTAATACCAAACTACCACACCCATGTACGACGGGGAAGAGTGCTGATAGTCCAAGGGCGACGTACATTCGCACCCGAAAGGATTGCGATGAGGGGTGCCGAAACTGATGATTTGCTGAAATCGTGGCACACAGTAGGCCGAGAGAAGTGATCTTGCCAGGTATGTGTTAGCTTTTTCGATAAAGTAGGCGACCGGGAAGAAAAGTGAGGGTAGACCATGGTAACGTAGATTCTCTGCAAGTGAGGATGTCAGTAAAACCCGCAATAGATACTCGGAATAAAACTCCCGCCGATCAGCAATACAATGCCAATATAATCAACATGGTTTGCAATGCGTGCAATATACGAGGTATGGTCTTGAACGGTGTGAAAGATTGCCGATATCCCCAGGCAGAAGACGGCTCCGAAGAAGAAACAGTCAAACACCAGGGTATTTGCTTTGGAGAAGCTTGTGTATCTGTGTGAAAGCGCTTTATGAAGTGAGACGCCGAAGAAGGAAAGGGTAACCGCAGGGATGAGGTGGGAATATATGTTAATGGATTCATTATGGAGGTATATGAGGCTCGCGATTGATTTGCCAAAGGTATTGGAGGAAGTTCGATAACCGGTGAGAATATTTGGTTGTCACGTTGCCAAGAAGGTAGTTGATCCCATTTCCAAGGCATTTTTACACGGTTCTTGTGTTAGATATCCTTGGCTCTGATATTTTGGTGACGAAGTTTCAATGTCGTTTTCCTTCCGGATGAACTTCAACAATTACATAGCAATACATCTTGACCATCCATATTGCCGCTGATGTAATGAAAATATTTGCTGACTTGTAAGTGTGATCGAATAGCTCATTGCTCATTATGATAGCATGCGGATAAATGAGCCCAACAGTGACGTCACTTTCGAAATACAGGTTTTTACTCTTGATATTCTTTTTTCTTATGAGGCCTGTATTGGGGTTCAAAGTGGATACATAGAATTGATTTTGATGTCAAAACGAAACCCCACCCCCGATGACAGTCATTCAAATAAATCTTTCAGACCGCTACGGCCATTACTAAAAGCTCTCCAGAGAGTGCAGAACTAAGCCGAGTCTATTTACTGGACTGGCCTTTAACGACAGGGATCGCACATCAACTGTTCTAAATACCATTATCTGTTCAGTCTCATGGGCTCACACAGTATCATTCATGGTTTTTCTGCCTCACAACCCTCTTCTTCGTACCGGCTTCGTCCGCCACCTGCGGATGATTTCCCACTTTCTAGAAGCACTCTTCTTCCCAAAAGTCCTATAACGGAAAAGAAAAGTCATCAATCGTGTCTGGGTTGTTCGTTAGCAGACGATGACGAGGAAGCCGAAATTGATGGCAAAAGAGTTACTGAAGATTCAATCGACGAAGATGGCTCCTTGGACTGGGAAGACTCGGTCTCCGAGCATGTCTTGCCCTCAGCATCGATGGGAAAGAAACCTTTCCGATGCAAATTTTACAGCCGGTCGTTGTGTCGCGGCCATCGCTGCTCACCGCGATTATGCATCAGTCTCCGCCATTGACTGGTCACCCTGCCAAGACAATAGACACAGGAAGGACTGACTCGCCACCAGCACTTCGACGGTTACCTATTGAACCAACTGGTCCTTCTTTGACAACTCCACAGGACGATGATGGCAGTGAAAATATTCAGACGATGCGCGCTCTTCGTATTCCAGATTCCAATCCCGGCGCTGCAACGTCCTCATCCTCCTTTCCTAATGCATTATCACCTACTACTACTCAAGGGAATATGCTGGCGGATGAGCTCGACGAGTCGCTCAAAGTCTATGTGTACTGGGAGCATAAACAGAAAAGCACCACGGCCAACGCGGTTCTCAATCGACAACCTAATGCTCATTCATCATTAGGACAATCTCACGAGATTCACCTATGGAATCAGTGCTTTGATAGCGAAACGTGGGAATATCACGTTAAGGGTTGGCAGCATTGAAATCTATCATACTGATTGGGAGGAAAGCCGTCAGATAGACCTCGAAAGGCCCCATGACAGGAAAAGCAGACCATAAAAATACACGTGACTTGCATAACTTCGACGATATTCCTGAGTATTCGTACTATTTTGTAGATAGCCCATTAAGCCTCCGGGTCAAGGTTTCATGTGTTATTCATGGAAGCTTTGAAATGCTCAATAATAGTATCATATTTGTTAAATCACAATTTTAATAGTGCTTGGGGACGGACCTCTTTCATCTAAAAGTCTTGAGCGTGTCCTGACTCTTAGAAGCTCACTGTGTCCTACAAATGCCAGTTGACACTGGAAAATTAGGAAGATTGAAAATTCTTGATATGAATCGAAGGAGCGACAACATCAATCAGAATCGCTATCGTCATCGTCTTTTTCTACTTCCCCTCCAACATCTCCATCCCCTCCCCCTTCTGGGATGACTTCGGGGGTATACCTGTAACAGTCAAGCCTTTCGGTAATTCTGGCCATCTTAGTGTCTCCATTTGCAGAGATGAAAGCAAATCAAGACGAAATTGCTCCCGACTGAGGCCGAAGCGACTCCAGCATGATGCCGCACAGGTCATCCCCCAAAAATGCGGTTTCTCTTTTTAAATACATTTGAATGTCTTAACTCTCGATCCATATCATTTTATGCACAGGGAAGAGTTATCACCATTAGGCAAAATATCGTAGTTCTTGTTTGCTATGGTGTACTTCCGAAAGCGAGTACTTCTATGATATTGATATCTATCAGTCGGGTCTCTCTTTTTGTTGTTGCTGTTATTATCGTTTGACTCCGGTATTGTGAGAGATAATGTGAACATTCTTGCAATGTTTCTCTTCAATAAAAAGTTCCTGCGTTGGACCGCTGCTGATTAGAAGCACATATTAATTATTATCTGGTATAGAGAAAAAGGGTGTAAATCCGAATGGCATCTGTATGCCGGCAGAAAAAGACCTGAAAAAAGTGGCACATCTGACATGCTGCCACCCTTGAAAATGCTATTTGATGGTAAGAGAAAGATTAAGAATCGTCAATCTCCCAAGCAAGCGATCTCTGAGAAATCTTCACCGGCCTCCCCCAGCCCACATAAGGTCTTGGATACGATGTATTCCAGTTGATCAGGCTTAGTGCCAAGACGCCTTTCTATCTCTTTACCGTTCTTGAAGACCAAGATCATTTCTTCAGTAACGTTGGCATTCGAGCAGATAGCAGGACATCTGTTAATGTTGATACCTACTACGTATAAGAGGTCGGCAGATTAATAAGCGCTCTTCCACCAGGGTGTTCCTTGATAAAATCCGTCACGTCTGGATCATACCGGCGATAACAGTAAGGGCTTTACCACTCTGAGACTCGGCAACGAACTTGTCCCAGGAACAAACAGGTAGCTGCTCCAAGGAAACACCCCAGTTTCTCCTGGCTCGCTTTTGATCAATTTTCTTTTGCAGCTGCTGAACGCGGCCTTTTTCGATCTCGTTGGCGCGGAAGTTCTTAAGGTTGGAGGCAAGGCCAATTTGCTTCCATACCCATATTGACCATTTGGTCGGATCATAATGCCACCACTCGATGGCGTTGCGGTAGTCTGAAGGGAACTGTCTGCGAGTTAACATTGAGACAAAAGACTGGATAGAAAAGTTTGCTTGCCTCATGGTGAAAGTTTATGATAGCCTTCGCCAAGGGTAACAAGGGCAGTGATAACATGATCGCGAGGTGAGTTCCTATCATCAAATGGCTAGAAGGTCGTCAATGTGTATGAAGAGGACATGGTAAGGGCGATGACTGACCTGATCACCTAGCCAATGGGCAAGAGAATTGACACAAAAGGTCGCCTGCTGGAGGAAGAGTAACCTCAAGATACCCGCGTAAACCAAGCCGCCCTTCCAATCACCCCACTCTAACCCAGCGATCACCATTGGGAAAAGCATCCCGAAGACGAGAATGAATCTACCATAGTATTTGTGCTGCCACACGACGATGGAGTCATTGTTCAATACGGAGATATCCGTGCGGCCACGATACTTGGGGTTGTGATTCAGCACTATCTACATGAAGTGAGAATACCAAACTCCCTTTCGAACACTGTATGGGTCTTTGACGATATCGTTCCATGGATGATGTGCCCGGTGCTTGCTACTCCACCACCGAATGGAACCTTGGGACGGCACCACCGCCGACGCAGGCAAGAAAGATTCTTAATAGTAAGGAACTAGAACAATACAAAATTTGTCAGTTCTGCCTAGGTAGTGAACAATAACGGGAAGGTGAAGATAGATGTAACGAAGACTTACGCCTCATATGATCGATGTGCCCATAAACGGTGATAGCCAGCAGCAATACCCAAGCCAGTCCAAAAGTAAAACATAATAGCCCAAATAGCCGTTGGGACCTGGATTTGAATGTCAAATGCAGCAACAAAACCGAGAAATGGAACGGTCACAATTAGAGTAGTATTGACCCAGTTGACATGGCGATGCCAATTGTGCAATGTAAGAGGCTGCTCGCTGATGTGCAGCTCCTTGCCCTTTAACACAGTGTCTGCCATCATAGTGATGGTATTTTGGACTGCAAATTACTCAAAAGTATATGGGTTGAGAGTTCTCAGAAAAAGTTCAAGATGAAGAAGACCATTTACAGAATGGAAAAAGAAAGTTGGTTCATTCCAGGTTATAAGGCTATAAGGCCATAATTATGATATGATAACATGCAATAGAACACCTTCAGTCTCATGTGGAAGTGATATGTTGGGTCTCTTCATTGATCCTGGATTATGTTGGGTCGTTGGGACGAGGGATGGTGCTCGTCATCTCACCCAATATCTACCCGCGTCATAGTGAACAGCTCACCGAATCTGGCCGAGTGCATAGTTTTATTTCGCGAATATAGAAGTGTAAAAAAGATAATTACGTAGGAAACTGCACCAAAACGAACGTCATGGCCCTGTTACCGCTCAGTGGAGTGCCCTTGTACCTTCTCACTATCTGTCGCTCCATAGCTCCCTCATATCACTGGAGTCGCCACCTCCTGCACAACCATCAACCAATCGGCGAACTTTGGACTATCGTGTTAAAGATCTGCTAGCACCTTTAATGTGGGTTGGAATGTCTCGGTGTCTTTATGGGCTATGCCGATGCATGTGAGTATGTACTCGGTTTTACGATCACTACCAAAGCCAATCAACGCGGTCAGATTCGGATTTTAATTGTTTCTCAATAGGCTGTTGTAGTCCATTTGATATTAGTGAAAGTGGTCAACGAGCTGATTGGTGGGGTTTGGTCAAGTCTAACGTCGTTGAGAGTCAGATCCCAAGTATTCAGGTCTATGAACTTGTGGACTTGGGTGAATTTGGCAAGCGAAGAGCGTGCTTTGAATGCCCGTGTGATGGTGGTGAAAGGGTTGGTCTCGGTTTTTGGCAGGACTCGATATATCTGAGGCATCCCATCAACGCTTTTAGTCACTGCTCGGATAATCATTTAGAAAGGAACGATACATATATACTGTGCAATTCAAAGATGTGTTGTTTGCTGGTATGAAATACCAAGAGCGGGCAATCGCGATGTGTAGCGGCTGTCGAGTCGATTTCATGTTCAATAGCTCAACTGGTGGTGAACGCCTCTTGAGGAAATATATAATAAGAAACTCACAACATCTTCCACTTTCGAAGAAAGCGTTTGAAGCATGACAGATGAATTCATACAAAAGCCACAGTCATCAAAAAGTAGCAATACAATTAGCAAGAACAATTATATCATGTTTACAAGTTCATAAAAACCAGAAAGTTCTCTGGATGGCAAAGAAATTGCGCGCGTCGGAGTACTAGAGGCTACCAATGTATCTTGTGGACTTTCACGTTCCAACAAGTGAGTCAATGGACGACCAATCTTCAGCGTGTTGATTCGCGTGCGCAGGTACCTGCACACGCAACAGTGACCATACGCCTTCTGCAGTCTAGACGCAGACCAACCGCACAATACATCCAGTAAAGCGAGAATAGAGACGAAGTCCATGTAGGGATGAAATTGTAGCCACTTATTAGTGATTCAACGTTGGGCTATTAACAGTTGAGACGATAAAAACAAGAAACATGAGCCTGTAATTGCTGATGGAGTAGCTACCAACGCACCGCAAAGCCTCAATTTATTGGTGACCTAACGCAGTCAAGAGGGAGAAGAAGAGTGAAGTTTGGCCGTACAGTAACGGATCACCTGTCGCTGCGGTCTTAGGCCATAGCGTCAGTTATGGCCCGTCCGCGTAGGGATCCGAAAGGAATATGATTATTCCTGAATTTTCATGAATATTTGCGAATACAAATAATATGATTGATTTGTTGAGTATCACGGTGGCTGAACCTGATGGTGGGGATTAGGAAACATGAGGCATCTCGCCCTTGTAATCGAATTCCTGCCTAAGCGACGCCTCATTTCTGCAAGAAGATACTGACGAAAGTAAGGGTGGTAAAAGTCTACTAGTTTAGATTCCTCGCCGAGACTAACATATTGTTTACCTCGGTGCTATTGCATCATAGGTTTTTTTTCAACGTGGTTCAAGTATTCATTACTATTCGAAAGCCTCGTATTTTTCGGATAGACCATGGATTTTCAGTATGCAGTCTCAACGGACGCCCCTTGCTCCGCCCTGAGGCCGCGAAAAGTTTATAATCGCAAAAGCTAGGCAATATGAAAAGTTGGTGCCAAGTCGATCACTGCGTAGAGTATCAAAGATTGGACGGAATTTGGTGTTTTATTTCGTCCAAAATACCAATATTCAGAGATAGTAGAAGCTGTCGGATTGACGGATACTGGTATGTGCTAGTATTGAGGTGTCCCATTGAGATGCATTGATTGTTGTTCCATCTGGATCTTGCTGTTGAAGCGTTATCAGATCTCAGGAGTCGTTCCTAGCGTGTTACGACGCTAGTAGGTATGCCGAGCGTACCCCGTTTACCATACAGAGACAAAGAGAGAATGGGTACTTGGTGAATAACCCTGTCCTTAGTAGTAAAATACCACCCCTCAGTTCGACAGAAGCCAACGCGACAGACGTCATCATACTATCATTGGCTGTAAACAAATGTCAGTGGATTCAAGCCATCCTATGGGGCCGGATGCGGGTGTTCAGAGACACGCCGCTTGGTTTGGCTTTCGAAGTGGAGGCTAGCTTCGGTCGCAGTTCACAAATTTTTAATCAGATTTGATTACCACTGTATTTATTGCAACCCTTTTTGGTATGACGTTTGTAAACTGGGGCCTTGAGTGTAAGTATGATAAGCTTTTTTTCTATGACAGCCAAAGGCACTCTGTGATGTAATACAGCTCCACTATTTCATTTGTTGCTGTGAATTTTGCTTTCTCAGTTCTCTTTATTTCATTTTTAACGAACATGATGCGGCGGTTTTCGTGGCCGCGATGGTATATTTATTGGCATTGAGATCTGAAGGGGGCTCGGGCTGTGGCGTCTTGGATCAGCTGGATGGCTCACCGGATCCGCTCACACGGCTTACGAGGGTAATGAATAATAAGATTTGAAAGAACTCGGTCCTTTGCTTGTCAAGAATATCTTTGCCGCTTAAAGCAGGCTGGTCACCCTTTTGGAGCCCGGGAAACAACCATAGCTTTTTTTCGCATCATCCACGCAACCTTGGTTGCAATTGACTCGCAGGCAATTGTTGAATATCTACATGACCATTGGCAAGGTGTAAAATTGTATGGTACAACGAAGCATCTTTTCCCTCCCCAAATGCCGTCACCAGAACCCGCGAAGTTATTGAAGGAAGCTGTTACCCGCACAACCTCGAGGTTCCTCATTCGCCCAACTCGATGGCTATCCTGGTTCTAATCCACTTCACCCTAGAGGTTATTAGCAGGTATCAACTTTTGCAAGTGTATTCTGTGCAATCATTACTGGTACGTTTTCATACACACGACTCAATCGCTACTCGCACCACGGGTCATCGCGTGCCTTCGCCATCACCATATTTATCCCCCACAACCTAATATTTCCTTCTACCCTCTTTTTCCCATTTGATCTGGTACAGACACTTTCCAACTTTTTTCTCATCCACATCCTCAGCGACCTTTGATCCGACACTAGACTTGTTCATCCCTCTTTGCTAACCCTTTTGTTAGCCTTCAACATTCTTGCTTGCAAGAAAACTATTGTTCTAGCTGTACCCCGCCAAACCCTGATGTTGAGTACTCGCACCGTGCACTCAGCGACCTCGCTATTACGATCCTTCAGCTCGTCAGCCGTTGCCTATCGTTGTCCTTCTATCAGAGACATCACGGTCGAGTCCACTGGCGAGTTCCTCAGACGACAGAACGAGTTTCGCGAGAAGCTCAAACATGGTTGCTTGGGAAATAAACAGAAAAAGAGTCAGTCTGCTCATCATTTTATCTCTTCTTCTAATTTTTCCATAACTATGCTTCCACTGCTCTGCGGGTGAGTAGTGCGAACAGTTATGGTGGTATCCGACCTGTTTTTGGGGTAGCGGAGATGTGATTTTAAGAATCCACTGGGCTTATTCTCCATGGCTCTCTTTTAGGTCGAGAACAGAACCGAAAAGCTCCCTTCGAAAGTGGTCCATTGTCTTCGCTCATGTATGGTTCTGAGGAAGGTCGAAATTTCGACAAGGATATAGCGCGCTCCTTTTCACAGGCCCTGGCGCGCGGTAAATACGTCCACTCCATTGTCATGCACGATGTCAAGCCTGACAAGGTCGATGAATACGTTGAACTGGTGGGCCAGTGGTATCCCCAAATGGCGGGCACCAAGGAGAACCGCGTTAATCTAGTGGGCAGCTGGCGGACGCAAGTGGGTGACAATGATACATTTAGTAAGTTCGAACCCGACTATTTAAATGAGGCGTGTGAGCTAACCTTTCGGCGCTGAACAGTCCACATCTGGGAATACCAACGGTACGAAGGCTACCACGTTTCCCTTCACAACATCTCAGAGCACCCAGAGTTCCGTTGTTTCGATCGAAAACTCAAGAGCCTGATCAAGAGCAAAAAAACATCACTGATGCAAGAGTTTTCATTTTGGCCGACGACGCCGCCCCGCCGTCTCGGTGGACTGTTTGAGCTTCGATCGTACACATTGCATCCGGGCAAACTCCTAGAATGGGAAACACAGTGGCGTCGTGGTCTTGCAGCCCGTCAAGAGGTTATGGAGGGCGTGGGTGCATGGTTTGTGCAGATTGGTGACTTAAACACGGTGCACCACCTCTGGCAATTCGCCAATCTGGAAGAACGAAAGACCCGCCGTGATAAGTCGTGGGAAGTTGAGGGATGGGCCGAGACAGTGTACAAGACTGTACCACTTATCCAGACCATGCAAAGTCGGATTCTTGTTCCGATGCCGTGGAGCCTCGTCGGTTAGATTCAGAGCGCTGACTGAGGCGTTGCTCCTGATTGGGCATCACTCTACAACAGCCGGACCCAGTTTTATATCCCGAAGACCTATTGAGAGCCATGCAGAAGTTTTCTTACTGAGCTGGCTCAGTTTTGGTTTACCGCATGGTAAGGGTGCTTCAATGGAATAAAGCTCAGATCACATGCATGGTTTTGGTGCTTTATCTTTCCAGAACAACAGGCTGCTGGCTGGAGGAGAAGGGGAGAAAGGGGCCATTAGAAGACGACGGGACTGCCCTGCGGACCAGATATGTGTTTACGTCGTTGCAGACGAGCGCCAAGCTCTAGCGCATGCGGTTTTAAAACACCTCACATGCTGACTGTGCCCAAGTTGGTGGATGATTCACATGCGATCGAACTAGCTCGCTTTGTTATTGACAAAGAGGGCGACAATTTCGATTTTCATGCCACTTTTCTCATCAGGATCTTTTCGTAACTACTGGAGAGATTTTTATTTTTTCTCTATATCCCGGAGGACTCAACCACCGTCTAACATCACTTCTGCGTGTCGAATCAAGTCCTTCAGACGAAGGATGAACGTCGCATCCGCCGGACATCCGTGGGCCAGGTGTCGTATGTAATGCTCTCAAGAAATGCCTTCAAGATCGAGCGTTGTATTGAACAATTGTATTTTTTGCTTTTCCATCAGTAAATAAAAAGGCTATCCATTGAAATTAAAGATTTGAGGTACAAGAGACATATTCGCTCTATGATTAACAATGTGCTTGTGGTGAGCATCGATTTTTTCGCATTTCACGAGAAAGTAATTATTAGTAAGCTTTATGACGTCATAGACTGCAAGCCATCATACTTGAAGGTGGGCTGCTACACTTGATCACTTCAACTATGAGGTCGCTGCAAACACGATATCCTCCCTACCTCCAATCTCTGAAAGACAGATAGATGAAACACGAGGCAAAAGAGCAGATTTGCCGCACCTGCCAACAAAACGATCGATACAGCCACGAAGGAGCAATATGTTCCATCAGAAAGATAACCAGTCTGAGACTCCTCTTCCGGCAGGACATGAAAATCCACTGGAGTACAAGGACTTTCCATCAAGAAACGCTACAGTGGATGTCGAAAAGAACTATCCATGTTTTAGTCATGTTAATGATGGAGAACTTGAAAACAAAAATAGCTCCAAAGATGTGACCGGTACATATTACCAGCAAAAGGATTCCCGGTGGTCTCGTCTTCGTCTCTTTGTTGGGGCATTTTTTCTCCTATCGTCTCTTAATCTGGCCTATAGAGGGTTTGGACCGGTGCTACACATGGTAAGCCTCCTCGATAGACGACCAACATAACCTGCAGTATACAGATATTGACTAAGCACCAGTTAGAACACCAGAACGTGGAGTATTCTGCAGAAACCCAAGAGAATTTCTCCCTCACTCGAGAAATCGTTGTTAAAAAGGACTCTGAGTCTATCGTGGGAAAATACCCTCTGTTTGATCTGTTATCATTGTCAACTGCCTCTGGGAGTATTGGGGTGACAGTCATACCACAGAGGGCCGATGATCAGAACCCGGGCAACCCAGCCCACCTCCGGATTCGAACAAAATCAGGGAGTATCACTGTTTCTTTTGCTGTCCCAGAGACTATATTCCCGTCAGATAATAATTTCAAGCTAAATGTCAATCACCATGTCGAGTGCTGCAGTGTGAGGCAACCCTTCCAGTTTCGTCCGTACGAGATTGACGTCGAGACCGAAAGTGGATCTATCTCAGGACAGTTTATATTTTCAACCTCGGCGCAACTCTCATCGGATAGCGGCGGTATCAGTGCAAGTCTGGTACCAATTATTAGGCTCGCAGATCACCGGGGTGTCAGTGACGATGGAGGTGACAATACTCAAACATATGATGCCTCTATTATGACCTCAACAAATTCAGGAAGTCATGATATCCATCTGACAGACCCGTGTTTTGTCAATTCCCCCGCACGCTTCCGGCATGAATATCCGAATTTGCAATTTCTTTACGCGCAGGCTCGCCACATTACCCATGATGGGAGCCTCAATATAGCCTATCCCCAAGCATGGGCAGGTCACGCTCATGCCCATACTGGGAGTGGAAGTATACATTTTGGCGGACGAAATCTGAACGTGACCATGAATGAGGATGGATCTGCGGATGGCTTCAAACGTGAGGGCCAAAAAGAGTGGGGAGAAATGAATGTATCTTTGGAATCTGGAGCCGGCGCAATACTCTTTTATGTTGGCTGATTGTGGATCATTGTGTTGCAAGTTTTTGCTACTAATCCTGTAAACCTAGCCAAGGGATAGCCATCGTGTATGGATCAAATTCAGTTAAACCGATCTTTTGACTGTTTCTCAAACTCTATTCTGCGGGACGCCATTCCTAATATAGCTAGTGGATGGCAGACCTTTGCTCTAGACTTTCCTCATTCAACACTAGGCTTTGCCAAATGTGGTTTGGAGTGGGCCCCTGTTACTGAATATCGAGCCGCCAATTTGAACATCCGCCAGGCATTAACAACACATCTACATTGAGCTTCACTGTTGATTGAAAAACAAGATACACGCTCCCTACCGCCATCGTCCAGGAAGAAATTTCGTGGAGTATTATCCTCGCGGGGGTGCTCCAGTGCTCTTGTAATCGCAGCAAGCATGCATCTAAACAATCCTCCTGCAAGCAAACTTGACATGATTGCTGATTAGGAGTAGAGATTTCAGGGAAGGTATACGTGATGGACAAAGAGGTACCACAGCCGGCTGCTCTGGGTGTTGTTTTTACTCACATCAAACCCACCTTCACAGTAAATCTGACCGAACAGTGATATGCCAAATATGGTCCAGAGCGCGGTGAGTTTGACAAAATTTTATATTTGTTGCTCAAGGACAGTCAACGTAAGGAACGGAGAAAATCGGCGATTTCCTAGCAAGATCTGCTTGGGCGGGATATGTTAGAGGACGATTTCAGTGAGAATGTGATACACGCGCTCGGCTTGACTGATCTGCAGATGAAGTAATATCCCGAAAAATGGCTTTTGGACATGTTGCTCGGGCTTGGATGGAAAAAAAAGCGTGCTAGGGCATCAAGTCTACCAAAGTCTGTCCAAAGACACCACAGTATTTCTGACAGCGCCCTCGATGCAGCGTCGTGTATGTCCAATTGGTCCCTTCCCGCTCGCTCGTATGCGTCGAACGGCCCAGCAACGTGGGGTAGGATCAGGTAGGACAGTATAGGTCGGTGGTTCGTAGCTCGTGGGTTTTTAGTTCGCTCGGCTGTGACTCGGGACCAGACGGTCTCTCTCTTGGTGCGTAGCTGATATGACCATTATTATTCCGTAGGCTCGAAATGACGGGAAATTTGCCTCACCTTCTCCTTGCACGCAGACTTGGACTAACAATCCGGCCATCTGCGAAGGTATGGCTCACCTACCATCAAAAAAGACATACCACCAACTTTCCTCGGGTATTTTGGAGTTTCGGGGCTGAAAAGAAGCGAGATGTCAACCAGGGACAATGAGGATCACCCAATGGACGCCAGAAATTCGATCCACAAGGAATCTATTCTTTCGCGGTAATTATATAGCGAGACACGGTGGTTTAGCCCATTATGCCTTGGACTTTGTATCGGTAGACACATCAGCACATTACCGGCGCATAGTGTCGACTGAGAGAAGGGCCGAGACGATGTGAAGCTTCCATTCATTCATCGTCCATGCCACCAGTGGTCATGAGGAAGGGACAGATAGCTTGCGATCGCATCAGTATAGAGGAGCTCGAGCAGACAAGACTGCTCGCTCCGCATTCGACTCGAGCGACGGGAATATGACGGGCGCTGTTGTACGATTCGAGTCAGTAAGGCTTACCACTTGGACGAGATTTTATAACTTACCTGTTCATTAAGTTCGCAGAACGTTCGCTAGAGACGAAACGATCAATTAGCTTCCTGGCCATATCTTACCGACGAGATCACTTACAATTGTCTTTATCAATGCAGTCACCATTCATGCCGTGTTGACATGATGTTGTATCCAATTCGTCGAACTCTCCAGCTGTCGCTTCGAATAAGCCGCGCTGGGTGCACCAGACAACTTCTGACCCCCAGAGGCCGTGGCGAAATATCTGTGACAGGAAATTGTACAGTCGCAATGGGATAAGACTTCGCGATGGGGACGACGAGAGGCTCGTACACTCCGCCGTTCATGGTGTGAAGGCGGTGAGGTCGAGGGCGGAAGACGCGATGGACCACGCGTCGTGGCGACGCCTTGGTCTTATCTCCGATCCGGCGATAGGACTCCCAACAGGTATATTTCACAGTGGCGATGGCTGCTCCTGACATAAAATTTAGTAATGGTGTTCGTGATTTGAAGCACAAAACATCGCAAACGACTGATATAGCGCAGCAGAGGGCGCGATAAATCACTCACTTTATCAGGAAGAATGGACGTCTCAACCTTTTATGCAGCGAAGCTCGCAATCGGATGTCCCTAACTGTTATTGGCCCACTCCTATGATTCATATACCTCACCTAGGGTATTCTGCGTGGGTTGAAGCAGCGGAACTAGGAATGGCGATAGGCCATGGCCCTTGCGCTCGTGCCTCGTTGTCGAATTTCCTCGGTTATATTGGAATCGCGTCGTCTTCAGGATCAGTAGAATTACAGACAGGTCAGGATAAGACTCACATACCTGCGACGTAGATGCTCGCGCTTTCTCTTGGGAATACACACTGAGGTTGTACAGTAGATAAGCTGAATCGGCTGCTGTGGCGGAGGCATCTTTGCATAGACACTTTGACCAGTTAACCCACAACTCGTATCATTGATCGGCTGGCGTGAATGGCAGTGAATCTGGTGGGAGTCATATATCTCACAGGCGCTGTCTGACTAGTTGGTCCACGATGTATTCTATAAAGGTCAGCACAGTGGAAATTTCAGTACCGGGTCAAAGGGGGAGAACTTATCGAGTGACTCAGACACAAGCCTGCTCGAGTTTGCAGAGTCAAGTGAATAAATTGTAGAGCAAATTGCCGGGGCCAGAGGACATATTTATAGGCTTCTCGGCTCTTGCTGCGTAAGTGCTCTGCTTGGTAGAACGCGTTGAGGGACAACTCTGTTATTCGAGGCCTGGTGAAAAAATGTCTTCTCTTTACCGCAACTATTTGCAGCGACATTTTGATGCCCTTAGATCCTCAACGAGAGAGACGAGTCGACTGGTGTTGAGAATAAGGATGCTGGGTCGGTCAAGAAACGCTGGCTCACTGTTGAATCCTTCGCGGCCCTGTTAAATTGAGGCTTTGTGGGAGATATTCTGTCCGCGATGACAGGCTCACATTTCGTGTGCTGATCACCTCATCTATGAGCGATTCAACGTTGAATAACTGAACAACGCCTATAACTTCATATTGAGAAGCCATGCATTTTTTTTCCTGGCCTCGCTTTAGTGTGGTGTTGGTTGTATTGAGCTGTGGGTCTGTCCGTCTAGATTGCAGAAAACGAGGTCGTGCTCGGCCCGTCAACCCGTTGAAGCTTGGCCACCTGTTGTCAACACTCAATTTCTGAACTTGCGACCATGAAGATACCAATTTTTTTTTTTTTTTTTTTTTTTTTAGTTTTGTTGCCCTTTCGAACTTCTTTTTTAGATAACTATAGGCTCTACGATATTCCATTTGTCGGATTTCTGAGGCATTCAACGAAACTGAAAGAAGTGTCTGGTTGAAATACATATCCTCAACAAGCGTTGATCTTTGGTCCTCAACATCGTGAGGCGTGATCGGTTTCCCCGACCGACTATCCCTATTGTTCAATACACTGTCAACAGCCCGCCGAAAACTAACATAATTCCAGTCAAAATCTCACTGCATCAATTAACAGTTGTGGTGATCATAAAATCCACTACATACTTGCCTGTGTCTGCGCATGCGCAGTCTATAAAACACGAAGGACCGATAGAAATGGTATTGTCCAGACCCGTGACTTTCTCCTGCGGACGAAATGGACTCCCGAAACTGCTCGACAGGCCAGGAGAATGAAGCAGATCAGCAGCCCAATGAGTTGCCAATCTCCAGCGAGAAAGACAAATCACTGGAAAGTTCTGACCGTGTCCCATTGGTAAGTGAAACGATTCGACTTCAAACGCTTTTGCTGACCATTGCAGCCCTTGCCTTCGCCACAGGAAGCAGAAACAAGACAAATCCTGGCGACCGAGCCATTTCAACCGATATTGAAGGTTCTAGCAGACCTCGAGCGCGACGATCCCAAGTTCGCCTTTCTAGCAGCTCGACTTGTCGGACTCTATCGACGCCTCTGGGAGTCGAGCGTGTCCAAGCACATCGATGGGAAGAAGCTGGAGCAGGATAACCTTGTTTTGAAGGAGGCTGGCACGCACCTGAGAAAAGTGAGAGATGGTCTTCAGGTTCGCCACGACAAACAGCTATCCCGGCTGCGATTTTTTGGGCAGGCACTGAATTCGTCTCGAGAACAACTGACTAGCGTACTTGATTATTGGAACCACCCTTCCAGCCTCAATCTCTCAGGGTCCTTGAACGACGCAAGAGAAGGGTGAAGAACTGTCTATTCGAGACAATGTGCCTTATTCCAGCATAGAATTACTATAGTTAAATTTTCGAATCAAGTAGAACTACTGCTTAGAAACTTATATTTCGAAGTATTTGCAAAATTTAGTGCATGGAATAGCCTCCCATTTAATTTATGCTCACTGGAAAATGCTGAATAGTAATGCAACTTTTGGACCAATCTCACTTGTAGTTACCCAGTATGTTATGCACAAAAAACATTGGATCAAGGGATACCTTCGTGGGTAGCGCAACTAGCGAAGGAAGTGTCAAGTGAGTGGAATGTGGTAAGGGTTCCATGCGAGGCCAAAGGGACAGTCGGAAGCTAATGTCTATGGCGCCAATTGATGCCCGAAAATTGCATCTAGCAACTTTCCGCGTACCCGGCGGAGATTCCACGTGGCCGTCTCAACTCGGGGTAGGAAGAACAGATGCTCTCCTGCACTCTCGCCAGATTTCCGGTCAAAGTGGACTAGTCGGAACTCTACCCAGTGCAGTTCGTTAGGGAAAGTGAAAGCTGACATGTAGAGGAACAAGTCGCTAGCCTGAGTAGACATGGATAGAGTGTCTGGACATGTACTAGTATAACTACTGTCAATCTATCTTTCAACTTTGAACTTTGTACGACTAATAGAAGTTCGCATTACAGCGATTACACAGGTCGATTTGTCAGCGTTGAGATGGGCTTTAATGGGAGCCTTATGGCCAAGCGGGACTCAAGTAGGTACATACTTGGATTATGAGAGGCGGAGTCCTGAGCCATAGCATTAAGGATCTGGACTGAAAAAATGTACTGCTGGAATTAATGTCGAGTGGCCTTCATATATATAGTACCATGAAGCCTTTTTGGTAAGAGTGACGACTTTCATAAAGTAAACCTGATTTAGATTTCAGCGGGCTTCGGCAGGAACCGCCATATGTACAGTAGCTGCATCTGTCTTCATCTAGAAGGCTGTGTCCATTGGCAACGCAAAGGGACATATCACTAGTGAATAATCGGCCTACTGCGATATTGCTACCATTACCATTCTTCTCTTCAGGAGTTTTAGGCTGAAGCAAAGAAAGCTAGAGAAGATCCGATCATCACAAACCGCCTGATCGAAAGCTAAACGTCAGTGACGAGAGCAGCAGACCGCCAGGGCCGTGCGCTGTATGATTGTTCCCCTTCGAATGTTCCTTCGATGCCAACTTGCTGCGAAGTACATTTCTTTGTCATTGATAATGTACTGCTGCCACGTTCTTCAGTGCGTTGTTCGCTTTATGACCAATCAAATATTTTTTGACTGCACCCAACCACCTTGACACAATATCTGGCCAGAATATGCCTGGCAGAAATTGAGGATTTTCACCGAGCCCGTTCGACCACGAGCACACCGCCGATTGCCACACCTATACCTCACAAATATGACTATAAGGAGGCAGCACCTGGAGGTTGGCAGCAATCAATGGCCAGCATGGAGGACCCGATCGACCCAACTCTTGCAGAGCAGCCAGAAGATCTTGATGCGACGTCCACTGCACCAATCATCAAGTATGACGCGACGCGCGCTTCAAACGAAGCTGTCGACGATCGATGAATCGGTAAGGTCTCGTACGTAGCAACTAATTATCACTGAACAGCTGGTGCCTTCGCAAATTTATCCCTGGCGGTTCTTCATACATACTAGAACTCAGGGGCTTGCTTCTTAGTAAGCTCCTCTTCTGTAGATCCTCTCCGGAGCGGGCACTAGTGGCGATGTGCCACTGACAGATGCTTAATGCTGGATCTCGTTCTCACACGGCCGCTCCCCCATTAAGATCATTGGAGTTCAGTCTACATTCACCTTGATTGTTCCTAGAAGAGTATACTGAGGGGTTCCCCGATCGTCAAGAGGACCCTTTAGCAGAAAGGAGGCGTTGGAGAATCAATCTCCCACTAGCGCCTTTCGGCAACTATCGGGCGGTGTGAGATGATAGAAAGTGGGGGTGATCTTTCCCTAGTCTGGATTACGAGACAAGCCGGACGCCTACTCAGGTCGCGTGCAGTCTCCCAAACGGCACTAACTGCTCTCCATGATTTGCTCAATCCTTTCGCACCAGAATCAAAGCAACGAAAATCGCCGGGTCTCAAGATACTCCATCGAGCGTTCTAGCAAGGACGATGTGTCGACAGCATGTCTGGACATTCTGGTTGAGTCCCCACCTCTCGTCTGCTATGGCCCACCTTCCTCTTCCACCGGCGCACTATTCTCAGGCCGCTTGCGCATCTCAGTCACCGAATTGGCCGGGGAGGTGACCTTGAATCAATTCAATGCGCGCTTCATCTCCAAGACGACCAACAAGAAACCCGTATCAAACAATTGCGCAAACTGCGCCACCCGCACCGAGGAGTTGATTCACTGGAACTTCCTCACCGGGTCGCTTTTCAAGAGCGGAAGCCATGAATTTCCACTTAGTTTCCAATTCCCGGGTTATCTCCCCGCCTCCTGCAACAGCTCGCTGGGTCGGATCGAATACTCCCTGCAGGCGCACGCGCACAGCACCACCGGCAAAGATTTCAATTTAGTTTTACCCCTTCACGTCTGCCGTGCCCTCTTCCCCGGTAACGACGAGTCATCCATTCGAATCTTCCCACCTATGAAGCTCACCGCCAACACCGTACGGCCATCAGTCGTCCACCCGATCGGCCATTTCCCCGTCCAGATAAGTTTAAGCGATATGGTTAGCAAGAGCGAAACACAAAGATGTTGGCGCCCTCTCAAGATGATGTGGTGTATTGAAGAGCACCAGAAAATTGTGTCGACCGCGTGCCACAAGCACGCCCACAAAAACGACGGCGAGGGCAAAGGCGTATTGCATCAGAAGACGCGTGTCATTGGCCGCAACGAAGAGAAGAACGGGTTGAAGACGGACTTCAACGCCGCGGGCGCTGGAGTCAGCATTCATTTCGAGGCCAGTATCAACCCAACGACCAATCCAGCGTGCGACGTGGAAGCCCACGACGGCCTGGAGGTTAAGCACGACCTCGTCATCGAACTCATCGTGGCCGAGGGCATCCGCCCGAATCGCAAGATCCCCCTCATCACGCCCGCCGGCGCTGCTCATGTGTTCCGCATGCGGTTTCATCTACCAGTCACGGAGCACAGCGGTCTCGGTATCAGCTGGGATAAGGAGGTGCCCCCAGTGTACGGGGATGTCCCTGCCAGCGCGCCGAATTATGCTAAGCTTTATAACACCAATATTACCATGGGGAATTGGCACGTGTCACCATCTCCGCTGCCGTATTAGGAATTACTGGAGCGTATGGAATCCTTCCGTCTAGCTTATGACCCATCACCCATCATACCCCCGAAAATTCTTGCTGTCGCCTACGGTCTGCTGTTGATCATTTTTTCTGTTCCTCCTTGCCACGTCTCGCGCTTTATTCGCGCCCACCAACCGCTTATCTGATCAAGTCGCTGGTTTACATTTGATATTTAGAGACCCGTCTTCTTATTTGCTGCCATGGCTATACGATGGCCACCAACTTAAAAAAATAATATATTTACTATCATTTACCCACAGCCCCTGGTATTGGTTTCCTGTGCAAATATGTGCTGCTTTGTCGGTTGCTCTGGACGCACAGGAGTCTCCGGTTTCTCTACATTGCCTGCCTTGACTATCCTTTTGAGCGTCGATCTTATATTATCAGGCTCACCGCGCTCTGGATGACATCTGGCATATCGGGTCCGAGCAGATTCACCGTGAAGGGTGGGCTTAGGGTCTGTAACAACACCACCAAGAGCCATTCGGCCGTGGGAACTCATGGACTATCTCCTTCATCCTATGTTGAATTACTATCCCTAATCAGCGATCCATGTCTTGTTTGCTTTCGGGAGAATGGGTTAGGCGCATGCCCGCTGCGATTACAAAACATTTAGATTACCACTCGCACGATATCACGTCACAAAAGATCGTCGTAAATGACGACGGAGACTTGTTTACCAGGGCTTGTTTCAGATGGCGCTTGCTAGACCACGATCGGGCTTCAACTGTGTTCTCTCAGCAGCAGAGCATGGCTGATGTGATGGACTCGGGTATCACGCCTCACAGGAAGCAACGGCCATCGTTATCACTGAATTAGTGGATATTAAAGTACGTGAGATTACTCACAAGCTTGCGACGGCTCCCATATGTCGGAGATCCAGGGTTGCCCTGTCCTACTTTGTCAATAGAGAAAACAATCAATCTACCTAGCAATTCAAGAAGAATTACCGCATGGAAAGCAGCGTCTAACTTCGAGATCGAGTGTTTACAGTAGAAAGGGCATAGAATAGCCTCCGATTGAATATCAAGATGTTCACTGGAAGATTGTAAGACGCCGTAGTTATATTATGGATCCCTAGTTTGGGAGGATGGCGTGTTCATTAGCTGGAGTCTCCTACGACAGCAGACATAGGAAATGCCCATGCCCAACCATAAGCTGACTTTCTCGCACTGCGGTGGTCATTTCGGGCAGTGGCACTAGCCTGACTCTTTGGATCATGACGGAGGGTGAAGTTGTTGTAAAGTTGCTTATGCGAAACGTTCACCAGAGTCCGAGAAACCCAATGTACCGGGTGGCTTGTATAGACTGAATTGGATCGTCACACTTGTATCTCAATTGAGGATTCCAACTCAACGAGGATTCAGGAAAAACGAATTCCATAGACACAGACACACACACACACACACACTGTATCGCTGCATATCTTAGGTGTACATTTACACGAGTCTGACAACTTGAGTGACACTGAATCTTTTTTTGTTGAGTAACAAAAGCATGAGGCATTCGATTGGTGGAACAATCTCAGTTTCTTCAGGGGCAATCAAATAGGGCGGAGGTCGAAAGTGCACGTCAACGAGATGTTTGAAAAGCCCCATCCTCAATATAAAAGCCATGGGCCAGCCTGCAATAAACCCTTTTCCCACCCATATTCGTTTATCCACACCGCCATGCTTTCAATATCGTCTCGCCCAAGATTGAGCCCATTGTACAAATGCTACTCTATTGGTCAGCTCGCACATTTCCTAGAAGCAATGGAAAACAAAGTTGGATCAAAAGGTTGGATACGCTGACAGGTACTTACTGGACACAGTTCCTCTTCCGGTAGAGCCTCGCTTGTTGCACCGTCTGCTGTCTCCCAACGAGTGTCTTGTAAAACCTTATCGTACGGGATCCGCAAGACATACACTAATGGCTCGCCTTTATATACAGCTCTAAGGGCACTTGGTACTTGCAGCGCCGTTAAGAGGTGAATGAACCCTGAAGATTGATCGGTAAGACTGACTGGAAGTCGGTCGGGAAGTGGTTCTCGGAGAGGACAAGTAGACGGTACAATTTTGTAAACGTAGAGGGGCGCGGAATTTTCCATTATTTCGCACGAAAAAACCACTATAGAAGGTGAATTATCATTGAGAGCGTTTTAAGTGTGACTAAATATGGACACCACAGGCATCCATGACGTAGTTCCTCGGCACACTGCATTTTTGCAGTACAGCGCCGGTGACCGTAAGCAAAGTAGTCTTTTCTTATCAAATATGGAACAGGAGACCACAGTTTATGGATATTATGGAGACCTGGGCGCCTAGCTCGAAACCCGCATGTACAATCATGGATACGTGGAAGGTGGTGAGACCGTCGCATGGACTGAGAATTATCTATTATTCCGATATTCTCGGTACGTATCTGATCAATCAACCATACGTAATCGAGCCAGACGCACTACCTTTTAGACTTGTATTCAGACAGAAGGCAGTGCCCTCTCCTCTCTCCTCCTTACCACCCACTTCCCTAGCGCCGTCCAGATAGCCTCTTTCTCCGCAGGCCGCATTCCGGCCGCCAGCCCGCTAATGGTCGTAGCTATGAAAAGAGGTGTTCCGTTCCACTTGAATCCAGACGTACAGCCCATATTCTCCTTTTCACTGTAATCCATAGTGAAACTCCTTGCGAATCGGCTGGCCATGACGAACCCTCCAATCAACCTCCTATATACCCTTCCCAACAAGACACACCACCTTGGGTATAAAAAACGCCACCTTGGCCTCTAGTACCCGTACGCCCGCGTCCATCCCCGCGCGGCTGAGCTTGCTGCCGCTCAACGATATTCATGTTGCCAACGCTATACAAACCGGGGAGTTTGTAGGTGTCAGATGGCGGGTGTCGGAGACTAGTTATGCTTGAAAAGCAGAGGACTTTACATAACAGATTTGATGGATGTGCATATGCGAACCCAGTTGTACCTGTTAGTAGACCGGTATTCACGCCTACCAGCAGCAGGATTAGGTTCGGAGGAGTTTTGTCGTGGAGAAGAGCCTGCGGTCGTTGATGCCGTGGAATGCATTCGGTCTTGGGATGCGACTTGTATTCTTCTCTTTGGGGTATGGCTTGACGGTGGGGGTTGGCGGTAGCACGGCTATCGATCATGACAGACCCACAACTCAACACAACCAACACCACACTAAAGCGAGGCTAGGAAAAAAGTCCATGATTTCGAGTATGAAATTGTAGGCGCTTTTCGGTGATTCAACGTTGAGTCACTCACAGGTGAGGTATCAGAACACGAATTATGAGCCTGTCATTGCGGATTGAATAGTACTCAGTGCCTCATTTAAGAGGGCCGTGAAGGATCCAACGGCCAGCCAACGCTTCTTGACCAACTCAGCATGCTGTTGCTCAACACGACTCTTGCTCGTCTCTCTCGCTGAGCATCCAAAAGCAGAAGATGTCGCTGCAAATAGTTGCGATAAAAAGAAGACGTGGGTTTCAACAGGGCTCGATTAGGACAGGTGTTCTTTAATGCTGCCTGCACAGCTTCTAATTGACAGAAGCCGAGAAGCCTATAAAGACGTCCTCTACCCCCAGCAACGATTTATCTCCTTGACTCTGCAAAATCGAGCAGGCTTGTGTCTGAGTCACTTGATAAGTTCTCCCCCTTGACCCGGTACTGAAATTTTTACTGTCCTGACATTTATATAATATATCGTGAACCAGCTAGTCAGACAGTGCCTGTGAGAAATGTAAGCCTAGAAGATCTACTGTGCCAAGCAGCCAGTCGATCAAATAGACAAGGCTTGAGTTAGCGTTGGCTAGTCAAAGCGCATCATCTATGCCTCCACCATAGCATCCGAGCGAGCTGATCTACAGTCCCGTTTCTGGATGCTTCCCCAAAGCCAAAGCGCGACTTGTCATGCCGTAGGCATGTGAACATCTGCCAGATCTTGTCTGAGATTGGACTGACGTCGAAGACGTCGCGAAATAACCAGATCCATGCATTTAGACCACTATAAACGATCGCAAGGACCACGGAGCTCTTTGTCGTCTCTTCGTGGTCTTGACCCCGGAAGCATGTGAGTTGTGAAATAACTCTCCGATCTACAAGCTAGTGATGGACAGGACACCGTTGTCAGCGCACTAGAGTGAGCCCGATCCAAGATCACCGTCAGTGCTCCGCGGAAAGCGATGGCTTGCATGCTCGGTGGTGTGCTCTTCCAAATCCACTCAATAGCAAGATCCTTAATGGACGGGGAAAAGGTCTCTTGAAGCGGCTTCTGCTTGCTGCCAGGTTTATTATGCCACAGTGAGATCAGGACCGAGTAACAAAAAGAGTCCGCCGCCTCAGCTCGGGCTAAGGCTCCAAGACCACCCAAACTAGCTCATTTTCCCTGCTTCCCTCCACGCTCAGTACTACGAAGCTGAACATTGTTCGATCCTAAAACTTAGTCTTCTGTGATCCGCCGGTGATACTGCTGGCCGAGGGTGCTGTGATTCCTCCACCTTCAGTATCCCAATAATACGCTGTGGAATGTAATGTGCATTGCTTGCTGCCTATCAACTTGGGTATATATTCGGCCCTTGGCTACCGGATATGCGGTTAAAACACCTACTGCAGAACTCAAATGCTCTTCTGGAGGATTGCTCGTCTTCTCCGAGAAGTTCTAACCATCGAAGCGCCTTTTTTACAGCAGCGATCACAGCAACATCTTCGCTTGGCCCATCCATCGCGGCCGTTTCAGTACACAGTGGAACTGAGCCAATAGAGAGATGGAGAAGTAGAACGACCGTGGCTTGCATCATGAAGTGCAAGAGAGCCCAAGAGGGAGCGATATTATATACCCATTGGGTGTCCGGGTGGTCTGGTATCACCTCCAGAAGGGCCAGCGAAGCATGCAAGCATTGCATAGCACTTTCATTGCCGAACATAGACCGAGGAATCTGGATGCCGGTTTTCTCGTCAGTCTCCGGACGCGTGAGACAAGGCCGGTTGATGACAATGCAAGCACTATAGTAATGAAGTGCGAGAGATATTTGGTAGGGCGAATGGTTCATTCGACTGCCATCGAATGCCAAAGACGACGGGAGCTCAGACAGCCACTGCTCCAATTTTTTGTTGTAGAGACTGACGTGATCCTTGATGTGTGCCCAACCACGACTGGCAATGTCGGTACTATACACCTTATTGGTGATTCTGTGGGTAATGAGAGCGATGTCGACCAGGTAGAAGGAGTATAGAGACTCGCTGAGTGGCATATCCTTCAACCATGCAGGTCGATTTTCAGTTCGCTCGGGTTGCTGGATCAGCCATAGAACGTCTGCTGAGTATGGAATTTGCCGTGACGAGTACCCACTTAAGGCTTTCCCTTCTATGGTATCAAACGGCAGAGGTAGGGGTGCCGAGCAAGAACCATCACCTAAGCAGGAAACCCGCCCAGTCATGACAGAAAGGAGGTGCTCTAAATAAAATACTGACCACCACAAGCGCATCCTTGCCTCATTTGACGCTGAGTCGAGCTTGTTGTTCGTCCTCCGAAAATTGAGCCCCAAAGCGATGCCTGCACGTGCAGCTATACCGATCATTTTCCATGACCTGTAAGAGTTAGAAGGCTTCTTGTGTCGGACTTATATTAGAAGCATATTGGTACCATACCTGCTGATCTGAGACCTCGTCAGAAAATAGAATGCCACAAGAGCCATAAACTGCACTTTTTGCAGGTCATCGTGGCTGTTGATGAGATCATCGGAGGCAAGGAGTGAGTTTGCCCGACGGAAGAATGTCCTCTCATTTGCCTGACCTTCATTATCAGAACAACTCAAATTGGTGAACTGGCAACTAATTGCGAAAACCATGTTCAAAACTCCAAGCCACCGTTTGCCGGGGTTGATTTGAGAATTGGATAAGACTTGGCTGTATTGTGCCAAGAAAAGATCCTTTCGAATGATCGGTAAAGAAGGATGAATCTTATCAAGATAGGCATAAAGCAGTTTGTCGGCTGAGTGTTTATCTGGTAGTGCGAAAGGATCCAGTGCGAAAGGATCCGAAGATGCTATGTCCTGAGAATATAGATCATCCAGATGATAGTTGACCGAGGAAAAGGAGTCCTCATCTGGAAGTTGATGGTGAGGTATGCCCGCCGCAGAATTATCCTCGCAGCTCCATCTTCTGGATTCTGCCTCCAATCTTTGCATCCATGCTACTTCGGAATTTTTCCCCATGTACCCCGTGGCTCTGCTATGCTCATTGCGGTTGATGTCTTCGTCGACCGAATCGATGGCATCAAGAGACCCAACCGAGGAGACAGAAGACGGGGAGGAAGCTCTCGGTTGACTGGGCTCACGTCGGCGAAAGCCAGACGTTGGATCCTAATAAAATAGAGATGAGATTCCGCGCGGCTATGCCTAACTATTGGTGAACTCACGGTGAGAGCCTTTGTTATACGCTGTGCATCCTTGTCTTCAACTTTATCAAAAAGATCGCGAAGCAAGTCTTCATATATTTCGACTTTTCGTCGTGTGAAGGCTAGTTCCTCTCGCTCCATCTTTAGCTTGCCTTCCGAATACACACATGATGTCAGACTTTCTGCTCGACACTGAGAGCACAACGGTTTCCCGCCATCACATTTTCTCTTGCGCTGTTGGCAGGAAACGCAGGCACGAGCCGTTCGAAGTGGGCGGGGGATCCCCGCACTTTCACGGCGTATTCGTTGAATAGGAACTTTGTCAAACATTACAAGGACATGCGAGCTTGATTACCTCGCATTAAACCGGAATTCTGTGAAAGGCGTTGTGAAAAGAAAAAAAAAAAAAAACCATTTTCCCGGCGAAGATAAGAGACCTGTTGTGCAAAAGGGGTGGGAGGAGGGGGAGACACGGCAGAGAGGTGCAGGATTATTCAGGTGCTCCAACAAAACCATGTGGCAAAGCACACTAGTTGGCAAAACATACGTCATATGCCCAACCAGACGAGGATTTGAGTTCCGCTGACCGCGCATGCGTTCCGAGACTGGTGAGACAGGATTCTCTATATCTATATGTATGATATTATACCCGTCAAGTTTCGCAACTTAGATTACGGTAATAATGGCTCTGTACGGCTCATTCAACGGCTGTCTGGCCGCAGATTTTGTTGCACTCAGCTCGCTCTTACCTGGTGGTGAGTTGGCGATGACGTCATGCGATCTAATATCAAAATTGAAACCTCTGGTTCCTACATAAACAACGGTTGTTGGCGTCCGGGTGGTACAAAGTCTTATAAATGAAATCCGCATAACTTATCTCTTTTCTGTCCACACTATCACAAAGATGGCGGGGATTGTACAGAATTTTCCTTTGTTCTTCGAGCTTCTCAGAGATTATGTTGGCTGTCCTTCTCGTCACCCATGATACTTTTTGGTACTGACAATTTCTCTAGCTGCACCCTAGCGATCTGGCTATATTGGCTTGCGCGTGTCGCAAATGGAACGCCTTAATCATTCCATATTTGTATAACACAGTCCAATTTCATAACCCCGGCCGTATTGAGGGAAATGACCCACTCCAGCTGAAATTGGATACCTTCGGAGATCCACGGTGCACCAACCTCAAGCACAATCAGCGGGTATTGGTCACGGGATCATGGTACGAGATCTACCACGAGATTGACTCGAATCTGGGCTCCCAAAGTATGCTTTCACCAGCTGCAAGGATGCTTAGCAATATCATCGCGTCCTGTATCATCCGGATGCCGAATCTGAAGGAATTCAAGTACTGGTTCCTTGCTTGTGCTTTTCTAACCCAGGCCTTATAACTATTGCCGACTAGGAGCATCGCTAACCGCATCGAACAGTTGGGATCTAGCTGTATCCCCTACTCAACATCTCGTCACCACCGTAATATTCACACCGACCCTGGAGAAAGTGCAACTGCGTCTAGGCACTGACAGCACGCCCTCGCCTTATTTTCACCCGCCGCTGGAATTTTGGCCTCCAATCAATGTCAGGGCTTTAACTCTCATCCAAATTGACGACGAATCGGTCTTGCGGTCGATAGGATCGGTTCTCCAAACCGCCACTCGCTTGAGAGAGCTGACCATGTGGGCTGATGGAGATAGGATGCTACGTTTCAGTGAAGTCTCCAGCACATGGTGTGGCCAGGTCCCATTCCAACTCACATCTCTGGATCTCCGAGGATTTGTGGATTTGGGGCGGCCATCATGTGCGCTGTGGAGTTTGCTCTCACCGGTCAAGTTGAGGACATTGACCTTGAACGTCGGCCCGGGATTCGATATTGCCGATTTATCAGTGTTCTGGGAGAATTCAGTCGTGGCCAATCTTCGACCCAAACAATTAACTACGAACCTGGTGATGCATGGGCTGAAGGACTTTATAGACTCATTTAGTGGTTTGGAGGCTTTCAGTATCACATCGCCAACTATCGCTTGCGTGCCGGAGCGTCTCGATATTCTCCTAGAGGCTCTGGGCAACCTACATTCAGCGACACTGAAGGTTTTCTCGATCGACCCACAAAGAGCTCTGGCAAACCACCTCCTGGACGATGTGTTGTTGGATCGATTCGTGAACCGGTTCGCCAATATTGAAGAATTGCGAATTGGAATAGTGGAAGCTGTGCCAGTAAGAATAGGCCCGTTACCCCCCACCGTGGAGACTTTTCTGACAATCGTACTGCAGGAGGATACCATCCAAGCAGTATTGAAGTCTCCCCAAATTCGGCTACTCTATGTGAATTTGATCCAAGATCCTACAGAGGGGAGTTATATCGGCCTGGAACGATACCTGCTCCATTTACTGCAGAAAGGAATGGCCGAAAACCTCAAGTATTTCATGTTTGATGACGGTCCTCTGTTCAAAGTACATCGGAAGCCGCTCCGGGTAAGTAAAGAGACCTTGCCCATCGGGTTCATTCATGACACTTTCCTGTTTGGAGAAGGGGTCTTGGGATGGGATGGAAGAACAATGTAGAAGGTCAGATCATTTTCAGCTTAGGATTCACAGCGCACGAAAGTTGTATCTTCACCAACTCCGCCATTCGTCTTGGGTCTCTTTGAATCGACCACCGTGAGATTATATGTCTGACCCTTGTTGAGGTATTTTACGGGGATTACCTTTGTATGTCGGAGTATTGCTGTTGGGGCTTGCAGTGTCGCATAATAGCAAAATCTATGAAGATCAGTAAGGAGTATATTCAGGGTATGGGGACCTAGTTGGACTCTTCTCCCTTTTTATATGTCGAGATCCATATGGCCAAATCCACATTGTTGAAATATGATGTATATCTATGTAGCATGCTCCCTGAGAAAGAGATTATTTAAGCCTGTCCTTCTATACTATGTGGCTCACCGAGAATTTATAGATCTATTTGGTGCGCTCGTTCAGAATCGAGAAGAATTGTTATGAAGGGATCCACGGGAAACAAGCTTCACAGTGGTTCAGAGCTGATAGTTAGATTCAGGCCTGATAGGTCAGGCAATAAGATCTTATAACTAACTAGTTAGTTAACTAATCTCATGAATCTCAACATACACCTGAGTCTGATTTTTTGCTACAACCTTGCGTCGAAAATTTTTTTCCAAGTCTATCTAACGTGGTACGCACATAATTGCGACGTGTAGTAGACCCCGGTATGCAATCCGCCTGCCCGATGTTTGTACTGTCACGCAAAGAAGGTTGGTGCTGAGCCAGCGGAGTGAAGCAGTCGAGCCAATCCCAGAAAGCCCACCGGGCGCTTTGAATTGAGCCATCAAGACGGGGCGCAATTGTTGTGTCCCACTGTGTGATGGGAGAATGAAGGTCACCTGCCTGGTTGTAAAACACCATGTCCGCTCCCGATAGACCCGCTAGGTTGTGACTGTGGCATGCCTCGTTATTTCCTGGAAATATTGTTCGGGGAAAACCTCTTTGTTGTAAGGAATTTGGGATGGATGAGGGTACCATTCATTGAAGCCAGTGTTTGTCCAGCATTGGGCTTGTCTTCCAACGTACCCTCGACTGAATCCTTAGCATTGACATAAGTTTATGATTGCATTGAATATACCGTGCCCATTGCAGGATCTTCAATTGCTATTTCACCATGTTTGCTCAAGAGAATATGTCCCATGTATCTCCTTGGACTGGCTGATAAACCCGTCATCTGGCTTGGGCATTATTAGATTATAATGGTGCTAAAAGCCGACAGTCTTCCGAACACGATTTGACTTGAGTGCACCACGGCGAGAGCACCCATCACCTTGCAACACAGAAGTATACGAGAAAACATACGATAAAAATATATTGGTCTTAAGTTCGGTCTCGGCGGGCTTCATTGGACTATGGTAGCACTTGACGGAAAGCGTTTCCACCAATCACCAAGCAATCGAGGCATGTTTGAAAGAGATAATTGCTGCCCATTTTCATTGGTTCAGCATCCACTCCCGCAGTCTCGGCGATATGTTGGCTCCCACTACGGACCTGAGAGCCGGACCAATTATAAGGGGCAGCAAATTTTGAGCTCCGGAAATGGAACAGCCGAAATTCTGACGTTTACAGTATTTTATGTCATAGCGCAGGGCTGTCAAATTGGGGCTCCAGCTTCAAGGGGTATTTGACGGGTCCGATGCCTGGGAAGTAGCATTAACTGATACACCCAACTCTCATAGGACTAGCTACCAGTGACTTGGGGCGCGAAATGCCGGCACGCCTTCTTGGTCGGAAGGTGATTGATTGTATTTATCTCTCGTTGTTCCCAGACACCACAGCAAATAATCACCACCTATAATCCAATATTAATCCAATATAGAGCGGCTCAAATTTTCATCACTCATGCACGGCACCTTTCTTGCTGTCAAGGAACTCAAGTCTCTACCGGTAATAGCCTAGTGGCGGGAAAATGCGGAGGAAAGACGCTGCTGCTTGATACAACCATTATGCAGATAACCGTATATTGAAGATCCTGTCGGAAATATGGTGGATCTGCATGTGGATTTCTGGGTATTTACCCAAAATATCTTATGATATCAATATCAGACACCTCACATAAAAGTGCATATTACTCTGTCAGCATGTCTTTACAAAACTGTCAATTTCATGTTTTTAGTTACTTAGAGAGTTCATATTACTGTTCTGGAACCCACACAATACTGGTCACTGATTTCTGTCATAAGACAATAGTTAAACTTTTATATGCAATGTTTAGATGTGGTGTTTTTCAAGGTGCTCTTTAAACTTCTGTTGTATATCATATATATATTTAGAATTAATGTCTGCGGTAGATCGATTTAACCAGACTTGCATTATATAATAGTTTTTTTTTTTTTTTTTTTTCCTTTTAGCTATTTTGACAGTTGAGGTGTGTTGGGCGCTTGGCAGTATTATTTTACCACTAGACCACCGCGAAGACCAAGGTGCCTGTTTACATGTAGGGCCTAGAGGAACCATATCTGTTCTGTGTTTTGTTTGATATTAAGCTCAATCCAGCCTGGTGTTTCAAGCAGAGACGAACACATTTTGATTTGTATATGTTAACTACGGGTGCTCCACTTAAGCTATACTTCGGGGTGGATTTCCGGAAAATATAATCTAGGGAGCAACTTCCAGCCCTCTGTATTGCAACAATAAGGACTGATCTGCGGGGACATGAGATGGTGTAGCATTTTTCTAAGAATAGAGTAATCTAGGCTTATAGTTAAGTGTAACTTCCAACGACTGATAGACCTTCCTATCCCAGAAGCAGGGGTAAGAGATGGCGGGTGGCCGAACCTTGGAAGATGGTGCTTTTGGCGGTGTTTGCCAATCGACAATTGTTATCCATATATCTTTAAGGGGAAGTAAACCTAGAATAGAATGATAGATACAAAGCAAGTAAATTGAACGTATGCAATGCCGGGGGCCATATATAGCGACCCGGACTACAAGCCGTTCTAATCCTACACAATATACCCAAAAGAGCTATTCTCCTTTTCTATCTGGTCCAGCTAAAGTACATCCTCGTTCGTACTAAATAACCGCATAAATAAAACAGTAGTATCTTAGTCCCGACTTCTTTCTTCGGTCTTCGTCGATTTTAGGCCCATTTTGTAGAACCGCTCATCGCCCGCCTCCAGCCACAGACACGTCCTATTGAGCAGAATTCTAGGAGCATAGAGGTCAGAACTAATAACGGTATGATTTGGATAGAGGGTAAGTTATGGTACCATTTTAGTTACCCTCGTGCTCTAAAATCCTGAGAGAAAATAGGCTGGCAATCATATATCCAATAGTATTCCAAACAATTAGAAGTTTTATTGCTTGACTTTGCCAGTTTACCCGGACTCATTGACAGCACCGTCCCGGTTCTGTTCGTTCAAAGGCAGTCAGCTATTCTTGTTCAGTGATATTCCATGTCACAAGCTTACATACCTTCAAGTTGGTGCAATTTTTACAATTAGTGCAGTTTACCATGTTGGAGCAACTTTCACAATTGGTGCAGTCTACCATGTTGGAGCAATCCTGGCACTTGGTACAACTTGTCATGTTCGAACAATGCTCGGACTCTCGACAGTAGCTGCAGTTGCTGCAGAATGAACAGTCGACACAGTCATTACAATTGGAGCACTGGAGTTATTTGTAAGCACATTTCAGCAGCGGCATCAAGGCAGCTTAGTAGTATGGTGGTATAGTGATTTAGATGGAGTAGAAGCATACATTATTGCATCCTGTGAAGTGGGTTTAGCAATGCTAACCTGTTTGCGAAATGTGAACTCACCTTTGCAATTGTGACAGTTGCTGTTGTTTCTGTTTCCACTATCGTCCCTACAGAAAGAGAATCAGTGGGTGAACATTAGCAAACGGGGAAAAGTGTCTGAACTCACTCATTGTTAAGGGGAGCCTGTGAATCATAGGTCATGCTGTCGACTTGAGAAAATATTCGATTCCCCAGGAATGTGAGTGTCATATTTTAATGCGCAGTGTGAAATGAAAGGAATAGTGCTGATCAGGCCGGTTATATACATAACTACTCTTATGTCAGTATGACATAATCACTATAAATAGTCCCCCACAGCCCTGGAGGCTGTCCATCATCTCAATGTACTCCTATCATTGGTGTTTAGCTACATGTATATATATGCCAGTCAAAACCATATAGGGATAGGTAATTATCCACGGAACATATATACTAATATACAAGGACCAAGTCCATCACTATCCATCGCCTCTTATGGGGAACAGTTTTGGCCTGGCAATTACCGAACGTTCGTCTGCGAAACTCATATCAGAGTATTACGCAGTACCGAAAGGAGATCAGGGAATATTTGTAATATTTTTTGCCATATGTGCAACTTCCCTGGGGTGTTTGATTGATTGTGATCCAGTTCAATTGTATCTTATCGTATGAGTAGACCTCGCCAAAAACATTTAGAGGGCGGGAATCGCCCGCCCTCGCCCGGCCCTCAACCCTCGCGAGGGCCGCCGTCATCAGCCCTCACCCGTCCTCATTTACATAAAATTTTGAGACCTTTCCTAACTGAGCTGTATAATTCTGCTGATTCACCCTCATAGATTACCAGTATTAAAAAGTGTTTTCGTTTCAACAGTAGGTTTACTAGATAATTTCATACATTAGCTCTTAAATTCTAAGAAATTCACTTGTAATTTGATTAACTATAGGAGTTAATAGTGTAATTACAGAATCACAATATCTTGAGATCCAGTGGTAGTTAATTGTTATAGAATTGTCCAGTTCTGTAGCGTTAGCACTAATAAATATATATTCGCCATGTAGGCAGGTGATGCATACTATGTATCTTAGCAACCACTATTTTCATTCTCGACGTTCCTAACTTAGTAGGTTCATTCTATTAATACTAATAGATAGCATGCTTCCTACTATAGTTCTAATCTTTATAATAAAAGGGCTTTATAAAAGATAAGTATAGCGTTGACGTTTAAAATATGAGATAATTCTTGTTGATTTCACACTAGTTTCGGGGGCATTTGACTCAGCGAAAAAACGAGGGCGGATCTACGATTTGAGGGCGGCCCGCATAAGTCGAGGGCTGATTCGAGGGCCGCCCTCAACCAGCCCTCGGAATTGAACCAATCAGGGTAGGATACCTATAATAAATAGGTGTTAATGTGATACATTACATTTATAGAGGGAGCAGGCCCAATTTAAAAGGAATTTGAATGTGTTTGTTAGCACAGGTGGACTTTTTAGTACGAAGTAGGTCTCGTCCAACCCTCCAAGTCTTATCTATCTTCTAGATCTACGCAGTACAAAGGATCATTTAGTTAAGAATGTCCCAGTTGTCTCTATTCTCGGATGCATATCCATCATCTCTTTACGAAGGGGATACAATTGACGGTCTCTCATTTCCGAACGACCAATTCCATACTCCTGATCTCTCAGGAAGCCAGCAAATAAGTGAATCAGTATCGAATCCTGGGTTTCTTACGCCAATTCCTCTCCTTTCGGTTCCTCCTTCACTCGAGCGTGTTAGTCCTGGTCGATCCATCGAATTCGTTCTATACTCTGATATGTCAAAGGATGAATTTGTTGCTTGGTGGTTAGAAACTGAGTTTGGCCGCAAGAAACGGCTTCATTGGAGTGGTAAACGTACAGCAGCTTGCTGGCAGCACTTTGATCAAGTTGCCAATGCAAAGACTGGAAAACCAGGCGCGAAATGCCGTCAATGCCATAAAGTCCTAGACCATCCAGCGAATGGGCGATATGGAACGACTGCACTTCATCGGCGATTAGCTGGACCAACCTGTCGTAAATCTACCAGCCAAGAGACCAATATTAAGGGTTTGCTTATAAATGCGGTATGTTTAAACCAGGGTTTCGGGGTTTTATTGTAGGGATTTACTAATCAGTCTCTTTATTTAAAGGCACAAAACACACCGGCTACCCCGACGGCCTTTACGCAAGAAGCATGGGAACATAAGCTGTTAAAACTGCTTTCCCTTTCAGGCCTCCCCTTCCGATTTATCGAGCATGCCGACTTTCGTGACGTTATCGCATATGCCAGGCTTGCCCCAATACAACCCCAGATTCCATCTGCGAAAACAATGCGGTCTCGACTACGGGGGTACGTCAAAGAGCAACAACAGTCTATACTAAAGCAGCTTCCACCTAGCGTAAAGCTTTCGCTTGCATTATATTGCTGGAAATCTCCATTTGGACAGGCCTTTATGGCAGTCACTGGCTACTTTCTTGATCAACACTGGGAATACCGTGAGATCCTTCTTGGATTCGAACCTTTATCTGGTTCACACTCAGGTGTCAACCTAAGTGAGGTGGTATTAAAGCTCCTTCAGCAGCATGAAATCACAGATCGGGTACTTGCAGTGACAACCGATAATGCCACGAACAACAAGACTATGATATCGAGTATCCAAGAATCATTACAGTCCCTTGAACTAAACGATAGTTCAACAATAGTTCGAATTCCTTGCATTGCCCATGTGATTCAGCTTAGTCTGAATGATCTTCTTGGAAAGATGAAGCAACTCCAAAGAATGAGCACGCAGAGATGAATTGGTCAGAAGATCGTGTCCGTTCTCTTCGCGCAAGGCAACAGAAACGAGAGATTATCGATACACTGAATAAGGTATATATTCCTAATTCTATTCCACCTATGATTAACACGTTTACTCTACCCTAGGTCCGAAACCTTGCGATATATATCAATGCTAGTCCACAGCGGCGGGAGTCATTTTACAACCTTCAGACTGAAGAGCCTAAGCTTGTTCCAATCCAAGATGTTCGAACCCGCTGGAACTCAACGTTTCTAATGCTACTAATGCTACGGCGTGCGAAACGGCTTCAGTCAACATTTGATGAGTTTTGTTCCCAGTACGACCAGGACCACTTCGCTTTGAATCAAGAAGAATGGCGACAGATTGAATATCTTTGGATCACCCAGCCCTTTTTCAAATTCACAACTCTTCTTTCGAAGACCAAGGATGTAAGTATTCATTTAATATTCAGTATCTACAATAAGCTCTTCACCCATCTTGAAAAGGCAAAAAATGCGTTAAAACGGAAGAAGGTTGCTTGGAAGCAGCTTATGCTTAGTTCTCTTGAGGCCGCAGAGAAAAAGCTTTCGCATTATTACAGCCAGACCGATAAGATCGATAATAATCTTTATGCGATTGGCACCATTCTCTCACCAAAACATAAGCTTCAGTTTTTTGAAGGAAAGGACTGGGAAGATCCAGTGAATGACTGGTGTACGATCTACCGAGCAAGTCTCGAGAATTACTTTGAATCCTACAAACAAAGTAATTTAGATGCGCAATCAGCATCAAACCCCCAATCGTCAATGGTTGCAATCTCAGAGCTTGAAATGGAATGTCAGCAGGAGACGTCCCAGCCCTTATCTTCGGGTCAATATGATGAGCTGAAGGAATATCTGGAGAGCGGTAAGTTTATATTTACTATATCATCTGGCCGACACTAACCTTTTATCTAGGCACTGTGAGAGCTCCGACCGCTGTGTTTTGGAAGGATCACCAGCGCCAATTTCCAGCGCTTGCAAACCTTGCCCGCGATGTGCTTTCTATACCTGCTACTGGCGCAGGTGTAGAACGTCTGTTCAACTCTGCCCGGGATATCTGTCACTACCGTCGAGGCTCACTAAACCCATCAACAATTCACGATCTTATGATGTTTATGTGAACATCACAATTTGAGATTAAAAATAGTCAACGGACGTTGATTAATGAGTATCTCTCACATGAAGAGATACAGGCTAATCAGGAGGCAAACAGTACAGACGCTCACCAACTTGAACCTATCAGTGATCATGATGAGTGCGAATCTGATAGAGCAGATGAAGATGAGATTGAACCAGTCCTTGATCCTGCTCAGATTAAACCCTCAGTGTTCCTTCCAGATCAACCCTTGTTCAATGGGCCCCAACTAAAACGCCGACAGCGCGGGCTGTCGGAGCAAGAGGAAGGAGAGCACGAAGATAATAGTGAGCCCGGTCTACCTGATACACAGAACCGGCATTCGGGTAGGGTTCGGAAGCGCTCAAGGCTTCTTGATGGATATGAAGTTGCTTAGTCTGTACAGTTTACATATATAATATACGCTGTACTTAGAACTCAATTAAATCTATGATTTACCATTCCGATACGCTCCCTGATGTAGTGCGGTCTCAAGTATGAAATATAATCAAATTGTAAGTCAAATACTCGAAAGTACAGATCGAAACAGCATAAATTATGCAATCATAGGACTTTCTATGTTTTTCTTGTTTGTCGGCCCTCAAAATGTTTGGAGGGCCGTATAGTGAGGGCGGGCAAAAGACCAGCCCGACTCTACGTATGAGTGTCTGTTCGTCATTGAGAGAGCCTCTTATAAGATTTACATTAATAAATATGCTTTATATACACTGAACAGATGGAAGACATCATGTTACAGCTTGGCGAGTTGACAAAATGTACATATTACTTGTCAAGGAACACTGAGAGAAGAAGACATGCAGTTCATGTGTGGGCCGTCTTAAATCTTGTTCTGGGCATTCCTGCTCATAGCACGGACCTTGTGACCATAATTATACAGCACAAAGGGTACGGGTGCCATGATGGTTGCAACAATGCTGACGATTGTCAACGTCCAGTGGGGGCATTTGTGCTCAGTCCATACATAGAATCTGGATCAAATCGCGGCTAAGGCTCTCCAATATTGTCACTCGACGATTGGTTGACGATGGTATCAATCGAGAGTTCATCCGATCCGTCATCTCACCCATATATCTTGCAATGTTGTGGCATGCCCTAATGAGAATCGATTTGGTATTTTCGTCTTAGAGCGCTTTCAATAATTCCAATTAAGAGCTCCTCAAATGAGAATCCATTTCTCTTGGCTGTCGCAGGTAAAGGAGAATGGCCTGGAAGGAGGCCAGCAATAGGGTTCACCTACAAAGGCATGATTTCATGATGAATATCTTCGTTTGTAATCTGGTCCTGGTAATGAAACTCACCTCTAGTACATTAGGCACGGAGTCTGGCTTGTGGGAGCAAAATCTAATGTCGACACGCCCAGAATCCTGGCAGTTGAAGACATTCCATGTATCCAAAGCAACCTGACAGGCAGCTTTGATTTGAGGATCGGTCATGTCGTGAGTGTCATTATAGACCAACCGCTTATCTCCCTTGCTGGATTTGCTCGTTCTGCTAGCAAAGTCTAAAGACAGGTTGGAGCGGTAGCCGTTATTGTTGCTGTGGCTGGAAGGCGTCTGCCAGATGTGTTCTCTAATGCCAACCACCCGGCCGTACGAGCCTGTTCCCAAAATGCTCACCGTGAATTCCCGGCATGACAGAAAGGATTCCACCAAGATATCTTGACCCGGGAATTTGGATCTTAGTTTCTGCATCGCCAACTCCAACTCTGCAGGTTCGTTCACTTTGTTGAAGTTTTCGATTCCCTTGGACGATCCTTCGGTGACCGGCTTAACAAAGAGTGGATAAGATTGCAATGCTGTGGTGAATTTGGAGAAGCCCACCGCCCGCTCCAGGGCTGGGATCACCGAGAAGGGGGCATTCGGAATCTTATGATGGTCCAGGATGATCTGAGTTTCCATGCAATCGTTAGTCGACAAATGGTCTCTAGAAAAAAAAGAATGAAATTTATTTTTGCACGGTACCTTAGTGTTCGCTTTGTTCTGGCATAACGCCATCGTTGCCGCGTCGCTGAATGTGCAAGGGATTTGATATGCTTCCAGGAGTGCGGGAACTTGCGATTCTCTTGCTGATCCGCGAAAGCCTTGTGCCATATTGAACGCCAGGTCCCATTCCTTATTCTTACCGGCCGCTAGTTGCTGGACTAGCGACTGGATTCCTGGTACCAGAGTTACATAGTGGCCCAGCTTTTCGAGTGTGGTTAAGACGGCTTGGATTTCTCCATCGTGCGTGAGAGCCGCGCAGTGCTCTTCTGAATAACCGAGTCGGAGATAATTTGACCGTTGTTCGGAGATCAGAGCTATGTTGAGGCAGGGCACGTTCACTTTGGCCATCGTGTTGGTGAAAGAATATTAATTATTATTGGGCAAGGATAGATGGATCAGGACTGGAAGAAATCACTTTTAATTCCCGTAAAGGCCAAATTGAAAAAGGGAAAAAAGAAGAAAGAAAAAATATTTTCCCGGCAAAACAAAATACAATAGAAATAATGAGGCTAGCTGATCTGTAGATAATATAATATCGATGTAGAAACACCATGTGCTATTTAAATTGTTCATGTCATGCACTCACTAGGTTAGACAAAATAATCTATCTCAGTACGTCATGACTTGACACTACTGCTTTGCTTGTCTCATATGGTTATATAATTTTTTATTATATTTCATGTACGGATATTTACGGGTGTAACCCAAAGAGCTGGACATTTCATACTGCTGGTATAATCATAAAAGCAAATTATGACCCGACGTAATGTTTTGTCCTGATGGCGTCATCCCGTCCTTTCTGTGCTGCCTGGTTTGTGTAGTCGCCATCACCGTGATGTTACTTACCCAATCAACTTTGAAAAGCCTAGATTGTTCGCTCAAAGGTGTCAATAGCAACATGTCGTAAAGTTATTTTATGGAGCTAGCTAAACATATTTGAGACCAATCTCTCCTGAATCGAGGACTGATCGTTGGTATTTGGACTTCATATTGGGAGGAGTTTTATTGGGGTTGCCTCACGTGATGCCCGCACAGAGCCCACAGGCCTACGGAGGGGTTTCTTCCCTCCTGCAACTGCCTCACGGGAGTCAATTGCTCGCCTCTGCTGGTAGCTCGTCATCTCTCACGCAGTCAAGACTCGTTTTGTCCCTCCCACCTTCCCTCTGTACATAGAAACCATTGCAAATATACAGACACATTGCCTCCCTACAAGGGAGCGCGGATGGGCTCTATCTGACGCTACGGTCTAAGACCGCAGCGACAGGTGACCCGTCACGGCCAAACTATACACTTTCCTGGTCCCTCTTGACACACTCTTTTCTGATCATCTTTGTTATTCTCCTTTTTGATTCCGTTGCCTTTTGCTGGCCAGTAAATCCGGTGTATTTCCACAGCTATACAGAACATTTCTGATAATTTGTTTATTTCGGCCCACACTGCCGTTACTCGCAACTGCATGTATTCACTGCTCTGAAGCGGGGGCTTGTATGAGAGGAACGTCTCTTCACGGCTACGCAGCAGGGTCGAGAGGAGAACAAGGCCGGCGCGTGGTTGACTTCGACAACTAGCTCCACTGTCTTCAGCCTAGACCGAAGGGCTACAAATGACGAAAAGGGACGGTTCAGAAAATGATGAGTTGGTTGAAAAAGAAAGGAAAAGCAATTCACGGCTATGGGAGAAAAAGGCGTTTGCAACGATGCAAACCTGCCAAACACACTGCAGATAATTTCTTACGCCTTATGACTCGGACAGCCGATGATTAAAAGATGAATAGCAAAATAGTAATATCAAAAATTCCATTTTGGTTCAAAGCAGGGTAATAGACATGTACCAGAAATTTCAGACTTCCACCCTTCCACTCAGTCCAAAGCAACCAGAACCCTCATGTGGTTTATCATCTCTAACATCAAGAACACAGTCCTCCGTCATTGGTCTAAGCAGCGACTTTGATATTTACTGAATGGCTAGGCGTTCCATCCTTGAGAACGAAGAGCATGTAGTATCCAGGCAGAGCAATCCCTGGCTCAGCAGGAATTTCGAACGTGTACTTATTGTCCTCAGTCTGCGTCAAGTGGACGGCAATACGTCGCTGATCGGTGTTCACCGTGTGCGTGGAGGAGCCATAGCGGATTATCGACGCCCGAGAGTCGACTGGGCCGTCGGTGGTTATTTCGACAGACCCGCCAGGTTGGATCAGGCCCGTTGTCGCAGTCTTGATCTCGGGACGGTCACGAAGGGATCCATCAGTATTGAGCAGATACGCGGGTGTGTATATTTGACCGTCGAAATGATTGGCGTCACTATCTCCGCATAGACCACCACCGCCAGTAAAGACGGTACCATCTCGAAGCAATAGGGAGATGCTGTGATACACTCGGATGATGGAGCTTTTCTGCTGCTTAACCCAGGTGCCTCCTCTCTCATTATCGGGATCGGGAATGAACAACTCCGGGGTCATTTGAGGTTGGGTTTCATTGAATGGAAGTCCGACGGCCTGGCCACCGTTGACAAACACCGAGCCGTCCGGAAGGACAACGGAAGAGTGGAAGGTTCGCTCGTAGTTCATCCTGCCTCCTGCGTTTGGAAGGACAGAGGCACTTTCGTTGACTTTGTCGATGGTGATGATGGTGGCATTTTTGGTGGCCTCAAGAGTTTCATACCATGAGGAGCCACCAAAGGTAAGAATTTTACCTTGTTCATACATTACCGCATTTCCACACATGGCGTCCGCGTCACCCGTCCGATTTCCGGCAGAGGCAGTGGAGCCGTTACCCGATGTGCCGAACCAGTTCATTTGCACGCTGGGACCGGCTTGGAAAACGGAGCCATTCGTCCAACCAAATAGCCAGGCGTGGTTGTCTTGTCTGTATGTCCGTTGGTCTTGAGTGAACATTTTCGTTACATCTGCACCGTCGATTCTGGTCCAAGCTTCCGCTTTAGTATCATAGACCTCCCCGTTTTTGATGCCAACACCTCCCTGCCATGATCCTCCAATCAAGAAGATTCGCCCATCAGACAAGGTGATAGACGATTGATTTCCGCGAAAGACATTCAAGGGTCCTCCCCTGGACCAGTCACGAACGTTGGTGTTGTATGTGCTGGTCCCCCTTGCATCCTGCCCCCCAGATACGACGAACCTTCCATCCGCGTCAATCGAAAGACCCGAACAAAACATGTCATGCTGGGTATTGGTGATAGCGCGACGTGTCACCGACTGATTCTCGCCGTTCCAGGTAGCGGTTTGCGTCTTGCCTCCTCTGCCGCCAGTAGAGATATTATAACCCCAAGAAGACCAGGCAACCACCTCGCCAGAGTTTGCATCGATTGCACCGGCAACTGGAACGAGGGGAAAGTTGATAGTAGGGCCCCAGGTCCCGAGCGAAGTGTCAGGAGGAATGAAATCGGTTTCGTATACTTTGATATCTGCGATGGCAATTCCATTTGGAGCAGTTGCCGACAGTCGAACATATTGGGCCTTTTTTGGTTGGAATGCTGAGAGCTTCCGTGTTTGATCTGGCCACCAAGTTCCATATGCAACCAGGTCCCAATTTTCTTTGTCAAGGCTCAAAAAGATTTGGTGTTGTTCAATGAGAGTAGCCGCCTTGTCCTGTCTGGGGACCACAGTCAGGCCATTCACGGCAAATTCATTTGTTCCCAAGTCGATGGTGATATTATGGGAGGTGTCGGTGTAACTTTAGTAAAAGAAATCAAACGACATTGTTATTTGGTGTCTTCTGAATAGCAAAAGCCTAGAACAACCCATCATTTCAAATACCTCCAACCAAGCCGAGAATTTAAATCAGTTCGTTTTCAATGCGCCGGAGCAGCAGTGCAGAGAGGAAGCCAATGTTGGCCTCCTATGACGCAGTGAGTGCGCTTTGGTTGACTCGGCGTGTCACTGAATTTTGGGCTGATGAGTTTCCATGAACAGCCAACCAACACCGGGGTATAGATCCTTTATCACGGCTTCCTCCAGGCAACATTTTCTCTATCCGACAAAGAAGCAACACCTTCAGGTCACTACCAGCATCCCAAAAATTTCAAGAACCATGTCGTCTCTCATTGATCGCGCCAAAGTAAGCACATATGGACAGATGTTTACTAGTCCCGCTCCGTCGTAAATATCATCAATACTCACACATACGACCTAGGACACCATTGCCGAGAACTTTGGCGGCTCTTTCGACAAGCTCGCCTCTCACCAATTCTCCCTCGACAGCGACACACCCGACCTCTCGGGCAAAGTCGCTGTCGTGACGGGTGGCGCTGAGGGCGTCGGCTACGGTATCACACACACGCTTCTCAAGCACGGCGTCGCCAAGCTCTTCATCCTTTCCGTGTCCAAGGATGTTGTCAGCGGATCCAAGGAGGCTGTGGCCAGGGAAATGGACCAGGCGACGGCGAACCGCATCGTGTGGATGAAGTGTGACTTATCCGATTGGACTGGAGTCAAGGATGTGTCTGATAAAATAAAGAACTCGACGGACCGGCTGGATATCCTGGTCAACAACGCTGGGCGTGGCATCATGTCGTACGAGCTCACCGATTATGGCGTCGACAGACATATGGCGGTCAACCACATGGGCCACGTTGTTCTCACGTCGCACCTTCTGCCTTTGATGAAGAAGACAGCCGAGTCGACGGGCGGCGGCCACTCCAATTTCGTACGCATCGTCAACCTGGCGAGTAACATGCACCAGAGCGTGCCGGACGATCTGCAATTTGCGAGCCTCGACGAGCTCAACACGGACCTCGGGCCGAATCAGCAGTACGGACGGAGCAAGCTGGCAGGTATGTTGTACGCGCGGTACTTTGATTGTAAGGTGACCAAGAATGGACATCCCAACGTCTTGATGAATGCGACGCACCCGGGGTTTGTAAGCACAAAGATGAGTACCGAGGATATTCACGAGCCATACGTCAACCACAGAACAAAACTCTGCGACCACAGACAGCATGCTAATTTTCACCATCCGAAGCTATCCCCTCGCCGGGTACGGCATGTCTGTCGGCCTTGAACCGTTCAAGAAGAACCAATTCGAAGGCGCCATGAGCACCGTCTTTGCAGCCACCAAGATCACGGGGTCGGGGCAGTATATCTGTCCGCCCGCCGTACCCGAGCCGGGAAGTAAGGCGTCGCAGGCTAGCGGATCGGCTGATGGAGTTGACGCGCAAGGTGGTTATGGCCAAGACGCGGAGCGAGTCGGCGGGTCAAGGATGTCCAGTTGATGACCTCGTGTTACATTAGAGTCGTAAGAATTTTGGAAGATTTGTCTTGAGTTTATGCGCTGGTGTTGTTTCGAGGTATGAATTGACTCGTTATTTCAGAGGGATATATGAGCCTATATATACAACAATGAGCCAAGCTGATTTCCAATCAACTTGGTCGTATGTATAGACATTTCGGAGCAATCCGACCGTGCGGTTTGGTTCCTGATCTGCACCGGCTTCATATCACAAAAATTAGATATAGTAGCATTGGCTTTGATCGCTTTGTACAGCAGGACTATTGATTATTTGACAATTTATGATTTACTATTTAGTAGTGAGTTCGAGCGAAACTGGACATGAAAGTGCTAATAAAACTTTGGAGACGGCTAAGGCTTGCTTTTGTGCTATGTGAACTATACTAGTCAAACACGAGGATACCAAGGAGAAAAAGAAATTAGGAGTGATATAAGGTTATGCGCGAAGCATTTTGTCATATCATGGTTGAGCTTGACCGTCTCCATCTCGAGAGTTGGAATTCACGTTCCTGTTGACGGCTCTATCAGTCCTGGGAATGAATATCTTGGCCCTAGGAGCTCTCTTGCTCCCAGGGGCTTTAGTGCGTTGTCTGAGAGCATATGCGCCGCTTCTGGAAGCCATATAGCTCCCAGGAATCCCGACGTAGCTTCTGGGGTCTTGTACCCCCACCTCATGGAACCAAAGTCACGTTCCTGTTGACAGTTTCATTACCTCCTGGAACCTCAATTGCGGTTCCTGGGGCTATGGCTAAGCCTTTCCGGGAGTAATCGAATGACGCAGATTTGTGCGCAGGTCTGGTGAAGAGATCTTGTGAGGGGTTTCCGCGACCACAGAAGGCACGGCAGTGCCTTAAAGATCCAGAAGCAGGGTCCCAGGGGGGCGACAGCTCCCGGATCCAGCCAATGTGTTCCCAAAATCAGTTCGTGTTCAATCAGGATCGTATAGTGGAGTTCCCAGGGCTAGAACTCAGTTTCCTGGAAACAATAAATGGCCCCAGGAGCTAGATACGAGTTTCCAGAGAATAGACAGCTCCTATAATTGGTTTTGGCGTTTCAAGTATTCATATGTTTATCCCTAGAGTCAAATTAACCGTGTTTGTTGATTAAATATATACACGAGCTAAGACATGAAACAAACTGCGAATAGCATATCTAGGTGCATTAACATCTGGTACTTGCAAATATGAAACGAGCAGGTACTGCGGCATGCCTCATTCCATATTACGGCTGCTCTATTGCGACGAACATAGATCAGTAGAATGGCCGGCTGCTGCTGTGGGTAGCATAGTCGGCAAGGTTACGGGTTGCCTGTGAAAATTTGGATGTGTGTGTGTTGGGCTCTCATTCGCTTCGAGGATCTGAAAGCTCTTGATGCACCATGATGGTCCGCATATAATTTCTCCACGGGTTGCATATGCTTCATGTATAATCCTATAAAATGCGATCAGAGCCACCAGGAATTAACAACCTCTTTTCAGGAATGCGACGGAAGTTTTTGGTGGCCAACCAAGTCCAGAATTCATTGCTCAGACACGTAATAGGGACCCATCGAGATGAATAGCCTCACTACGTGCTTTCTCAAGCATCTATATATTGCAATCTTCCTACATGATCACAGGTACCACCCAAGAATATATCTCTTCAACTGGAAGACTGCACCCCGAATCTCGCATCACCCAGAACGCATTTGTACTTAATTTTCTCATCATGACCTGGAACCCTACTCATCTCCAACGGGTATTGAGCCAAGTTTTGGGCGATCCCCTGCACCGTGAACGGTGCATATAGATGACACCTGACGGAAATCACTGTCAAAACAGCGTGCCGATTGAGTCCCGGATAAATGGAGTATTGTGCTTTCAGCTGTTCCAAGGCCCTCCTTCCGCATACTCACCAGTGCAGAGGCTATCTTTGGCCGCAAAGCAATTGTTCTGTTTTGAGTGCAGACGCCACAGCCGTCGACCAAAAGTGTGGGCCAACCGAATTTTACGTTTATTGGATGCTCGCCTAGATCAACCCGAAAATGTCATGGTTCAATCGGAAACTCATGATTCGGCTCTTTTGGTACATCCATGGCCAAGCAGCATGTCCTACAGCGTTGGCGTGGCCATGTGTCCCGACGAGGCATCTAAAACCAGAAGAGACTGTCCAAAGGGGCAACTCTATCGACAAACCCCCGGGTACACTTAGGTTGGCTAGAGCCGTGGCGATCAGTCGTTCGGATATTTTCAAGACGACAACCCGCTTCAGTTGGGCTGTATCTATGACATGCCCCCAGTCACGACCATGAGGTTCACTGATAAAGAAAGTTGGTATTCGTGCATGACATATGACCACTTACGTTCCCTCACGACTGTCGCATGGTTCGCACAAAAGTGGCCACCCGAAGGCTCTTGTTCTGTCATAACCGAGCCGCCTAGCTCGTTGCTCTTCTCGCAGGCTCTGGAGCTGAAGATCAATTATTTTGAGTGTGCGCTGAGAATACTTTCGTGGCAAGTTGCAAATCGATCGAGATCTCTGTTTTCTCCTTTTTGTGACACATTATCTTCGTTGGGGGGCAGCTCTGGGGACGGGGCGGCTGATCGTTGTGTGCGCTCCGATTCAGAAGAGGCGGCAGATGGATCTGGGAGAAATTTTGATCGGCTGGGAAATAAGTCTTGGATTTGATGTTTAAGCTGCCGCTTCAGCCTTTGAAAACGAGAAATTAAATTTTTGAGGTATCTCCACATTTTCTTTGCGCTTTTGGTGTATAGAAAACTGAAAGAATGGTAGTTGTAGGAGATCGGTAGAATTGTTAGGTAACTATTATCTTCGAATAATCATGCGGAACGGGATTGAAGGGCATAGCCCCGGTCAAAAAGTTTCAGCGCCGCCGCCAGGGAGAAACATGGGTAGTGGTCTGTACGAGCGAGTGATATTCACTACTTCAACGTCTGTTGGTATGTGGCAATATTTGGAACGGAGATATCTAATATCTGCATCACCACTACTTTTCGGCATAAAATTGAGCAAATTCGGGGTGAGCAGCAGGTGAGATCGAGCGTCAATAGTTGAGGTAAACGTTGAGTTGAGTTACCCGCTCACTGACTCGTTTAAAAGCGATCGCACTCAGGTCAGGACGGTGGTATGTGGCAATAATATCAGACTGAATGCGACTGTCGACCTATAAAAGAATCGTGAATACGATCTTCTTGCATATAATTCCAAGGGTCACGATGGACCAACCCACTTCATCTTCCACGTGTGACCGGCCAGCCAAGAGACAGTGCCGGGTTTCCCAAGACCCAAAAGATGAGAACAAGTTGCAAAGCCACCTGCAGCAATCTTCAGATGCTGCAACCATAGAGGCTGAGGTCGGTCATACCCTCTTCGGTAGCAAACGAACAAGATCACTAACACTACATAGGTTCCAGTGCGTACACCCGGCTCCCTTGCGGCGGAGTTCACGAAGCTTCTACACTACAACGACGCCCTGGCTACACCAGCCCTCAATCTGCTCGACCTCTACTTTTGCCTGTGGAAATGCTACGTCGTCAAATCTGCCGAGAAGATACAACTCGAAGAAGAGCAACGACAGCTTCAAGAGTCAAATGAGTGGCTAGCAAGCAACAGCGACATCCTTTTACAGCTCTGCGGTGATCAGGCATTGATACTGTGGGATCGAAAGCGAGCAATTGGAGCACTGTGTAATGGCGTGGTTTCATCCTTGCAAGCGAGCGATATTCAAGTCTATCATGTTGATGGGCCTTGATGAAGTCTTAGTGTTGTCGAGCGCTCGTGAGGACAATGACTCCTGAATAGTTCTGCAACCTATTTACCTTCTGTCCTAAATATCACCCCTCTTTTTAAAACCTCACACCACAGCCCGTGAAGTTCAGTTGGATTTGGTGATGGGGTTTCAACGTTTCACGGCAGTTGATACACCAATCAGTTCGGTTTAGAGAACTTAGCATCTGACCATAAAGCTTCCCTAGTCTGCGATGAACTAGCGTTAGAAGAAAGAATAAATCCCTGCTCAGCCTGCGGCATTCTATTCCTCCCAACCCTCGTCAAATTGCTACTTTCTACACTTCTGTATTTTACCACTACCTTTCGACGGCGAGTCTTGAACCAAAATGCACGAATCGAACAAGAATGGTCTGTACCCGTTGTTTCAATGTTGTTTTGTGCTAATATTGGCAGACTGTGATTTGGATCTCGACCTTCACGCCATCTGGCAAGAGTGCTCTGGCATACCGACACCACCTCCCTGTCTCGCCACCGACTCCGAAAATTCTCGGCAGATTCTCTCGGATGAGGGTGAGACTGCAGGATATGAGACTTCAGGGTCGTTATTGATCGAAGGCCTTTTCTATCCCACTTACGACAAGTTGTCAGCCTTCAAGTGGACGGGTCCAGATCCTCTCTCCATTTCTACTCAGGCTAGCGACTTGTTCCCCTACATGTCAGCCTTTGCTTTCCCTAGAGACGTGCACTGGGTAGAGTTTTGACTAGTTCGATTTGACCGGAAATCTGGCGAGAGTATAGGAGAGCATCTGTTCTTCCTGCCCCGGGTTGAGACGGCCACGTGGAATCTCCGTCGGGTACGCGGACAGTTGCTAGATACGATCTCCTGGCATGAATTTGGCGCCATAGACACTAGCTCCCGACTGTCCCTTTGGCCTCGAATGGAACCCCTACCACATCCCACTCACTTGACCCTTCCTTCGCCAGTTGCGATACCCACGACGGTATCCCTTGATCCGAGGTTTTTTGTGCATAACATACTGGATAGCTACAAGTGAGATCGGTCCATAAATTGCGTTGTTATTCAACATTTTCCAGTGACCATAAATTGAATGGGAGGGTATTCCAAGCACCAGATTTTGCAAATACTTAGAAATAAAAGATGCTTTCCGAGCAGCAGTTCTACTTGATTTGCAAAGCCAACTGTAGTATGTCTATGCTGAAATGGGACACATCGCCTCGAATAGACAGTCCTTCACCCTTCTCTTGCGTCGTTTAAGGGCCCTGCGAGATTGAGGCTGGAGGGGTGATTCAAGTCATCGAGTACGCTAACCAGCCTCCCCCGGGATAATTCCAATGCCTGCTCAAAGAAGCGCAGCCGGAATAGCTGCTTGTCGCAACGAACCTGAAGACCGTCCCTCTTCTTTCTCAGCTGCGCACCAGCTTCCTTCAAAACAAGGTTGCCCTGCTCAAGCTTCTCGCCATCGATGTGCTTTGACACGCACGACTCCCATAGATGTCGATAGATTCCGACAAGTCGAGCTGCTGGAAAGGCGAACTTGGGATCGTCGCGTTCGAGGTCGGCTAGCACCTTCAAGATCGGTTGAAATGGCTCGGTCGCCAGGGTGTGCCTTCTATCTGCTTCCTGCTGCAAAGGAGAGGGCTGCAATGGTCAGCAAAGGCGTTTGAAAGCCGAATCGTTTCACTTACCAATGGGACATGGTCAGAACTTTCCTGTGATTTGTCTTTCTCACCAAGGATGGGCGATTCACTGGGCTGCTGATCTCCTTCCTTTTCCTGGTGTGGTGAGCTGTTCGGGGCATCCATTTTGTCCTCAAGAGAAAGTCATGAGTCTGGTTAATACAATTTCTATCGATCCTTAGTGTCTCTTATAAACTATGCAGACGCAGGTGTTTATGGGCTGGGTTTTACAATCACCACAACAGTCAATCGAAGTAGTCAAGTTGTGACTAGAGTTGTCTTACTTTTCAGCGGACTATTGACTGTTTATTCAACAATAGGGATAGTCGGTCGTGAAAACTGATCAAGCCTCACTGTGTTGATAGCCAGAGATCAACTCTTGTTGAGGATGTATATTTCAATCAGAAACCTCTCTCCCTTTCGTTGAACGCCTCATAAATCCGACGAATCGAATATTGTAGAACTTATCATCATTAAACAAAGAAATTCAAAAGGGAAACAAAACAAAAAAAATTTCAAGTTCGAAAATTGAGTGTTGACAACGTGTGGCCAAGCTTCAACGGTTTGACAGTTTGAGCACGACCTCGCTTTCTGCAAGACCCATAGCTCTACGCAACCGACACCACATTAAAGCGAGGCTAGGGAAAAAGTCCATGACTTCGAGTATGAAACTGTAGGCGCCTTTCAGTGATTCAACGTTGAATCGCCCGCGGATGAGGTATCAAAACACGAAATATAAGCCTGTCATTGCGGATTGCATAGCACTCAGTGCCTCATTTTAGCGAGACGTGAAGGATTGGACGGTGAGCCAACGTTTCTTGACCAACTCAACATTGTTTCTCAACACCAATTTTTATTGACTCTCTCTCGCTGAGCATATAAAGCATTAAAAAATGTCGCTGCACATAGTTGCGGTAGAAAGAAGACGTGGGTTTAAACAGGCCTCAATTTAGAGGTGTCCGCCAACGCGTTCTACCAAGCAGCGCACGTAGCACGTAGGCGAAAGGATGACCCGAGAAGCCTATAAAGACGTCCTCTATCCCCGGCATTTTGTTCTACAATTCAATCACTTGACTACGCAAGGTCGAGCAGGTATGTGTCTGAGTCACTTGATAAGTTCTCTCCTTTGACCCAGAATTGAATTTCCTCTGTACTGAAATTTATAGGATACATCGAGGATTAACAAGCCAGACAGTGCCTGAGAGAGATGTCTTCCCAGCAGATCCACTGTGCCAACCAGCCAGCCGACCAAGGAGACAAGACTTGGCTGGCGGTCCAAGTGCCTATGCGAAGATGTCTCTCCGCCGCAGCAGTAGACTGAGCTGATCTACTTTACAGCCCCTATGTATATCCCCGAGGCAAAAGCGCGAACATGCGCGTCGCTGGTATGTGAATCTCAGTCTAACCTGTCTGGAATTCTACTGATCCCGAAGACGATGCGATTGTAATAGAACCGAAATTCGACCACAATGCACGAGCGCAAGGACCGCAACTCTTTGCCGTCCCTTCGTCCCCAGTGTTGGCCACCAGAACATGTGAGTCATAGATTTTTTTCGCCGATCGACAGGCTAATGAATGACAGTGGAACATTGACATCGCACCAGATGCCCCCGACGCTACAGCATCCCGTTGGTGCCAAATAAAAAAGCCATGGCCTAGACCCAATCCTTAGACCCGACGGTTTAAACCACGCAACATACCACAGATGAGCAACAAACCAGAGGAACGGGCCAATATCAGGTACGCACATTCGATTGCGAGGCTCGCTGCATGGAAGCTTGAGATGTCCATTCTTTCTGATGATGTTGTTGTTGTTCAGAGGTATAAAATGAGTTGTTCTTCCAGAGGAATATATGAGCCTATATATACAGCAATGAGCCAAGTTGATTGGAAATCAACTTGGGTTGTCCATATTGATACCTCGGACTTAATTCCGACGGTGCGGCTTGGTTCCTGATCTGCACCAGCCTCATGTCACAACAGATGTGAGTGATTATCGCGTCCTCTCCTGCACTATATCATATATTTATGCAAATTTTTGTGCTCCAAAACACGAAGACCATCACTGATTTTGATGCCATTGTACATAAGAGCAGCCCATCGCCACCCATGAAATCTCCTTGTGGGTAGCCCTTATCGACGGATCGGGAATAAGACCAAGGGGCAGCAGTACGACGCGTGCTCCATCGCGCCTTCGCCCTCACCGCCTTCACTCCATGAATGGCGGAGTGTCTGCCCGTCCGCATTGCGAAACGTTCATCGATCACGACTATATGATTGCTTGTGCCTGGTGAAGTTGTCACGGCCTATGCCGCCCGAGAGAATGCGCGTTGCGCCACAGCCCGGCCTGTCTGGAGCAACGGCCGGAGAGTGCGACGAACCAAACTACAACATGGCATAAATCGTGTGGATTGTTTTGCCGAAGAGGGTTGTAAGTGATTTGTTTGGCAAGTTCATATGACCACGAAGCTCACTGATCGTCTCGTCTCAAGCGTACACAGCGTGCCCTCTGCAAACTCTATGAACAGGTAAGTCATAACAGCTCGTCCAAGTGGTAAGCCTTGCTGACTCGTATCGTACAACAGGACGCCCTCATTTTCTCTGCTCGAGCTCCCCTATACCGATGCGATCGCATGCTGTCTATCCGTTCCATTTGACTACTCGTGGCATTGACGATGAGTCAGTGTAAGGTTCAGACCGTCCACCTCGGCCCTTCTCTCAGTCGACTCTGTGCATCAGGCCCTATGCCGATGTGTCTACTCGATGCAAAACCCAAGCCACAATGGGCTAAACCACCGTTTGTCTCATCATTCGAAATAATAGCCTCCTTGTGGATCTAATTACTGGCGTGCCATGGGTGATTCTCATTGTTCTCGGTTGGCATCTCGCGTCTTTTCAGTCCTGGAACTTTCAAAGACCCGAGGAATGCTGGTGGTTTGTCTTGTTTGATGGCAGATGAGCCATACCTTTGCAGACAACAAAACTTGTGTCAAACAATTTTAGCATCGTCGCCGGAAGAAGCATGTGTAAGAGCGAGTGATGTTCACTACTTCAACTTCTGTTGCTATGCAGCAATATATGGCACGGAGATATCTGCATCACCACCTTTTGGATAGTTTGCAGTCACAGTAACGTCACGTTCAACTTCAACGGACTCTACTTGATGTATAGCATCCAATGCATCAAAGTTACACTTGCAAACTACCATTAGTAGGTAGTTTCTGCAAGACTGTATCTCAAGGCTTCGTCTGTTGCCATTTTCACATTATATTGAGTAGCTCGGGGTGAGCAGCAGGTGAGATCGAGCGTCAACAGTTTGAGGTAACCGTTCAGGTGACCGTTCAGTGACTCTTTTGAAGGCGGTCGAACTCAGGTCGGTACGGTCATGGGTGGCAATGACAGCAGGCTCAGTGTGACTGCCGGGCTATAAAAGACCCTCGAGCACAATTTCTCTTGCATTTCATTCCAAAGGCCATCATGGACGTAGAAAACATATTGAACATCACCAACAAGCAAATTCACAGAACTTTTCGAGTCCTTAGATGTATATATACGCGATGAAAGCACTGGGAAGTTTGAACGATAACAAGGACCTCCTTGGAAAGAAGAGATAGAATCAAGTCCAGTTTGAACCTTGGGATTGATAACTTTGAGATAACTTTTGAAGAACTCATTAAGTCAAACACTAGTTGATGAAGCCTTGAATACAAGCGATAGTGACACCGACAAATGACCTCGGATCTCCCTCGAACCTCCACTCCTCTTCCAAGACCCTCATCGGGCGTACCCCTACCTAATTGGGCATGACACAATCCAATTCTCCGCTAAGTTGATCAACTAAACGGCTTGAGCCACGGAAAGATCACCAAGAAGCTTCAGAGATGGGGTAAAAAAGTAATCACCGCCATTGGACTGAACGAAGGGTTCAAAGGTGACCTTATTGTGCACTTTATTACCATCGTAGACGCACGTGTACAGGAGTTTGTCGTCCTCTTCTACGGCACCCTTGACTGACTGGCCAACAATGACATCCTGTCCAGGGTTTATACCATCAGTGAAATCAGTCTTATCGGCCGGAAACGTATCAGGATTGATCCAGCCTTGGAGATTAGGGAGTCAGCGACTTCATGATACTTCCTGAATCGAGAGATGACTTACGGTTCTTAATGAACTGGAAGACATTGCAAAGGCTGGACTGGTAACAGGTGAATATAAGGCCGCGGTCTAATACAGTCTTGGAGTTCTCCTTCTCTTCGGGACCGACCTCCGGTCCATACGAGATACCGCGGCGCATGATGTCAAATATATCCCGATCATTCATCATACCTCGACCCTTGGTCTTGCGCACGTGTGATGCAAATGGGCAATTGAGCTGATTATCCAAGGGGAAGTCAAAGTCGTTCCACGTAGCATATTTATTGTTATCCTCATCGGGACACAGTTCAACAGGTGCTCCTAAAGACATCTCTCAGCGCTTGATATATGCAGGAATATTGCTACGGCTTGCGGCTTACCACTCTTCCAGCGTCCCAGAAGTCGAGCCGCCAACTGCTCTGGAGTGAAGTTTAGACGTGGAGCCTGTGATTCTAAGAAACTAAAGTTATAGAAATTAGATCATGATTTCAGCGGTCAAATGAGCTGATAATATACCTGTTGAACTCTGGCACGAATTGTCTCATCTTGCGAACAACAAAAAGGCTGCCGTCCTTTGCCCATTCAGGATGCATCAACTGTGTAACATTTTCCATCTCGCCGTCGTGTCCGAATAGGATGATTCTGCAATGTGTAAACAGCGTGAAGCATCATTCACAAGGCTGCGTTTCAACATACCCAGGACGAGTGGGGACTTTGCGAGATCCAGGTAGTTTTATGGTTTCATCGTCTAGGCCCTTGATGAGTGGCTGCGAAATGCCGTCCAAAAACCCAAAGCTGAAAGATGGATCAGGTAAAATCTTCCCCAGTGCCAGTTTCCAAAGACTTACTGCTCATGTCCCTTTTGGTCTCCGGGCCTTTCTTTGCCATCTAAGGTCAAGAGATGACGAACGCCTTGGCTCGGGCCCAGGTACTTCTGGGACAGCTCTTTTACTTTTTCCTTGACTTCGTGTTCGGTACCACACACCAGCAACACCCCATCAACAGAGCCATCTTTGAACTCGGGAAGCCAGTCTTTGGCTTCATCTCTACCTTGACCCACCATATCTGCGAACATGCCCTTGAGGAATGGGTCGTCTTTGAACCTCCCTTTGCCCAGCTAACGAGAAGGAAATTATTAGAGCAGGCTCTTGAAGTTCAAAATGAAAAAACCTTCACTTACCTTGGTCATGCCCCTGACCGTAAAAGATATGTTAACCTGGGCCAGGCCCACATCGTCGGTTGGTCCTTTAGTCCTCGGGATATCATGATGGGCTGGGAGGGCGTCGTGTATGGCAGAAATTACGCTACCCGTCAGGTTTATAAGGTTCCCGACTATGCCCGGTTCACTTGATGCTGGTTTCTTCACCTTGTGTATGGCTGCACGGTTGACCAGGGCATCGTGGGAGGAAGTAATCACATCATCTGCCAGGCCTCGCAGTCCGGGTCTGAAGGCCGCAGCATCCTGGATATTGAAGAAGAAAAACTGCTCATATCTTTTCGTAAAGCCAGGCCTAGATTTAAGTCAGCACTAGCGCCCTTGGTGATTGTCTGTTCCTGAAGCTGACCAGATATCTCCCTGGATATTTTTGAGATCAAATTCGGATGCGGACCCCATTTTCTGCTCGTGATGATTTCTTAAATCAAATTTTCGGTTGTGCAAATGATGATGAATAGCAAGTACAATGAGAGTCAGGCAAAGTTGTTCGAGATTATTCTAGAGGGACACTTTATAGCTTATTGTGCTGCGAAGTACCCTCTTCAGCCAGCGTTGAGTGTACCCTTGCATAGCTCAATGAGAAAGGAACTTGAAACTATCGTCATATATTGTCAAGTCAATTGGAAAACTGCAATAGTGGGGCCCAGCCTTGCTTAATGTTGCAACGGACTTCGCCTAGGGCCGCACGGGATGTGGTGGAGCGCATTCTTTATCTTGGCCAATACACTGTCGGATATTGTCATGGTCGAAGAAGAGCCAGATTGCTAATCCAAGCTGGAGAATCTCGCGCGCGTTGAGCAAAACCCGACCCATTTTTGTAGGCTCCTTTTGGGCATACCTGTGGCAAGCATTCTTTCTTTGTGCTACTCGCTTCATTTGTCGAACCCCAAGATAAACATAAAAAGATATCACCGGGGTGCATTCTGTGTCCTAAATGTGCAGTAAATTTCTGTTCCGTCTACACGCACATGTATCGACATTCTCAGTCTTGCAATAAAGGGGCTCTGCGGTTACAGCCCTTGCATAATTCGTTGTGCTCATGCCGTAGTTTGACAATGTTCGGTGCGTTGTCATCAGGAGTTTGCTCAGCTTGGCCTTTTGGAGACAATGATGGGTTTTAAAACAGAAGTTCCTGCTCTGGATAAATCGAACCAGATCATTCCTCGAACCGAGTCTGCTTGACCCCACTTCGGTCTGTTCTACCGAAACGACTGGCCACAACTGCGATCGCGCATTTGACGGCAACAGCGATAGCTATTGGCAGAGTGACAGGTTGATATATAACGTGGAGTCAGAGCCTCTTGTAGGTCGAGGCGGAGGGCTCAAGGCGTATTCGAAAATATTTCGGCCAACTTTGAAACGACCATGAGTAGCAAATGAGACGATCATATCGGACGCGGTTAGGAGATGGAAAGCATTTACGACGATTTGTGGGAGAGGTATTGATGGATAAGGTCTTTCTCCTACGGCGCGTCTACTCTATGACGCACCTCCCCGAAGCGTGAATCTTGGTTGAATGTGGGGTCAAAGCTAATTGATGGGCGACTGCCCCGTAGTTTGTCCAGTATATCCTTTCAGCAAATGATAGAACATGCTGGTTTTTCCGGTCTTTGACTTCGGGACGGACCCATCCAACCGATAATTCCTGATGGCCATGGAATATAGGCAAAAGGCGAAGTCTATTTTGATCCTATTCCGCTCATGGATAAAGAAGGGATTATTATCCGTCCAGATCGAAACAAGAATATTTGGTAGATCGCAGTGCGTGAACATAGGCCTTATCTTGTCCTGTTCTAATTTAGGTCCTCCTTGGCGAACGATTTAGATATCCAATTATTTTTGAGTATTTCTACCCCTTGGGTAATTGGACGGCGATAGTATGTTGAGTGGCATCTGACCAGAGTGATCGGTCAGATGCAGGCTGTAAATTGATTGCATGCCGAGATACCAATGTCAACATGCTCTGCTTAATAGTGATACAAATACGACTTTCAGTGCAGGATTTCCCGGATACCATGGGAATGATAGCCGATTATATTGTTACCGGTTTTTGCTAGCCAGGACGGAAGGAAATATCATCAACCATCAATGGGCACTCTCTGGCATACCGGTTGAGATGTCGATCTTTGAAACCCTTTTTCGACGATAGCGCCAGAATTCATACACGGATGCTCATCACAAATGAAGGCTACCCAGCTTCCTATCTACCTTCTCTACACCTGCGATATGATCAATCACGCACTAGCCATATGTGTGCCATCACATTTAATATGAAACCAATCGGTTTTACAATCATCACGGATCAACTGGCAATTATATAGAGGAGCCGTGCGCCAGATCATCTCAACCAGATCAGGAAGGTCAACGATCTACTGCTTCCTGTGTAATCCACCGTTGTCGCCTGTGTCGTGGATGGCGTTAGGGACTGCTCTCTCAATACTCTCCGGCAGCTTCTCTTGAACCTTTTGAGGAACGAAGGAAGCTTCGCCCCCGCCCTTTGCGTGAGACTTATTTGTCGACTGACCAGGCTGTGACCCAGTAGGATGGACCTTAAAAATGCAATCAGGGTTATGTGCAAAAGTTCGGATTCGCAGTTAACATACTGAGTCCGGGAGGCTCCCCTCAAGTCCTCGCGGTGCTTTGTTCTGGACAGCTTCAGGAACTTTCGAAGCTCCTGTAGCATGGGAGGCACCCTGGTTTCGCTGATTCTGGGTTGACAACTCCGACATTATGTTTAATTTGGTTCAATCAATCAACTAAACGTTTGTCGTAGATTTGAACTGACCTTTCCTCGAGGTAGGACATTAGGTCTTCATAAGCGCAGTCCGAACTTCGACAAAAGTGGCTGGACTTTTACTCGGTGCTATCGAAATATAAAATACGTAGTCGCGACGCCGCTATTGGTCCCCGTCATGGAATGACGCACATTGGCGGTAATTTGTGACGTCAGGGCACAGTTTGCACCTTTTCTGGTAATCATCCAAAGAAATGAGCTGATTGAGCAGCTCTTCGGATTGACTCTCGAACCGCACCTCCCTTCGTCTAGAAAGCAGACGCAAAGATGACTATGAGGCAAACTCACGACCTCTCGATTAGTGACTGACTAGTCATAGCCGGAGGGTGACCCAGACAGCTATCACGAATGGCTGTCAGGCTTCTAATCTGCCTGACAGCTCACGTTAAGCGATTCTACTTCAGCGACGAAAGAGACGGGAAATGTTGGGGGTAATCAAGGCTCAAGTGTGGAATGTGATTGGTGGAGTAATATTGATCTTGCTTCTTTCGGTTCCCGATTTTGCAGCATGAGAAAAGTCTAGAGGCTGATTTTGCGGCTCTTCTCGACCTGAGTACAGTATTGGTAGCCCAAGAGACCGAATGGTTTTACTGGTTCAAGTCGATCATATGTAATGGCTATTCATATCTATAAGCCTGGGCGTGCACTTCGAACACGTCTTATTGCTTAGGAGGTCGGTTGGGGCAGGTAAGGTATTTGGAATATCACACAGACCATTGGCAACAGAGATCCGATCCGCGGTTTAGTTACCCTCGCAGGAGAGTGATTGGTCATCCGTCGAGGAGGAAGCTGCTGCTTTCTCTCTCTGATTCATAGAACGTTTTAGAATCTATGTCTCCTGTCCTGCATAAACCCTCACGTAGAATATATACTCTCTAAGCCCGACCCATCGTCTCCATCTGCCAACTTCGACCGCCAGTCTGGTATCTCTAGCAGATAGCTTGTAGAAAATAAGCTACATGTAAGGACAAGATGGTAGATCTAAACAAAGACTCCGGTTTGTGCACTAGAGGCCAAGAAACCGATTAGTCCCGGCCGACCCACAAAGTTTATTTCAACCAGTGTATCTTGACCATTACTCCGGCGTCCGAGAATATTTACAAATAAATTGTTTCCTTCTAGAAGATACTATACTTGGTCAGCGCGAGATTTTGCAGGGAGTAAGCCGATTTTCCCTCTGAATTCACGGACTCTAGGGGCAGATTTAATCACGCCAAACCAATAAAAGAAGTGGAACAGAAAGCGTATAGAGAAGCTTTCGATTTAAGTTTAGGCTTGAATCCTTCAAGATGACCGCATTCTCTAACCGAGCGAGCGTTCCCATGGCTCATCAGCTACTAATCGTGAGCACGGTCTGTATGGATTTCGCTTTTTCCTAGTCTGCCAGCCTTGGACCGACTCGAAAAACATTCGCTTCCCGTCAAATACGACGGGGGCGTGACTCGAAGATAAATCGTGTGCCTCATGCTTCTACCAGATCACTCTGCTTTCGACCCGACTTTCCTACCAAATACATTGAGACCTCTGGAAATCGAACCAAGAAATATTTCCTTGGGTTGACAAGACTTAGGTTAATCGTCAGCTGGTGTATGAATGAGTAGGTGGGGTTAAAGGGCCTAATCTTTTGGAGCAAATCGGGATTTTGTTTTTCCGGCAGCTGACGTTTTTAGCGGACCCACTAATTTGCCTTACGGGGCCTGTGAGAACCAACATAGACAAGTGAAGTGAACCAATCAGTCAATAAAATACTCTAACTCGGTGGGTCTGTAAATCATTTCGCCGTCATTTCACGGAGGCGACATATATTCAGGCTACAGTAAAAACAAAGCATCATTCACCGTGGTCATGGCTTGGAAATTTCGTCATCCTTTTATGGTACAGCCTTTCCTGAAGAAACCTTATACTTTTCCGATGAGCCTATGAGTGAAAACTAGATGCGAAACGAAGAGAAAGCAAATTATAGTTATTGAAAGGATCATTCATCATGTTCTTTCTGATAAACTTCCACGGCTAGGCCATCGAGGTATCCATGGATGTGAAGCTAAAGTAAAGGCTTTTGAGGCAACCTGGGTAGAAAAAGCTGCCAAATGATGACCAGCTGCTGATAACTAGCCTACATATCACGTCATAAGCATTTGAGATCTATTTCTTCGTCATCGAACAGGGCATTTAAAATATTGTTACATGTATTAAATGTCTACCATGGCATCGAACTCCTGTTCTCTCTACTCGACGTGAGACAATAAATTTGAGCAATGCTTCATCATTTGGCAATGTTTTCGAAAACTTTGAAGCTCAGGTTGAGACAACCTGGTTTCTCCGTGCCCCATAAAGTATATATTCGAAAGGTTGAGGCTCTTCAGTCATTTTCAATCATCAACCTGCAGTACTCGACCGCGGGTTATGGAGAAGGTGATTATCAGGGCGAGACCCCACCCTCTGAAGGTGTGAGCCACCGAACTCGGGAGCTGGAGCACCCAGGACCATCACCTCCACACACGAAACCATCAAAATTAGAGCCTTCAGGTTCTTCAAAGCCATCTTCCCCTAAGCCAACAAATAAAGATCGCGAGAGAGTTGCTCCTCGATCACCGAAAGAAGAACGCGACAACGGAAAGAAAACCGACCCAGATCAGGGGTTGAAAAATTGAATTTTGATTAGAAACGCTGCGCTTCTTGGGCACAAAGCGCTGGGGATTAACTGCTATGCAGCGCAAAATTGTTACAGTACGGCTTCCAAGTATTGACTTGAGTACATTCATATTGTATCATAATGAAAAATTCAATAGAAAGCAAGGTCTTCTGGTAACAGGTGATTGAGTCGACGTAGGGGAGGAACGTAGAGGTCTGGAGATTTCCTGGCTAAAACGGCTTGCGCGCGACATGCCAGAAAACGAAGTCAATGGACAACCTGGGCTAACCTACTGTATAGTTACGTCAACATGAAGGAAATCTTTGTTTTTTTTTTTTTTCATATAACTCTTGACTTGGCTAGATAAACATGAGGATAAATCATCAGACTATGATGCGAAAGGAAGATTGGCTGACCCCCAGCCGGAGGGCCGCATAGGACCATTGGGGATTGATTCGCCATGAAATATGACCGAAGGCCGCATGATGCTGTCCCATTTCCCAAAGTTGGGACCGGAACCGGACCACGATTAGGTCTAAGACTCCGCAGTAGGATTAAAATGCTACACATCATCGATTTTGGCTGTTTTTGATAAATGGAATATGAAGTCAAGGCAATTTCCTAACCATGTGCTTGATTACTTCACCGCTGGTGACTTCAAGCCTTTGGTTCCAGCTGTCTATATCACCGCTATCAATTGGGACGGCACATACCTTCCTCTGCTACCCACACAGCGAGATTCAGGTGAAGATTGAACCCATAAATCAGGGAACCTGTTTGCCCACAACATACCTACGTCATCCCGGAGCGGGCAAAGCTCCTCGAACGAAACCGCACCGTAGCAACAAATTTCGGGAAGAAAGAAAAAATAAAACCAACAGATGAAGAGGCGATACAGCGATGAAATCGAAAAGAATCAAGAAATTCTGGCACAGCTCACATGTCTACAAGAAGAATTCTGGGTTCTTAGAAACATCATCTTTCAACATGCCGAGTGCGAAGATTATCACATCAATCATTAACTAGCGACGATGAATTCGACCGTCCTGGACAGCCTACCCAAACGCGACCCCAGCTTCATGTCCACAATCTCATCTGGTATATGGTCGGCTGCAACGGACGATGACAATCACAATAAGATCGAGCCAGGAGTATATAACGGGAATGACTTGACGTCCTTACACAACTCGAGTGAGAGCCTTTTTGTGTCTTACGATCCAAATACTATACTGATTCAAAGTTTGAAATGTTTTGATTAGAATATCTGTGCATCTCAAAGGGAGGGGCCTGGGCTGCTTTTGTACGGCAAAGAGCTCCGGAGTTTTTCAAAAAGCAGCTCCGCATGACATGTCGCATATGCACGACGTACTCTGTGACCCTTGCATCTGCAGAAGCTCGACAAAGGGATTTCCGAAGAAAAGAGGAGTTTCCGTTGCGTGGAAGAACAAAAGCTATCTGCTAGAGTCGACAGACTGGGGATCGAATCGGAGCATATGAAGAGAGGAGGTGTCGGGTTGGAAGAGAGTACGGCTTATCAAGGGCAAGGAGGATAAAGGAGAAGATGCATCGGTTGTAGACCGCTCTAGGCTAGATAGACAAAGCATAAACTTGCCATTCGACAGTAGACCAATCACTCTCTTACGGAGGCAACTGGGAGAAATCGACCACGGATCGGATCTTTGTCGCCAAAAGTCCTCGTGATATTCAAAATACCTCACCTGCCCAACCGTACCTCTTAAGCAACAAATACCTGTTCCACCCGAACGCTGACGGTCATTTAAGCCTAGGCTTATAGATCGTGTTTGGACCTTTGCAGGTCGTTCCAATTTTTTTCGGGCCACAAATAGAACACCCTTGGTCTGCTGTCCCGTGGGTCATCACTAGGATATTCATTAAAAGACCGAAGCAGCGTCCGTCCACGTTCATGCGCGATGTTTGACTGGTGTAACCAGTGCTTCTTGTGTCCAGGCTCCAATCAGAGTCATAGTAGCGTTGCAGTCCCACGAGGTGAGCGACGATCGACAAGGAACAAGATCATAAACCTTGGTAGCTGAAATGGCTCACATAGTTGTTCTGGAAACTAGACTGAGGTTCCTACTTTGTGCTCTCCAGTAAGCCTAGTCATTTTCGTTTTCCTCCGCCAAAATATCCAACCAACACCCTGGACAATATTCGTGGTGTTTGTGCCGACAGGTAGCAGCATTTCTAGTAGAGGCAAGATCAGTTGGATGCGAGAAACACAGAAAATTACCGTTCGAGCAACGCAGGACTAGGATATGGACAAGATTGATTATAGCGAGACTAAAGGGTGATACTAAGAACGATATGCGAACTGCAGGTACAATCGAGCGTCACTGTCGGCCAAAAAGAGTCGAAAAAATCATTTGAACGTCCGTTCAACAACTTCAACGCCTCTCAACGAGAAAGTAAGTCGCGTCATCATCTGCGCAACTGACTCTTTGGGAGAGGCGGAGCCGAAAAGACATAAAGAAGCTGGATTCCCAGCCAAAAAGAAATCAGCATATCCATCCTCACACTCTGAAGTCATTGTACCTCTCTTGCCTGCGGGGATGGGAGCTCCTGTGACTACGACTGTCGCTTCCACGAGCCCCGCGAGAGTAAAAAAGTGCTTCGCAGGAAATTGTTGCGTCAATAAGGCCAGTGCCGAGAAGGACACATACGACCGGTATGTTGCCCGTTCTCACTGCATGATGAAGAGCTGTCCAGTTAGTTTGATCGGCCAGGTCGACGTCCACGCGATCTTCTACTAGAATCTGTAGAGCTATAGCCGTGTGCTTTGCGTCGGCAGCCAAGCAGAGTGCTGTTTCTCGGTTCAAATCTAGGGGATTGATATCCACAGCATCATGGACTAAAAGAAGCCTTGTGATCGACTTCTTGCCATATTCTGCTATGATGTGGAAGGCGGTCCGACCGTAGATATCTCTTGCGTTAGACTCTAAACCGCATTTGGCCAGCAGGCACATGGCTACCGACGTGCATCCATACTCTGCTGCAATGTGGATAGCGATACAGGAGTGTCTGTCCGTTGCATCGATGGAGGTCTCCTCAAAGGCGAGCAATTGTTGGACTATCCCGCTATCGCTATTTTCTGTGGCTTGGTGCAACAGGGTCAGTCCGGCCATCTCTAATTCTAGAATTGGGATCTGCACCACGGGCAATCAGTAGCGCGACAAAATCTTGAAGGCTTGCCTGTACGGCCTGGCAGAGCAGACGGTTTCTGATAGTGGCATTCTCCGGTAGGGTCGTCCTTAAATTGGGATCTGAATGAAGGAGTAACAGTCGAGTGATTTTCGGGGCTTTCTTGGCAACAGCAAGCCTTAATGGTGAAAAGTATTTATAATCTGGCATTCTCCGGTAGGGTCGTCCTTAAATTGGGATCTGAATGAAGGAGTAACAGTCGAGTGATTTTCGGGGCTTTCTTGGCAACAGCAAGCCTTAATGGTGAAAAGTATTTATAATCTGGCGTTCGTAGATCGCTGCCCCTTTCCAGAAAGACTTGCACTAGGTTTTCATAGCGAAACGCGATGGCGTACCAAATAGCAGTCCGGTTCTTGATATCCCTTGTATTCAGACTTGGATCAAAATCTAGTAAAAGTGATGCAGTAGACAGTCGATTCCTTGCAATGGCGTATACCAGTGGTGTCTGCCTGCGGTGGTCTTGCCAATTGATATCCGCTTTGTTATCAAAAAGAAGCGTGCGATCATGATCTCGTTCTTAGTGCGAATTGCATAATGTATCGTTGTGCGAGATTTATCGTCTGTGGTATTGGCGTCCGCTTGATAGCTGTACAACATCATTTCCACAAATTCCGACTTGCCTTGGAGAACACCCCAGAACAAGGCAGAGCTGCGTTGGCGTCGGACGTTGAGCTTGAACAAGTAGTCGAGCAAAAGAGCATTTGTTGCTCGATTGAGGCAAGCAAGCATAAGCAAATCTTTCGCTTGATCTAGCTTGTCTGCTATGTAAGGTATAATCTCAGGAGGGAGATCGAGGAGGAGCATCTATATGTTAAGTTAGTATCAACTCACGTATCAAGTCGTGCAGTATCAGGGGCCGGGTATATTCACATTGGGGTAATGGGCTAAAAAGAGCGCGAGTTCGATTTGTAATGTGTGGAGTTGGTCTGGTGGGTGACTTGAACGGAAAACCGGGAGACGATAGATAGGTCTTTACTGTCTTATTATATTCGAACCCCAGATGCAGGATAATGTTGGTTCCCGCGTGGTCTGAAGTATCGGGAAAAATCAAGGAACGGTTCAGGTTCCTGGGAAGCGGGAATCGTTTACCCGACCCTTACTATGTGTTATCATTCTCCTCACGGATCAAGCTAGGTGGTGATCGTAATGAAAATCAAATGACCCCTAGTCGCCGATATATGGTAAGGGCCTAGACTTCCCGGGATGGATGTCTGGCTCCTAGGCTCAAGTACGAGCTCCTATAGGTCCCTTCTTTGCGGTTCAACAGTTCCACGGGCTTTCGGGAGAGAGGCAGCTCCCAGGGTCAAGATGAGTGCTCCTAACACCGATGGAGCCGTTAACAGGAACGTGACCAGTTTCTTGATAGTGATGGTGGAAAGGTAAGTACGATCTCCTCTCTCGGTGGCACTCTTGCGATCATTGATATTGATAACAAATGCGCGATATGGTCCTATGACAACCATGGCTGCACAGGGTCTTCCGCATTCTTCAGCCAACTTGATGGAGATGACTATTCAAGTAAGTTACTGCCTAGCATGCAAATCAAGAAAAATAGACTAACGGATTTGTAGGGTTGGACAAAGTCGCCAACAGCACCCATCCAGGTTACCCTATGCGTGGCGCGGAGGCTTGCGGCACGGAAAACAATTCATCAGCTGCATGGGTTAAGGTCAAAAAAACCGGGGTGATCACCTTCTACAATTTTCAAGGAGACAGCTCGACATGTACGTTGGACAATGGACTCAAGCATGGCAGCCGCTGCACCCCTCGGGCTTGATACACTCCACCAAGTCGTCTTCCACCAAGTCGTCTTTCACCAAGTCGTCTTCCACTAAGTCTTCCTCCGCTTTGACGACGCTGGACTATTCGTCATCGGCTATGGAGCCATCCTCGACTACTTTCCAGACCGTAACTATTTCTGATCGTTCCTGATAAAACTGTAAAACAGTTGGTAAGAAATCGCTCTTCGGATTTACAGTCCATACCTCTCTGTGTATTGGGTCCATGGTAGGGTGGGGGCTGCAGCAACGTCAAGAAGAGATTTATCAATGTTGTAGTAGACTGATGTTGATTCATGTTTACAAATGATATGATATTACGTTATGTTGTTCTAAATGGGAGTTGTTTAGTCTAGAGAACGCATTTCCCCTACCTTCCACATTTAACCTGGTTCAGGGCCCTTAGATCATCTCATATGGTTGATAGTGCCGTCAGTGATGGCTCAACTGAAGCATGTCTTGATGATGTTCTAGTGAGAGTTCTGATATATATACAAGTAAATTTTGTTTTACAGATACGTCGTTTATCAAAGTCCAGAGGGCGATTAATGCCCGCATCGTAGCAATATTCACACGTCTTCGGACCTTTATAGACTATATACCACGAAATGATGATCTCGTGGCTCAGTGAGTCCCATGCCCGATTTTACCAATTGAATTCATTCAGCCATTGTCTGAAGAGCCATGCTAGCCAAGGGATATCGGCCAAGTGATCAGATATACTATTAGTTTCTAAGTCGTGAAGCCACTGTTCCACAGCAGCAGCACACTTTCAGCCCTAGCATTCCGGTTGCGTCCATTTAGAAGCCAACAGAAAAGGACACAAGTTACCACTTCGACTGTTACGAGGAGCCCCAAATCCAAAGGCGTGGTTGCTCGTCAGCGGGGCTTGAAAGATCATCTGGTAGCAGGATATCTCGACAATTCAACGGTTGATGCCTTCGCGACTAAATTTACCTGGCTGAAATTATGGTACGTATCTACGACATCAACACCTACTGGCTAAAAAGTTGCCTAAACAACATTGCTCCCTATCATCCGAGTGGCAGAGACCCTCGGGTTCCTAGAAACAGATAGCTCATTTCTAGGACGAATGAAAAGCGCTCATGACGGGCACCACAGAAGCTCCGATTGAGGGTAAGATCACCAAAAGTCATCAGGGCACTTCAATTTCACTAGACACTTAGGTCATCTAATTCTTGATAGTTCCATGGTGGCGATTAGACACGATCAAGGAGTTTCTCGGTGTCTCGCAGGATTGATACGTCTTGTGCCACTTGGCAGAGTTCTTCAACCTATGTAAGCAAGAAATGGGATATGCGGAAAGCTACTCACAGATTGCCATCCTTTACCTTGGCCACTCTTCGCCTTGCTTGAACGTGGCACGACACCGACAATGCAGATTGTGTGCTTCGGGGTCGCCTTGACCTGCGATTTTCGACCCAACAGATGCTCCCTGCATTGCCAGAAATTGCTTTAGGTTTATCCTTCAGCTGGTATCATAACTGACGATGAAGGAAATGGTGGTGGGATAAAAGTCTCGGGCAGGCATACCTGATTGCCTGCGAACAAGCAGCCACACAAACTCGTTTCTCCAGCGGCCATGGCAGCATGCGCATGTAGTCTTGTTCTGAGACTCTGTTTTAATTCTTGCAGGAGTTGAGACGACGATGAGTTCATAGCCTTGGTTCTGGTAGTCTGAATCTGGCGGGGTACATCAAACAAAATTGAGACGCTGGGGCCTCGCTGGGTCTCGCTGGGTCTCGCGGGTGGCACCATCTGTAAATTTCCAATTAGAAAATCGATCCAGCTCGAGGCTCTGACTCAAATAGAAAGTTGGCTTACAGGTTCCGGGACCAATAAGTGATATGGCTATCGGCCACGGCTGGCAAGTGGGTACAGATTCTCGTCACGCTAACCTGGATCGGTTCAATCAGACGGGCCAGGCTGGTTTAATATCTGCTGTTTGAAGACAGTCTCGAATTTTATTGGGCTGACAAGGGAAATACCTGTGCAGAAGGCCTTGCTTTTGCTCTCGTGGTCTAGTAAGCTGGTGAAAAATTCAATGATTAGCTCGGCTCGGCTCGGCACAAAGGGTACTGCAGTCTTACTAAAGGGATACCTAACCAGGACTTAGGATCTGGCTGGCGAACATGAACAGAATGAAGTAAAGCGAACCAGCATGTCTGACAAGAGATGAGTAGATGCAGTAGTCGGGATGGTCGCCGTGCTTGTCAGCAACCTGAAGCACTTGGAGAGTTATAGGTGAAAAAATTGTCATGGGTCTGCGGTAGGAGGACACCTCGAATCCCGAAGCGAGAAACCCCATTCGAAATGAGTATGTAGTGAATACTTCTGATGGATACAGGTCCGCTCGAAATTAGTTTCACCATGTTATTCTCTTCGGTTCTTTCTTTAGTCTTGGCCAGACCCACCTTGGCCTACATCTGGACTAGCCCATCAATTACTGTCGAATGGGAAAAGGGTAATGAAAATCCACTAGCTACATTAGGCCTAGCGTTGATAAAAATAGATATTGAGAAGCAATCAAAGAGAACAAATTGGTGAAACTGATTTCGAGCGCGTCTGTACATATCAAAGAAATTGACCGAACTTATAGTGTTCGATTTGCCTCGTGGTCATCTGTCTCACTTACCCCCTGCATGGAGTTGTCAGACTATTGCCAATTTCGAGGGGCTTTGATGATACTTGCGCAAAGCAAGGTCTGTTGAGCTTCCTCTGACTGGAGTGACGGCCTAGTCAACAACAAACTACAAGCTGTTGAGCCAATCTACGCATTTTCCAAGAGCCACACCCTGTCAGCGGCTCTTCGTGTCTATATCTGCTGCAACAGCGTTGATTAAGCTTCAACGTTGAACCAGCGACCACCACTTCAACAATTGTGACCCATGTGTAGCGGATCACCAGTTCAACGCGTCGAAATACGCTTTTAACTGCCATCAATTTGCTTTAATTGTTGGTTACTGGTTGAAAACTGAGGTCGGTGAGCGTGTTGTTCTTTGAGCAGGTGTGTCTACGTGCACTCACTTGTTGAGGTTGGTCGCGCGGTAGCTTAGCTACCATCCATGTAGATGTCTCCCTCGAGTGTAACTAGCTGTGCCACATTGACTGTCAATATTGCAGAGATCAGGGACTGCATTGCTGCTCTGCTCACCGTTTGGCAACGCTTCGTTCCTCAAAGCTCAAGAAGGTATATTATTTGGTCGCTGAACGCACAAACACGCTAAGTGATATGTGTGCCTTTGCTCTGATAACCTTGCCGTGGCCGGCCAGTCTCCTCTCAGTCCAACACTCGTCCTACGGATGGTTCATCATGCCCCGAGCATATCTAGCGGTTATGGTGCGCGCCACTGTTTGTTGTGCTACGGTCATATGGCATGCGAAGCCTCGTACCAGGCTCCTAAGACTCGTGCTAGGACCTCGCATACTGGTCCTAGGAGCGACAACGCTCCTTGAGCGCTTCTTTTAGATCATGAAGCCATTTTTAAGGTTTCGGGGATCCATTTGGGGTCTCCTAGGACAGAGAAGCTGATTTCACGCGCATACCGAATTACGTTCGGCAGCGGGCTTGATTGACTGTTGCAGTACGCTAGACAGCTAACAACGCTATCTCCGTCCTTCATTCCGCAGTGCAACCATGATGTCTACTCTTGGGGGCAGAGTTTCTTGAGCCATTATATTAACATCACTTTGCAAGTATTCGACAGCTATTCTTTGATCGACATCATTTCCTGGTCCTTCTCATTCTCGGCTCCATTTTGGGCTTGGGACATGAGGTAGATAATGGTCATAGCAATGCGCGTCACTTCATCTTCGCCAATGTGATCCTGATGATCGAGAATGCTGAGGATATTCCTGAAAACTGGCATATACAAATAGAATTATCTAGGTATAAAGAGGGACTATGCTATCATCGTATCCATTACCAGTCTCCTCATTTCTGTTCCAGACGCTGTCGACCCCATCTACAGCCATCTCTACAATTGTCCAGCATCTTGCTCAAAGCATCATGTCCATCAAAAGCGTACCAGCTCAAAGATTCAGCATGCACATGTACAAACATGACCTCCCTCCGGATTTCGAGTGCTGCCTATGCTGCACACCCCTGTCTACGACTGAAAAAGACAGTCTGGAGGTGGTTGATTGGCTGATGCAGCACGACCGTGTGCTCGCTTCGTGCTCTCGCCGGGCCCCAAATGCGCTCACCTTGGCCATCATACAGGGCAAGAGCTGCATCGTCCGACACCTGATGAAGCGGTTTCCTGCATGCATCAACGATCCAGATGGGAACAACCAACGACCAATTTTGGTGGCTATAGAATACCGACAGTACGAGATTTTGCAATCGCTCCTACGCGATCCACATACCAACGTGAACGTCACAGATAAGAGTAGCCATACTCTTCTCCACCTAGCCGTGATTTACGACGATGTGACCGCCGTCAAAATTCTGTTGGCGAACCAAAATGTCGACATCAATGCTCGAGACAGGAAGGGCGATACTTCACTTCTGCTGGCTGCCAAGATTTACGGGAGCGACCAGCCCAATAGCAGCCGGATACTTGATTCTCTGTTATCGCATGAAGACATTCGGCCCGAATGGCTTGACTGCGCCGGTCGCTCGGCGCTCTGGCACGCAGTGAACACCTGCAACTTGCAGCTGATTCGCCATCTTGCAGAATTTCCGCGGGCTCAGATCAACGTACCTGACCATCGAGGTGTCAGCCCGCTTGCTCGGGCCGTGATTCGCAGACGACTTGACATTTTCAATTGGCTTCTTGCTATCTTTCCGCAGAATATTGCCCGAAAGTGACTGCAGTGGCCTTGCAATCTCGGTGAAAACCATGGATCTGAACTCCGCGGCTTGCTGCAAAGCGTGTAAAACCACTGAAACACAGGCGTCGCAGAAATTCCCCACCCTCTATGTCGAATAACACATTTCTCACAATTCGGCTTCAAGTACCAATGAAGCTTTTCATTTCCTACATATTCCGTGGTAAATATTCGTTCTGCGGCGCAGTTCTGAAGTGGCCCAGCTGAATGATACGATGCTGAATCTTGAGAAGTAGAAGCAACATAGTTGAGATAAGGAATTTGATCACAGGCAGCTTGACAGTCAAGCTATTTGCCCGCACAGCCTTCGAATCCCCTCGTGCTAGATGAGGCCCGTTGGAAGGATTTTAGGATGAATCTATGATAAAGCTCTGCGACCCAGGAAGCGCAACAACAGTCTCAAGATTCAGAATACAGTACTAAACCATCATTACATACCAGATTCAAGTCTTACTACCTTGTATATGTCGATGAATCCGGATGTGATAAATGGATAGGCTTCCGGAGAAAGGGCTGGCCCCCCTTTTTGCACTGTGCCGGTTCAATTGTTGACATTTCATCTTGATCAGTGCTATCAAATTTTGTTTCATTTCGAGTTTCAAGGGATCAACAGACGCATCCGTCTTTGAGGATTTTGTCGAGCAGCTCCTTCAACACTGTGGAAAACGGCTCGAGTCTAATTCTATACTAGTAATGGATAACGCTTCCTTTCATCACTCGGGCACAATTGAACAGATGTGCGCAGAGGCTGGCGTAAAATAGTGTATTTGCCTCCATATTCTCCTGGTTTGAATCATATTGAGGAGTTCTTTGCTTGGCTGAAGGTTTTTATCCCACGTGATTGGCGATCTTGCGAAGAATATCGAGAGCAAGGATTCGATAGCTTCCTCGAATGGTGTGTTGATGTTGTTGGGGCGAGGGTGAAGAATGGGAAGGGGAGTTTTCGACACACTGACCTAGCCGTAGAGATTCCGTTGAAAGCTGATATGCCTGAGTTCTCAACTAAGCTGACATGATCCTTTCTAGCTCCGAGTCTAATTTAGGTGATACAGTCGCTCTCAAAATTGGCTTAACCAAAACGCTCTATTCCACGGCTTCGTTGTGACTACTTTCATGATATCTTAGGCTTACAGTACAAATCTATCTTGCATGAATCCTTGACTCAGAGCAGTCAAACATCATAAGTCAAAGCACGCAAAGCAAGTACGAGAAACCCTTATCATTTAGTGCCTATCGAGTGCCAAAATCATGTTCTAAACGCAGCCTGCTAATGAGGTAGTTGATCTTCATCTCCTTTGCTCAGAGTAAGGCGTTTCCACCACATGACGCATCCTTGTCTCTCAGGCAATCAAATAATCGTTGGAAGTTGAAAATTCGATGTAGGCCCTGGGACATCCGTTCTCTCTCCGCTCGGCTTTCCTCCCATTCTACTTTGGTCAAAAAATGATCCCCATACTTCTCAGCTTCTTTCGCTAGAATTCCGAATGTTTGTGGTGGAAAATCTGGATGTACATAATCTGGTTCTACCTCATACATCCATAGCTTTTCTAAGTCCGCAAAGTCTCTAGATCTGTTATAGTTTTGAATGAGACGACTTTCAAGCTCCGGTCCTGATAGGATGTTTGCAGTCTCACCTTGGGCGAAAGCAACATAGGAAGAATCAATCTGCACAATATTTTGCAAGCGCCCTTCACCTCCTGGATGCTTATCAAGATAACTTGGATGATTATGAAAGGTTTTGAGCTGGAATCGAGGTTGCGAATTGACAGAATGGAAAGGATGATCCAAAAATGACTCGAGAAAACTCGTCTCCCAACTTTGTTGGATTCTCAATTCCCCCTTCTCAAATTTGAAAATGTGATCAAATAAGGTGTCCCCTAGAGCGTACCAAATTGCCATTACCGGTGCAATTTGACAGATCATACCGCAGTCAGCAGTCGTCGGTCCTCGAATCAGGATGTTGAAGGCTTGGCTTGAAGTTTGTTCTCCTTCGTATAGTAATACAGGATGAGTCTGTTCAAGTCTATAAGACCATTCAGGGGGACATAAGTGTCGGATATCCCGATCCCAGAGGGTGATTGGATACTGGGTATATGTTCGATTCCACAATTCCGTGAAGAAATTTGGAAGGTGCAGCCCTTTGAGTGCACTGCTGTAATACTTGGGCCTCTCGGGTCCATACAAAGAAGCAAAGCTCCTAATTCCTTCAATCAAGGTTCCTATATCCCACGTAGCAGAGCCTTCCTTCAGCTTGGTGAAATAGGCTTGTAATTCCACTGAGGGTGGCTCATTGTGCAAACCCCTTATGATGTCCGCTCTTTATTGCTTGATTGCGTTCGGAAGAGATTCAATGATAATCGAAGCCTCTTTCTCTTTAGATGAATAATTTAGTCATCCACAGACAAGTTATGTTCGTTAAATTCATCACTTACGACTAGCTGACTCGGTTGTAAGGTCCTAAATATGGCATGTGAGTTTTTGTTTTCGTATTTTCTTTTTTTTGTTTCATTTTGAATGGCAAAGCTATTACTCACATTGGCCAATGATGGGTTACTCATGATGATAGCCCAAAGAATGAGATGTAGTGGTGGAGAGTTGTAAGCGTCTGGCGTGCGGGGTGTCGATAGGAAGATCTCGGATTTAGGATCGGTCCGAGCCGGTGCATTAGCTAAACTCGCGGGTGACGCACAAGTAGATAATCAAGGAGAATGGCACCGAATTTGAAGCCATCACAGCTCGAGCTAATTTATCACATGATCCAGGGTAGCTAGCTAATGCATCTCAGATGAATGGTTGAAATAGATAGGCCCACGCTAGCAACTGTTTCTCCACCGCTTCCCAATCAATACTAGTACCTCTTGTCAATATCCCGTTGAGACTTCACCGATAACTCCATAGTATTATCTAGTCTCACCCGTCGGCTACGGGCTGTCTTCCGCGCTAGAATGTTACAAGCATCCTCATTTGTACCTGTTCCCAGTAGGATCTATGTGGCTGAGTGAGGTCTTGTTTTGTATCCTTCCACAACTTGATTATTTAGTTCAACCCTCCATTCTGTCTGATAGTGGATACAGTCCGGGGATTGTTGATCCCATGCTTTTCTATCTGCACGTTCAACCACAGACTCAAGCCCCTGCGGAACAGGTATTAGTTGATGCAGGGAAGGTGAACATTCACCAACCATGTCCTCAAGGTCGGATGGAGGGCAGATCACTGATGGCGTCCATTCAAGGTGGGGACATACGAGGGAGTCCGTTGCCATAGATTGGGCAGTTCAGTTCGGTAAGCATCATCGTCATCATCGTTAAAAGGAGTGTAAGCCATCCCCTCAAGGCAGAAGATACCACTGAGGAGTCTATCAACATGGTTGTGCGTAAATTTCCACCAAGTTTGATCCGGGGTACATAACTCTGGCTGACAGCCTTAGTATTGTGATAAGCGGATTCATGGGTAGTCTGTAAGGACAGTCACTTTTTGCAGGCCGGATGCCGAATAAGCGGCCCAGACCATCAAATAAATATAGGAGAGGCAGAGAAGGGACAGGTCCCCAGATTATCGAGGAACTCCCAAGCTCTAGTGTTAGACTTGTTTGTATCTCCATGGAAAATTCTAGTTCCCCTGGATAGCCAATACAGTTACAAGACGAGGTAGCATATTTTGACGATCTGAGAGTGGTAAAATACCACTAGAGCCCTTTGGGGCAGGCTTACTCATCGTTCACCAGTTCCCCCTAGTAATTGTACGGTATTCCGGGCACATTCGGAAGTCCGGTGTTGTAACACGCCCAAGCTTATTTGTATAGACCCCCGAGATCGTTTAACCGATCGTTATCACCTACAATCAATCGTCTGATTCTAATGGTCATTTCCAGTAGTAGCCATCACATTTATTCCTCATCCCGACAATATATAATACACCGATACGCATGAAATCTCTCCTATCGATCTAGCAGTGAGTCACAAACATGACTTGGTGGTATTATTCAACCAAATGGCGGGGTTGGGCAGCTGTGCATTTGGCGCGCAGTTCTCAGAGACATATAGCTGTCTCGCCGTATGTCCACTCAATCGAATAATTTTTTGGTCTTCCCTATTATTTCCAAACCATGGTTGACAGAAGAAATAGAAGACACAGCTCATCCGGGTCATCAACGGAGAGCGATCCTGCTCCTGACCCCCCGAATCCCCCTGCCGTCATTCAAGAGAGAAAGGAGCAGAGAAAGTATCAAAATGTCGTTCTGGATATCATTGCTAGGTAAGAAATATACCAATTTTCTAAAAATGTCATGCTTTTTCTCTTGAGTTCCGCTCATCTTCAGAAAGCCTCTACCTCAAGCCCGATTATAGCGATCTCAAGATATTTTGCCAAGATCGAGTCTTCCCAGCTCATAAGCTTGTTCTGTGTCCCAGATCCAAGTACTTCCAAAGCGCATGTTGTGGTTCTTTCGAGGTACTGTAAATTTAAGCAGAATCTTGTGGAGCACTTAGGTCGAGGCTAATGGGACTGACTCACAGGAATCCCAGGGATCTGTTACTTTGGACACTAGAAGCCCGACACTAGTCGAGAGGATGCTACAGTTTCTTTATACTGGAGACTACACGGTTGAAGACAATACGACCGAAGTACAAATTTCACTAGGCGATAGCGATAAGCTACCAGAACCAGATACATGGCATTCGGAAGCGGCTTTGCGACTCTCTCAAAGAGACCAAAATGACGTGGAGAACCTTTCAACTGAAGATAATGCCGTTGATCAAATTGCAATGTCAATGTCAAATCAACTTGCAGCGAGCCTTATGGACCAATGCTCAGTGAACAAAAGGACTTCAGTAACTGGCGAGGGCCCTTTAACAGGCTCCAGCGAGCAAATGGATGCTATCGACGAATCATTGACGGATTGCCACCCATGTTACTTCCATCTCCGCATGTATGGAGAAGCGGATTACTTCTTGATCAAAGATCTGAAGATCAGAGCAGCAGAGAACTTTCGAGATTCATTTGAAAATTGCTCCGAAAAGCAGATCTTGGCGCGGGTAATCAAGGAACTCTATTCAACAAATGCCGACTACCGAGATATCAGAAATTAAGTGATAGAACTGATTGTGAAAAACCTGCGAAAGCTTCATGGAGGGCTGACCCCGGAGATTGATTACGACCTCTTGAGAGCATATCCAGCGTTTGCTGCTGAATTGTGCATAGCGACCATGGAAAAGTATTTGAGTGTGTCATCCAGCCCCAGACAAGTGCTACCCCTTTCCACGGTTGAGTACAAGCCATTCAAGTTCAAAAACTTCGAATATCCATATGGCATGGGAGAGCATGGGAGACGTGGGTCCGAATGAAGGATGTTATCGAGAGAACCTCCACCAGTCATGTCAAACATCCATTTTTGACCTCTGGAGATATGGCCTTGCTTGAGTCAAAGCATTTGGTATTGTATTTGAAAAACACATTACTATAGAAGAGATAAATTTCAATAGTCGACCAGTCGTTGTAAATAGGGTCTGTAAGCGAGCTTCATGAGCCTTCATACTGGTATGGACTAGCGTGATTGGGTAGAAGTTGAAAAATACATTTGTTTTCGTAGGGAGTATACTCCTACTCACTCCGGAAATGTATAAAAATTCAAAGCCCGGTTGATTGTAATTGGCTGTGACATTTCCACCAATGGAAGTCGTTGCGATTAGCAGCAGGTGATTTTCGGCTACCAAGTCGAAGTGGTTCTCTGGATCATCCGCGGGGATCCCGTGCAATACCCCTTTCCACGCGACCTGGCGCTGTTGATGGATGATTGGGCTGTCATGGCCCCTTGGGTACTTGAGGCTGGATGTTTATCAAGAAAATCTATCGTATAGATAACAATTATTGCTTCACTTCATTTGATCATTCGTTTTGGTAGAAAAATAAGTGTCGCTGCATCGATTATCGATCGACTAAATCAAACGATTCCACCATCCTGAGCCTAGGCCAATAAATGTGTTGACAGAAAAATATATTTCGTAGACTATTAGAGCAACGACCTCTGCTTTTGGTCATACTTCAATCTTGTGAACACTGTGAAAATCCGAGATATTTATTTCTCACCGTTCTGTTAATTTTATTGAATCCGACTCAAAGCCAGCGCGTCTTTCTTGTAAAAGCATGTTCGCGAGAGCCTCAAATTTCAGAGTGTTGGTGCTAACAGAGCGGCAGCACAGGCTGCTTGGCATGTTCCGAAAGCCGAGTTGCATACAATGACGGAGGCAGGCGCACTAGCACCCATAGTAGCTCCCCAGGTGAAGCCTGCTGCCGAGTAGCAAGCCATGACAACAGCGGAACATCCTGCTTGGCAAATTCCGTAGGCGGCTGGTCCGGCAGATACAGGAGGGATGAAAAGTAGTAGATTATTGATGAGCACCCACGGGGCTCTCATTTTGTAGGACTTGAAAAAGGTGAAACTGGGAAACTCAAAATATTTGTTCTGTACGAAGGGTGTGCTGGGATGGGGGAGAACATGCTGCCTAACTAGCCATACAATGATACGTCACCAACCGGTGGCTACTCTCTAGGCCTATCATAGAATTTAGCTTACCGCCCTTCCCTTGCAAAAGGACAAACGGAATCCTCACATTGGAAAAGCAGACATACCTCGAATACATCAAATGCAAGGCACATGTAATGGATCAAGACATCAATCGCATTACCATTTCTGCATTCAGAGAGCGGATCCTTGGTCAACATCTTCTGTCACCAACAGGCCATGGATGAGCGAGTCAACGACCATCGTGTCTGGGAACCAGTTGCCTACCTCGGCAAGGACGCGGCCCGATCTAGAAGCAGCATACCACAGGTGCGGGGCTACGTACCACAGAAATATTTTTGGCAACCTAACTACGAATAGTTGCATATAATGATCGGTCAGGAAGAACCGTGCACATCCATCAAACACATATTACACCAATTGCTCTATCGATATCATGTAGCGTAGTTTATGAGAATGGAAGAAAATTGGCCAAGTTGCATGTAACAAAGAATGCGTTCGATATTCAAAAGGACACTCACAAATTCCCGTGTTGGATGTTCCATGCGGGATGGTGTTTTTCGTGGTTGTCAACATGAAATAACGGAAGGAATGTTGTAACACAGAGAAATCGGGAAAACGATCCTCTTTAGAAAAAATAGACAGACCTGTACAAAAACCATTGAATCGTGTCTTGCAAACTGCGCGTCAAAACAGGCTTTAGGTAATTGGCGTAATTAAATTATCTATAAAGGCAACTGCTAATTCCAATGACTAGCGGTTTTGGTACTCCATCATCAGAAAAGCATCCCGACAGTTAACCCAATGGGTAATCAGAACGAAATGGATGAGATTGATGAATTTTTTATCCGGTCCCCGGATTTGCCTATCAGAGGGAGCAGCCTGTATATGTCGAGTTCTACCGAATGTGCGACATTTTCGGATGGCACAAGCAGTCGAACGGCGGATTTCCAGTCGCACGTGAAAAGGTTTGGGCATTCTTTCGCATTGCCATTGTGCAAGCATTCAACTCGACGTTCGGAGCAGAGGCCAACAGCTTAGCATCATGGCAACGCATCTGTCGCTGTTTAGGACTATACCCTGTCGCAGAGAATCTTCATGAAGCTCAACAGGTGAGATGCACCTGACTTTGCTTATGTATTCTGTACGAGGCTCATTCAACTAGGCAGTACTTCGCACACACGTCAATCTGGTCGATCTACTGGAATCTATCCGAAATGGGTGCCACCAGAGCGGTTTTCTACCGAAGATGATTTAAGAGACTATACAATTAGCAAGCGGAAAATTTTTCCTAAAGAAGAGGCCTATGAGGATGGACTCCTTCGATTTCTTCTTAGAGATATACTGCATAATTACGAAGGTGACCGTAACAAAAACCGCCCCGTGAAATTCAAACGGGTAGCGAAGACACACGGCATGAATAAATGACCGTGCTACACAATTCGAGATAGTAGATGCTGATCAAAAATGCAAGCATTTTCATTGAGTATATGCCCAAAACAAATGCATAGTTATCAAAATGAAGAGCAAGAGCACGTCGTCAGCATGAATGTCACGTGGTGGGCTAGAATAGGTTGTCAACAAAAGAGGGTCGCAATGTTACTAGCGCGCCCGGGGAATATTCAGCACCCCCTATGCCTAATGATCGTAAGGGTCTCAACGACCTTACTAAGCTCATCCCCTATTTAATCTGCACTCTTGCGGGACTTGGCCTCTGTCACCCGTATCTGCTTACGAGATAGCCAACTTGATCAATCCACGCCGTGCTTGCATGCTTAGCTCTGCAGCTCGCACTGCACCATGCCCATGAACACCAATGAAAAAGCTGAATTTCTCCAAACAGTGATGCTCTTGGGACTAACCACCGTACCGTGCTAAGCTAAACATTTCAACAGACACAGGATGGCTGTGCAAAGATATCTCGCGGAGATGATAATACAGATGTCATCTTTGTGAATGCCTAGGTCCTCAACCCGGCGGCTGGAAATGATCAGTATTGTAAAAGAAAAAAGATAAACAAATACATTGGACCCTATTGGTCTAGAAAGTTTGCTAGATGAGCGCTGCACGTTGTGCCTTTGTACCAATAGATTTCCGCCACGTCACCTATAGTTATTGTATCTCTGCGCTAGTTTGGAGTAATTTTTCGGGGGTTACACCATTCAATCATTGATTACGCCACGATGAACCGTTAATAAGTCAAAGTGTGCCCGGTCTTGTGAGCTTTCTTGTCGCTGGATATTTTTCGGGCAATCTGCCTCTACTTCAAATTTCTTCGGGTCTAGCTTGAGAGCTTTTGACACCAAGATGGTAGATCGCTCGAATCCAAGTGATAAGAATGGCTTCAGATGCCCGAATTGCAGGAAAGGTGGCTTTAAGCGTCTATCAGCTGTCAGAGATCATTTCGTTGCGCGACTGCATGTTGCTCAATGTGGAAAATGCAACGTGAATTTTCCGGATCCGCTTTTGTTTATAAAGCATTCCCAGAGCCATACGATCGAGAAGACCTCCTTGTCACCCAGTCCACTTATCAAACCTGCGACCAAGCCGCCAATGAATCCTAAAATCCATCACAATCTAGAGCAAACTGTTATCCTCGAACATTTACGGGCAGCCTGCCATTCGCCGGCTCGCCTTCAGTCAGAGGGATACTTCTTGGGGGTCTCATCCGCTGAAAAGATTGAAAGATCAGCGAAGAACTCTATTCCATATGAGGACTTTCTTCCCGTTCCTCACTCAAAACCCTCAACCGAGAAAAGACTTGCGATCGTCATTGACTGTGAGATGGTGGAAGCCGCAGATGAGCGCCGAATGCTGGCCTATCTCAGCGCTATTGACTTCTTCACCGGCGAAGTCCTGGTGAACAATTACGTGAAACCGACAGAGAGAATCCATAATTGGAAAACACAATTCAGCGGTGTGACACCAGCTCTCATGAGTTGCGCCTGTGCTGCGGGACAGGCAATTAGAGGCTGGCAATCAGCGCGTCAAAGACTGTGGGATTTTATGAATGAAGACACGATTCTTGTTGGACACTCTCTCAATAGTGACTTTGATGTCCTTGGAATGTTTCATTTGAATGTTGTGGACTCTGCAATTATGACTTCGGAGGCCGTTCTACTTCCTCATTCTCCGACTGAGAGACTCCGACACATGTGGGGCCTGAAGACTCTAGCTAAAGATTTTCTGAAACGTGATATTCAAAATGGCAAATCTGGACATAGCGCTTTGGAAGACGCATTTGCAACTCGAGATGTTGTCTTGTGGTGCTTGAGCAACTCACAACAGCTGCAAGTATGGGCGAAGCAGACTAGGATTCGAACCCAGAAGCGTGGATCAGCCAAACGGGGAGTTAGCTCAATGAATAGCAAAGGGAAACAAAAATTGCGTGGAGGTAGCTCGCCTCGAACTGACTTTGATGATGAATACTATCAAGACTTGGAAAGTCTAAACTGGTCTGACATTGCAGAGGACTCCGGATGGCCCCATCCAGATACTGGATACGACCCTTGGTCGGATTGAATCAGCCTCGTTGGATTAATGATCTTGCTATACAGTATTACAATTGATTGCTTTTACTTGTAGATGGAGTGGGGGCTACTATACAAGGCTTTTTATTTTATATACTGTAGATGCAAATCAATCACCAGGATCTTAAAATCTCAAGACTGAATCTTTCGCGCTACCGAGAGCCGTATCCACCACCATCCTGCCTAACGGTTTGCGGTCCGATAGTCCTTCCGCAACGATAAGAATTATCTGCCATCAGAGCGCAGAGCGAACAGATGTGAGTGTCGACATGATTGCTAATGTGTGTTGTGGTAAATGGCCGGGTGGTGAAGGTGAGCAGTGGTTAACGTGTCAACGTGACAACGTCTCACGGACGCAGCGCGGAGGTTTCTTTGCCGCCTCACCCACATGACAGATATATCACTTTGCAATGTTTCAATTCGCGTCGTTTCTTGTCCCCTGGTGAACATTCGGTGAAGTTGGCATGCGGCCTCCAATTCGATTAAGCTGAGCATTTGATGAAGAACCGCTCGAAATATCATTTGTTGACTCAACTAGACATCGTGATGCGATGGATTGTTCCTTGCATGGTCAGACTCATCACTTCAGTCGGCGATTGCAAGTCACTCAAATCTACACTACTGTAGAATGCCTACATCCTAGGACGGTCGCGATAGTCAAATTGGATTCGCAGCAAAGACAACCAAATTATGGAGGGTTTTGGCCCAAGAACATCCAATCGGTCCCTTGCTCATATGGGAGCCGTCGTCCCTTTGTGGGTAATCCCTGCCAACAACTACGATTTATATTGTGAGCCCATCGCCCAGTTAGTAACCACACTGCACTTAAATTGCCAATCACTGCTTTTTGGACGTAGTACCCGAGTCCATGCGATCAAGCATGCTCTACTGCCTATGGAGCACGGTTCCAGCCGGATCGGGGTTTAGCAAGCGCCATCTTGACCAGATCTGGTAAAGACGACTCCGCCAACATTTACGACGGACTTTTGTGGTATGATCTACTTGGCTTGGAGCCGCAGTAGACACGCCCCTATTCCATCCCCCCGCCCCGAACGCAATCACAGGAACACTGATTAGGGGTAGAAACTTCAGCATAGGTTGTCGGAGACAGTCAAGGAGATCGCACAGCAGGATGGCTGTTTGTGAAGTTGTTACGGACATCAATGCCACCTTCACAGAGGATCTGCCTGAACAGTGACATGCCAACTGTCGTCCAGAGTTCGGTGATTTTGATAAATATAAACTTGATGCTCAAGGACATTCGACGTAGGGGACGTAGAGAGCTCGGCTTTTTCCAGGCAAGAGCTGCTTGCTCGAGATATGTTAGAAGACGATTTCTGTGAGAAAATGATAAACGCGCTCAGCTTGACTGACCTGCAGCTGCAGTGACCTCCAGGGTACATAACCTTGGCACATTTTGCTCGGGCTTGGATAGAAAAGAGCGTGCTTAGGCATCAAAACTCCCCAACATCTGTCCAAGGACATCACAGGATTTCTGACAGCGCCTTCGATACAGCGCCGGGTATGTCCGGTTGGTCCCTTCCCGCTCGCTCTTTTACGTTGAACAGCTCAGCAACGCGGAGTAGGATCAGGTAGGACACATCGGTCGGCCATTTTTAGCTCGTGGCCCTTTGGTTGGCTCGGCTGTGACTCGGCACCAGACCGTCCCCTTTCCCAGTTCGTAGCTGATATGGCAATGTAATCTGTGGGCTCGGTATGACGGGGCCTTTGCCTCACCTTCTCCTTGCAAGCAGACTTAAACTAGTCATCTGACAGTCTGCGAAGGTAAGACTCACCTGCCATGAAGCAAGGCAAAACACCGGCATTTCTCGGATCTTTTGGAGTTTCAGGCATCAAAAGACGCGAGATTCCAACCGAGGACAATGAATATCACCCATTGGACGCCAGGAATTCGATCCACAAGGAACCTATTCTTTCGCGATGTTCGAATACCAAGACGGACGGTGGTTTGGCCCATTATGCCTTGGTCGTTGTATCGGTAGACACATCAGCACATGGCTGGTGCATAGTGTCGACTAAGAGAAGGGCCGAGACGATGTGAACCTTCCAGTCATTCCTCGTCCATGCCACCAGTGGTCATGAGGAAGGGACAGATAGCTTGCGATCGCATCGGTATAGAAGAGCTCGAGCAGATAAGATTGGTCGCTTCGCATTCGACTCGAGTGACGGGAATATGAGGGGCGCTGTTGTACGATCCAAGTCAGTAAGGCTTACCACTTGGACGAGATTTTATGATTTACCTGTTCATGAAGTTCTCAGAACGTTCGCTTGACACGATACGATCAATTAGCTTCGTGGACATATCTTACTGACGAGATCACTTACAATGTCTTCATCAATGGAGTCACCATTCATGCCATGCTGACATGATTTTGTATCCAGTTCGCTCCGGCTGTCGCTTCGAATAAGCCGCGCTGGGTGCACCGGGCAACTTCCGAGAGCCAAAGGCGCGTGACAAACCACCTGTGATATGAAAATGTACAGTCGTAATGGGATAAGACCTTGCGAGGGGGACGGCGAGAGGTTCATACACTCAGCCGTTCGTGGTGTGGGGGCGGTGAGGTCGAGGCGCAAGACGCGATGGGGCACGCGTCGTAGTGCCACCTTGGTCTTATCTGCGATCCGGCGATAGGACTCCCAAGATGGATGTTTCAGTGGCAATAGGCTGCTCCTATGTAAATGGCATGAAAATCAGTAATGCTGTTCGTGATTCGCAGCACAAAACAACTCAAACAACTGATATAGCGCAGCAGAAGGCGCGATAGTCACTCACGTAACCAAAAAAAACTGACGTCTCAAGCTTGCAGCGAGCCTCGCAATCTAATATTCACCTGTGATTGGCCCGTTCCTTCTTCGCTTAGTGTATGCTGCGTGGTTTGAAGCGACAGAACCAGGAATGGTGTGTATGTCGTGGCTTGTGCAGTAGCCCCGGGGGCACTCTGATGCGACGTTCTTGGTTCACTGTCATTCATTAGCTTTTAGATCGACGACATAATCCATGACTCACATGTTCTGGTGGCCGAAACTAAGGATGTAGAGACGGCAAAGAGCTTTGGTTCTTGCGCTCGTGCATTGTGGTCAAACGTTCTCGGTTCTATTGGAATCGCATCGTTTTCAAGATCAGTAGAATTCAGACAAGTCAGGCTAAGACTCACATACCTCGACGTGAACATTCGCGCTTTCTCTTTCTCTTGGAAATACACAGGGGCTGTACAGTAGATCAGCTCAGTCGGCTGCTATGGCGGAGGCATCTTCGCATAGACATCTTTAATCGGCTGGTGTGAATGGCAGTGCATCTGGTGGGAATCACACCTGTATCTCTCACAGGCACTGTCTGACTTGCTAATCCACGATGTATTCTAAACAAGTCAGTACAGTGGAAATATTGCTTCTGGTTTAAAGGGAAGAACTTATCGATTGACACAGACACAAGCCTGCTCGACTTTGCAAAGTCAGGTGAATAAATTGTAGAGCAAACTGCCGGGGTAGAGACAGTATTTATAAACTTATCGGCTTCTGTATCTTACAAGCTTGGTAGAAAGCGTTGAAGGACACCTATCCTAATTGAGGTCCGTTGAAACCCATGTCTTCTTTTAACCGCAACTATTTGTAGCGACATTTTAAATGCTTTAAATGCTCAGCGAGAGAGACGAGTGAGAGTCGTGCTGAGCAACAGTATGCTGAGTTGGTCAAGAAACGTTGGCTGATTGTTGAATCCTTCACGGCCCTCTTAAATTGAGGCACTGCCAATCCGCAATGACAGGCTCATATTTCTTGTTCTGATACCTCACTTGTGAATGACTCAACGTTGAATCACCGAAAAGCGCCTACAATTTCATACTCGAAATCATGCACTTTTTCCTAGCCTCGCTTTAGCGTGGTGTTGGTTGAGTTGAGCTGTGGTCTGTCCGACCAGACTGCGGAAAACGAGGTCACAGTAGGATGTGCTCGACCCGTCAACCGGTTGAAGCTTAGCCCAACGTTGTCAACACTCAATTTCCGAACATGCGACCATGAAAATACATTAAATGAAAAATTTTAGTTTCTTTCCCGAATTCCTTTGTTTAATGGCGATAAGTTAAGTTCTATAATACTCCATCTGTCGGATTTCTGAGGCGTTCAACGGAAGGGAAAGAGGTGTCTGATTGAAATATATATCCTCAGCAAGCGTTGATCCCTGGCCCTCAACATCGTGAGGCTTGATCAGTTCCCCGACTGATAACCCTATTGCTGAATACACTGTCAGCAGCCTGCTGAAAAGTAGACCGACTCCAGTCAGAATATAACTGCTTCGATTGACCGTTGTGGTGATTGTAAAACCCAGCCCATAATTTATACACATACATCTGCGCAGTCTATAAGAGACACTGAAGATCGATGAAAATTGTATGGACCAGACCATTGACATTCTCCTGCGGACAAAATGGATGCCCTGAACAGCGCGCCACACCAGGAAAAAAAAGGAGATCAACCGCCCAGGGAATTGCCCATCCTTGGTGAGAAAGCCAAATCACAGGAAATTTCTGACCATGTCCCGTTGGTAAGTGAAATGATTCGGCTTCAAACGCTTTTGCTGACCATTGCAGCCCTCCCCTTCGCAGCAGGAAGCAGGAACAAGACACACCCTGGCGACCGAGCCATTTCAACCGATCTTGAAGGCTCTAGCAGACCTCGAGCGCGGCGATCCCAAGTTCGCCTTTCCAGCAGCTCGACTTGTCGGACTCTATCGACGCCTATGGGAGTCGTGCGTGTCCAAGCACATGGATGGCCAGAAGCTAGAGCAGGACAACCTGCTTTGAAGCAGGCTAGTACGCACCTGAGAAAAGAGACAGATAGCGTTCAGGTTCGCCACGACAAGCAGCTATCTTGGCTGCGCATTTTCGAGCAGGCACTGGAATCATCTCGGGAACGACTGACTAGCGTCCTTGATAACTGGAACCACCTTTTAAAGACCCAACATGGCAGGGTTGCCCTTTCTCAATTAGTCGACGTAGAATTACTACAATCGACAGTGAGATTCAAGGGAAATTACCGCATGGAAAGTAGCTCCTACTGTATCTTCAAGACCGAGTATGCGCAGTAAGAAGGGCATAGAATAGCCTCCGATTCAAATTGACATGTTCACTGGGAAGTGCTGGTGACCAGCTCCGCATGGTCTGGACCAATCTTACCTGTAACTTGAGAGCGAGCCGCCTTGTGTTCCTGGTAAACCTTCTATTAAGAGAAAGTAAAAATACCAGAGTTCTGGCTTGAGGGGCCTTACCTGAGCTACCCGGCCCGCTTCCACGTATAATACCTGATTTGGAGGTACCCAACGGTAAATCTCTGTGGCTCATTCGATTGACTGCAAAGAGGACGCCTCGATGATGATGACCAGTTCGATCCGTTGTGCGTCAGCGTTGTTGGTCCAATGTGGGGGATAGTAATTACCTAATCATTTGAAGAGGCTATGCACCAGGCGCCAATACCTCATGCCCCCAAGGTGTATTGTATTAGCTGGTCTACTACTAGCATGAGAAATTGCACCAGCCGTAGTGACAAGAAGACCTTAAGAGGGATAAAAGGAAACATAGATTGTTTGAAGGGTTGGAGCAATTAATGCGTACAAGGATTCATCGTGATGTCGTGATACGGTCATGAGCGGTGTGATAATTCTAGAATGTAAGTATGATTTCGACAGCAGAGCCATCAATGTTAACATCTTTGCCGACGGGGTTCGAGGTTTCATTGATGTCTGCAACCATGTCTTGCCCTTCAGGGAGCTCTCTGACCACACCGTTGTCTACTATGACTCGTCGGCCAGTTTTATTCACCTGTAAAATGCGAACAATGCGTGTTGGGTCGATCTGATGTATTTGAGAAATTTGATCCACCAGATCTGGCACGGTGCGTTTTTTCAGGTAGATGGCCCGGTAGTAGTCTTGCGGGTGTTTATAATCCCCAGTAAACCGGACGTAGAAGCATGCAACTGTCATTGTTGGCAACAGAAAATACAAACCAGACTCGAGGATAGACTTACCTGGCTTGGGATGAATTTCCGCTGGGGGCTGGTAGTTTTGGTCAATACCGACAGCCTTCATGAGATCAGTCGATTCGTTGGAACCTCCTGAAATTCTTTCGATGGTAGTCGTACGCTGAGATCCCTTCAAATCGGGGCTAGAATGCTTGTGTGACGATCCAGTTTCAACGTTGCTGGTTGAAAAATGAACGCCTGACTCCATTGACTGCGAGTCACCAGTTTGCTGCCAGCCAAAAGTCTGAATCTTCAAATCGCCACCACTGGCTAACAGAACTGGATATAGATCGGGGTCGTCTTTTTCGTCGCCCCGCAGAGCGAGTATGCTCACGGAACGTCTTGACGAGAACATGTCTTGCATAATAACCAGCTTCGCTTGAAGATTCTCGACCAGAGACATGATTTCTGTGGTCTCGTCCTGCTCAACTCCGTCGTGCGAACCCATTGACAATCTGCGTTTGCGTTTCGAGGTTTTATTATGTTGATTGGTCCGTTTCCGCTTTCTGTTGCCACCACCAGCCTCCGCCTGGGAGATCCGCAGTTGAAACTTTTCAATCGTCTTTTTGAGATGTGTGATATCGTTGGACAGCTTCCGTTCGGCACCGTGATCCCTAAAGAGCTTTACTCGGCAGTAACACACCTCCGGTTCCTGAATTTCATTGGAAGCAGCTCCTGGGAACAGCATTTCTGTTTTGACGCACAGCCGGACTGGAATGCCTTTCACACCCTTAGAACGGCTGAAATCGGTGGATAGGAAATAGAACCGGATGGGGATGGTGCAATCCGACGTACCCGTAGCCGGGTTAACCGTCCACGTAATGCAGAACCCATCGAAGGACGTATATTCGACATGAGCCTGACGATTTCTGTGGTGATCGTCACCACGTAGATATGAGTCCACATGTTCGACTGCCAACAGTTTTCCCCCCGCGCTGGCGCGCTTCATTTAAGCCCCGACCCTCTTTCCAGAGTTGCCAACACGCACTAGGGTTGGACCTTTGCTTTTCTTCTTCGAATGAGATATGGATGAATGTTTGGTACCGAATCGATTCGGTGCTGGTTACTGGCACTTTCAGGTCTACAACCCTGAGATTGTAGGTTTGGCCTTTATTGAGATAGGTCACAGGGATTCCCGTTGTATGATTGGCCACTGCGATTGTGTCCAGCAAAGACACTTTATAACGGAGGCTAGGGAGTGTTAACACTGTGGCAAAAGGGCGAAGTTTGACCCACTCACTCTTCACCATCGCCATATCGTATGCTCACTTGACTTGAAAAGTCCATAAAGGCTGTCATATTTGGTGGTAAATTGACCTGCATTTCATTGGGGGGCGGTCGATCGCCGAATTTATCCATGGAGTCGTGAACCGGGCCAATGTGCTTGATTGCGCTGGGCGCATGAGATATTTGGTCGGCAAAGGGGCTCGTAGTTGGCAAGTGCTGGGTGAAACGAGAATCGAATTGGTCTAGATAGTTACCTGCTGGGATGGAATGGGTGATTGGGTCTGAGTTCCATAATGACATCGGGTCTACGTTATCCATTTGCATTCGAGAGGTGTGCAAATCGCCCGCTTGGTTGTGGAATATCGCGCCCATTCCACCAGAAACGGGGGTATAGAAATGGGGGTATTGGCTGGCAAGAGCCTTCATCGGCATCGGTGCGGTGTCCACCCAGCAGGATCTGAGACCAAGATCTTGCAAATCTTCCGGCGTTCGATCATCGGTGAATTCCCCAAACTTTGAGGATTCATCCAAGTGAACACTGTTATCCTCCGTGGTGCTACTTCAAGAACTTGCTGTCAGCTAGACTTAACGAAATGGTTGGGTTGCGGTCTGTGTACCTTGCAGGCATGACGTGGCCGCCTGCCCCTTCGTTGAGGGGCCCTACATTTGGCGCACTACTGGGTAGCCGCGGTATAATATCTGCAAATGTTTGCTGAAAGCGACTAATTAGCTCGCCATTAGGCTTCTGAGAGTTTTTTCTGTACCGCCGAAGATTCAGTTAGCGGTAAACCCAAGGAGTACAGCGGGTATAATTGAGCGCAGATAAGGTACCGCTTGCTGAGCATTGAAAGCAACTTTAATCACAGTTTCCGCCGACGGAGGTACACAATATCCGAGATTTATCAATTAAGAAAGACCACTGCAGACCTAGATGTGACGTCTGATTTGTGCTGTATAACGGAAGCCGTGTCGTCGGGCCAGCCGTTTCTTGAGTTTTGTTGATTCTCTTGGTCCTCTGATCCCGGTCCCGATTTGATAATGACGCTCGCTAAAGTGTCTTGCGAATTTCGGCAATTTCGAAAAATTTGTTTAGGTGCGGTAATCTACCGATCTGCAGATGAGTATATTTTTCACCGTGATTGGTCTAGTCGACGATTCGATAGCGGTAGAGACGCGAGACGTCCTGGCCAAAGGCGGGCGGAATGGGTTGGAAGTTGACAGAGGCAAGGAAAATGTTTCAAACTGTTGGCAAGCTGTTATAGGAGAAAAGACATGTTGGAAAGATGACTTGTCAATATGAGGAGCGTATAAAGAGTAGTTTTGGATGAGGTGGCCAAATGGGAAAAGAGAAATAGGAAGTAGCCACAAGTAGGAAAGTCAGTCTTGTGGGCGTGTCCGAAAGGCCTCGGCCGCAAATACGCTTCCGCATTCAATCCTCAGTTTTGTTTGGGACTCTGCCGTGGTCCGCCGTCGATACGATGAGATACTGATTATATCAATTATATATATAAATAATCAGACCTTAAGTCTGACTCGACTTGTAAATCGGCCTTGCAATCGGATTAAGACCATATCTCCCTCACATTTCTGTGGTAATTCACGGAATGTGGTGGAACCGCCGTGGACGAGCCAACAGAATCTAGCCAGCCATTGCTGGAAGCCAACCCGCCAATCATACAGACCATCGAACCCACCCTAACGGGCCATTTGTCCAGTTACTAGTTAATTAAGTCTGCCTGCGGCTTGATATCACTTATAGAACATGAATTTCCAACAGATATTTTGCCTAGGAAGATCCGAACTACCATAGCATATATATTGCCATATTTATGGCAGAATTATCATCGCCTTTATGTGGCGCACCAGCTTCTGGCTATGTCGCAGCTCAATGCTAACTGCAGGAATAACAACGAACAAAAACCTCTTCCCTTTTACCTTTGCACAAAATTAAAACCTTGCAATATTGCCGAGAGACTATTGGCCGGAAAAGTGCTTACTTTGATGACATCGGTCCTGGTGGACACTGTGAACACCAGGCAAAATTTTTTTGCGCGATAAAAGAGCCTTCTCGCTTGCACTATTGTATGGGAGCCTCGAGGTTTTGAAATCTTGGAGAAGTTGCAAAGCTTTGGCAAACTTATTATTAGTAATTTTTTTCAATCTTTTTGAGGATAGGTGCAAGGAATTGGACAAAAAGAAGGAGTTCGATGTTCGAACGCCATTGGACCATCCAACCAACTGGACCTTCAAATCTCATCCTCTGGGATGGGAATCGATGTCCTCCTTGCTTCCGAGTCCTTCAGAACAGCTATCCTGTTGTGAGAATGTATTGTAAAGTGGATATTTCCTTAATCACTAACATGGTTTTCGCTGATTGTTGTAAGCCGGCATTCCCCAATACGGTTGTTCCTGCGACCGAAGTGGTTCTCCCTAAGCATGATCGAAAAAGTCGAAGACCGCAAACTTGGCTTATATAAATGCATTCAGTCTCCCTGGAAGCCGACTGATGGGCTGGACCGATGGAGGTAGATGCTCTGTTTATTAAAATTCAATCCCGAATCAAGCTTGGCTATTCATGTACATTTGATGTTTACCCGATTAAACTATTTCGTGAAAACCAGACTAGAATACTTGATCGGCGATCCTGATATCATCTGCACTGTGGAAGCCAGTTCCCGACTAGGCTAAAAAGGCAATCAAACTCGAAAAGTCCAAGCTAGACATCGACCTTCAGAAGTATTCCAAATTCGTGATGAGGAAAATCGTGAGAAACGCCTTGGAAGAAGGCTTCGTGTGGGAAATATACTTGGAACCAGAGCTAGCTCAGTTGGTTTGCTATGGCGGACAGAGATGTTTGCATAGACACTTTGACCGGCTGGCATGGGAATCAGATCTCTGACACGCACTGTCTGACAGGCACTGTCTGACTTGCATGGTCCACTATGTATTCTATGTACATATGTCATTACAGTGGAAATTTCGGTACTGGGTCAAAGAGGAAGAACTTATAAAGTGCCTCAAACGCAAGGGGCAAGCCTGCTCGAGTTTGGGGTAATTAGTCAAGTGATTGATTTGTAGAGCAGATTGCTGGAGGCAGAGGACGTGTTTAAGACCTCTCAGCTTGCCCTCACTTCTGTGCTCGACTTGGGAGCAAACGTTGAAGCACACGTGCCTATCCTAGGTGAGGTCTATTGAAACCCACGTCTTCATCTTTACTGCCACTTTTTGCAGCGATGCTCTTGATGCCATTTAGATAGCCAGTGAGGAAGACAAGCTATGGTTATGTTGAGAAATAGTGATGCTGATTCGGTTAAGTAACGTTGGCTGACTATCAAATCAAAGCTCAATATTCGTCTTTAATCTCCGCCTCTGCCAGATCGACTAGTATCACAAGGCTCAACATTAGGTAGCAATATCTCTACCGGCATCCCTCGGACGACTAAGCAGCTAGAAAACGCAAAGACAGGCTTAAGTCTGGTCTAAATTCAGCTGCTAATAAGATCTCTTCGCCTAAAAAACGTGATCTTTGAAAGTTTTACAATATGTCGGTCAAACTAGTCCACGAGTTTATATTAATGCGGGATGAAATTAAGCGTTTACGGGAGGGAAACCGAAAGTAGACGAAAAAAAGGGAGAAATCAAAGAAACAAATACCTAATATAGGTAGTTTAACGGAGGTTTTAGACCTTACTACTAATGTTGGTGGTAAGGGAGGTAGTAGTGTAAATATATATCTGATACTACACCTGCTCTAGAATCCCAGGTTGAACCTACACTTCCTGTTTTGCCCCTATACGTCGGCAAATCAAGTGTTCTAAATGCGGAGTAACAGGGCATAGGTATTCTACATGCCTACAGATAATTAAATTGCTAATTTAATACTGTTTTGGTGGTGTTAATGGTGTTTAAAAAGATGTAAAAATTTGAAGTTTTGATAGGGTGACGGACCGGCAGGGATGATGGACCCGCCGGGAACCACGTTAATAACTGATATTAGATAATGAATCGTGGTGCCGTTAACTAGTAAAAAACTGTGGTGTCCTTATCAATTCCCAGTTAGGTTCCTTGATTGCATATTCAAGATTCACGCGCTGTGAATCAACCAACAGTAGCAAGAACGCGAACGATGAAAGAAGCAGCAACCTGGAAAGCGGATATCACTGGATAGAGCTTTCTTCATATGACTATTGACACAATAGTTGCCTGCAGTCGACGGCCTTATGCTCGACGGAACTGTTGGAGAAAGAATATTGTCTCCGCGACATGGCCGAGGAAGAATTGTTTTCACTGGCATGAAGTCACTTATCTATACCCAAAGGAAAAGGAACCCTGATCGTATAAAAGGAACTTTGAGGAATATTGCCCAGATGTGCAAGGGTGTGTGTTGATATCTTTCTTGTACAGTCTGTTAGGACGGACTGTCTAGTCAGGGAAATGCTCTAAGTACGTATAAGAGAACGCGAGCATGTGTCCAAATGATGTTAGCCTCTCTGCCTGTCCCATTCTCTCACTTCTTGCGTGCCCGTATTCCTGCATGGTATGTAATTCACGAAGTCGGCCCATGGTGTCGACGATAGACCGACCAGCGGTGTCATCATATCAAAGAATATATGTAAGGTCGTTTATTCGTCGTCGGTGTCCTCGCCTTCTCTCGGTTCATTGAACTCCCTCCAGCCGCGCGACATTTTCACTGCCTTGGACCACTTTTGATACATGCGGCCGCCGGCTTTGGGGCCAATTGATGGGCCGAAGGAGGCACGGTTAGCGCGATTCATATGCTCAAGTTCGGAGAAATCCTTCCAAATGTCGATAGCGAAGCCTGCAGCTATTGCGGCGCCGAGGGCAGTGGTTTCGTGCATCGAGGGGCGTTCAACGGGGATCTGAATAATATCGGCTTGGGTCTAGCAAAACGACGACAGTGAGCATTGTGGTATGGATGTTGATGAGAGATAATGTACCTGCATGCAAATGTTGGAATTGCTCATGCCGCCGTCAACGGCTAGTTTCGTCAAACTCTTGCCGCTGTCCATTGCCATAGCGTCGAGGATGGCTTTTGTTTGGAAGCAAGCCGCTTCCATGGTCGCGCGGGCAATGTGCCCTTTTTGTGTGTGGGCGGTAATTCCCCCTAGGACATGTTAATAAAAACAATCTGAAGCGGATACCTTTTTTCGTGACTTACAGATAGTGCCTTGGGCATCGTCGATCCAGTATGGAGCGAACAGACCACTGAACGCAGTCACAAAAACGCAGCCTCCATTATCAGGTACACTGGCAGCCAAATCGCTAACCTTGCGCGAATCGCGGAAAAACCCCAAATTGTTCATTAGGAAGGAGACACCACTGCCAGCCACGGCCACACTGCCTTCCAAGACATAAACCGGCTTGCGATCCCGACCCAATTGGAAGCCCACGGAGCCCAGCAGACCGTGTTTTGAAATTACAGGCTTATCGCCCACGTTGTAGAGGAGGAAGCATCCAGTGCCATATGTGTTCTTAGCCATTCCAGGGGTGAAGGCGCAGTGGCCGACCAAGGCTGAAGCCTGGTCACCCAGACAGCTGGTAATGCGAACACCCTCCAACGGTCCATCAGCGACTTCACCGAAACCCTCTGGATCGGCCGATGGAAAAATTTCCGGGAGACGAATTTTGTTCCGGTCGATGTCGAAAAACTTTAAAAGCCGATCGTCATATTGGAGCGTTTCGAGGTTCATAAACATGGTCCGCGAGGCATTGGTCACATCGGTGACCAAACGCTTGCTTTTGAGGCCACCGTTCAGGTTATAAATGAGCCAGGTATCAACGGTACCAAATGCGGCCCGGCCGTCATCGTAGGCTGATCTAACAATGGGAAGGTGATCAAGCATCCATCGTAGCGTGACCGAGGAAGGATTTGTGGAAAGAGGCAATCCGCATATGTTGACGAGCTCATTAGCACCGGGATTTTCCTTGAGCTCGCGGACCAAATTGGCGGTACGGGTGTCGGTCCAGGTGATTGCATTGTGCAGAGGCTCGCCTGTCTCCCAGTCCCAGACCAACACTGTTTCCCGTTGGTTGGTAATGCCAATGGTTTCGATGTCGGTTGTGGAGTAGCCGAGGGCATGGAAAGTCTTCATGGCTTCCTCGATACAGATATAGACCGACTCGGCTAATTCATTAGGGTCGTGTTCGTGCCATCTGTTGGGGTGCGCGACAATTAATTTTGGGGAATCATTCCATTAAATCGAGGAGAAATGGCACCTACCCTGGATGCTCGTGAATTTGACGGAATTCTATTTGGTACTGGGCGATCGGGACACCTGTGCTGTCGAAGATAATGAATCGAGTACTCGTCGTGCCCTGATCAATGGTGCCAATAAAACGATGCTTCAAGTCGCCGGGTATATTGTCCTCGTTCTGCAGCAGAGAACGATCCCCATCATCTACCTGCTTTGGGCGGAAATCGAGGCCGAGTTGTCGCTGCTGTTGCTCATGATGCTGATGGACGTGCTGTTCGGGGGCCTCGAACTCCTGGGCGGGTTCGGAGTCTCGATCGACATCCTCAAAGTCCAATCCGAATGGATTTCGCATTTTCTGCTAAGTTGTGTGTTGTTGTTGTTGTGTGTGTAGAAAAAGAGGTATCAAGAGGTAAAGTGTGAGGGCCCGACTGTACGCCCTACGATTTCAAGAGGGTTGTCCAAATGAGAACCCGCCCACAATCTGTTTGTTGGCTAAGAACTTATTCTGATTACGTCACAGACTCACAGTGACATACGGGTAACATTTACTGCTTATATAGCCCGCCTGATCAGATTATATTTCATTGAACACTGTGCATTAAGACCCAAACCCTCGCATTCTCGACGGATTTACATTTTCCAGGTGGACAAAATGACGCATGATTCACAAGATTCGCATAACAATAAGTGAGTTCAAAGCCCTCTCCCCTTTCGCTGATGTCCGCTATGTTCCCTCCCAAAACAAGCCCAATTGCCAACTAATTTTCTTTCTGCAGACGACGACGGGAACAACTGTCGTGATTGCAGAGGTGAGCCCACATTCTTCATCCAGAGTTAGCAATGCTAAAGGTCGCTTCACAGGATGTAAGAATGTATGCTTCTACGCCATCTAGACCGTCCTCCCACCATAATGACCACATACGAACGGATGAGCCCGATTTGATAACCTAATGATGAATCTTGATGATGAATCTTCTAGGATTCGTTTCCCCGATTTGTGGTGTCTTTTGTCTTTTCTCTGCCTTAGGGGCATACCATTTAAACCTCCTCGTTTACTCAGAAGTAATTTTTAGACTGCTCAGAAGTGTTTTTATTCGTCACTATTATGTCGTCTCGCCAATCTCTTTTTAAAGGGAGTCGTCCCAAATGATGCTCTGATGACAGATTATAGGACACTTTTCTGTTCACCGCAATAGTACTATCAGTAACTCTATGTAGACCAGCAATTGTGTCACATGCCGTTATTTTCCCCGAGACATTGGGACCGTGGATTACTACTACCTGGCCTTTCAAAGCGTGCACAGTAAGCTGAGACATGTCTGATATTTCATAATTGTTTCCAAATACCGAGAAACAGTTTTTTCGAAGGAAGTTGGGAGCGAAATGCTTCGCGCCTAAAGGCTATTGACAGACTTATTCATGACATCAAGTGACCAGCCTCGATGTCACGATGCCCCAAAATCACAAAGGCCCAAAGTTGGTAAGTCACCCATAAGAATGCACTAGGTTGCAAGAATCTATTTCTTTCTTTTGACGCCATTTGAAGGGGACGGCAGTGTGAGGGGAGGTATTGCAAGGCTTTGATAAAAACAACCAGAAGAGAAGCTGTACCATATCGATTGGTATCGTCTAAATCGGATGCTCCTGAGAGTAAGGGTTACGTGGATTGTTTTCGCTTTTCATTGCTTTATCTCGACATGAGGGAGTCGCTGGACTCAGTCCGCGGGAATATGCGCGTGTAGAGGGAATCACTGGACCCAGTGCGAGGGAAGTGGCGTTGGTGCTTCCGTGAGATGATGCGATCCTGGTAAATGCCCACAGCTGTGCCCCGGATAACCGACTCGAGGTACTCTCGGAAATCTGTGGGCTTAAAGTCCGGATATAAGTCCTGCGTGGTATGGTAGCCGAGATACTTGGCATATTCGGGGTTATTGTCGCCTCGGATGCCGCACGAGAATTGATATTCGGCCATATAACGCGGAATGAATTTCCTCGGATCAAAGGGATAGGTTTCGCTGGCTTGTCGTGCCGCCACCATCCTGCTGCAAATCGTCTCCTCGGGTACCTGTGCTCGGGGAAAGAAAAATATGTTAGGCATGTTCACCCACTTGTGCCGAAAGGTCTGTGCCACATACATAGTTCCGGACAATCTTTTCTTCGCTAAGTTCCTCCATGAGCTCATGGATCTTGTTTTGTGTGGAGACAAGGTTGTAGGCGAGGACCTTCTTGTTCAAGGTGCGGGGGTCGGAAATTATCCTGGCCATATAACGGCCGATGTCTCGCAAGTCTGTGAGAGCTGTGGGCATGTTGCCATCACCGACAATCTCGTCATTGCCAGACGTCATGGCGTAGTCAATGCACCCAGATTCGAGGCGAGGGTAGGCCAGCTGGTACCACCAGCCGACATCGACAATAGTGTATGGAAGCCAGAGTTGGCGGATCTGGTTGTAAACGATTTCTTTCTTTGGAGCAAGAACGGTCAGCCCATTGGCAAGTGTACACGGCGCCACATTCCTCATACCTCATCACGCAACCACATAATCCCACCTGGTGGGCAGATTGTAATGAACCCACATGGAACGAACCGCTTCACGCCGGTCTTCTTAGCTGCTTTGGCGAGGGGAATCTGGTCTTGTTGCTCGGCGGGTCCGACACAGCTGATAATCACATCGATATCCGCAAGAGCTTCAATGAGGTGTTCCTCTGAAGCCTTCAAGTCGCATTTTCGAATCTGGATTCCCTTATCCACTAGGCGAGTAATGGAAGTTTTCTGGATCGAGCCAGGGCGAATAAGAGCGATAACATCCTGTAAAGATTGGAGAAGCGTGGTTTGATTAGTTTGGGCTCAATTGACTATATCGAAGTCAACTACGTACAAAATTGCCATCGTCCAACAGCCCATTAACGATGGACCCCCCGGTTTCACCCGCTGCTCCCACCAGCAAAACCTTGGACTTGGACATCTCGGCAACTGTTACCGGTTTCAGGGGGCGAAAAGAAGACGTGGGTTGCGGCAGGAATACGTCTTGATAAATAGAGGGTTGAGGTCAAAATGAGCGGGAAAAGAGATATAACGAGCATTTATGACCGTCGACGTTATATACTACCATCCCAAACAAGGATGGCTGTGCTACGTGCCCACTTCATTGGGGTTGACAGTGGGTGAAAGGGTATGTCTATTCCTTACATTATCATGATATCATGGTGGGGAATTATGTTAGTAATCAATTCATGGATTTTCACGTCATCGGAAATAATTCCTATATGGTCGGTCTATACGAAGAAGCAATCAACTTCGTATTATGTACCCGATTCTCCACTATACAGCCTCACTACAACGACTTACCATTTCCATCGATCTTTGTTGTCTCTTATAGACTATGCAAACGCAGGTGTTTACGGGCTGGGTTATACAATCACCACAGCGGACAATCGAAGTAGTCAAGTTAAAACTGGAGCTGTTTTACTTTTCAGTGGACTATAGTACTGACAGTGTATTGAACAATAGGGATAGTCGGTCGGGGAAACAGATCAAGCCTCACGATGTTGAGGACTAGAGATCAATGCTTGTTGAGGATATATATTTCAACCAGGCACATCTTTCAGTTTCGTTGAACGCCTCAGAAATCCGGCAAATGGAATATTGTAGAACCTATAGACACCAAAAAAGAAGTTGCAAATCAAAACAAAACAAAGAAAAAATAAATAAATAAATTTGGCGTGTCTTCATGGTCGCAAGTTCGAAAATTGAAGTTTGACGGGCCGAGCACGACCTCGCTTTCTGCAGTCTGGACGGACAGTCCCACAGCTCAATGCAACCAACGCCACACCAAAGCGATGCTAGGGAAAAAAGTCCATGATTTCTAGGGATAAAATCTTACGCGTTTTTCAGTGATTCAACGTTGAAACGCTGACAGATGAGGTATCAGAACAAGAAACATGAGCCTTCCATTGCGGATCGAATAGTACTCAGTTCCTCAATTTGAGAGAGCCGTAAAGGATTCAACAGTCAGCCAACGTTTCTTGACCGACTCAGCATCCTGTTCCTCAACACGACTCTTGCTCGTCGCTCTCACTGAGAATCTCAAGGCATCAGAAATGTCGCTGCAAATAATTGCGGTAAAAAGAAGACATGGGTTTCAACAGGCCTCAATTAAAAGAGTTGTCCCTTAACGCGTTCTACCAAGCAGAGCACTTGCGCAACAGAAGGAGCCGAGAAGCCTATAAATACGTCCTCTACCCCCGGGTATTTGCTCTACAATTTGTTCACTTGACCACGCAAAGTCGAGCAGGCTTATGTCTGAGGTAGTCGATAAGTTCTTCCCTTTGACCCGGTACTAAAATTTCCACTGTGCTGACCTTTATAGAATACATCTTGGGCCAAATAGTCAGACAGCGCCTGTGAAAGATATGACTCCCACCAGATGCACTGCCATTCACGTCAGCTGATCAATGATACGAGTTTTGGGTTAACTGGTCAAAGTGTCTATGCAAAGATGCGTCCGCCACAGCAGCCGATTCAGCTTACCTACTGTACAGCCCGTGTGTGCATTTCCAAGAAAAAGCTCGAATATCCACGTCGCACTTATGTAAATCTTAGCTTGACCTGTCTGAATTCTACTGATCCTGAAAAAGATGCGATTCCTATAGAATCGAGGACATTCGACAACAATGTACGAACGCAAGAGTCACAGCCCTTTGCCGTCTCTTCGTCCCTAGACTTGGCCACCAGAGCATGTGAGTCATGGATTATGTCGCGAATCTACAAACTAATGAGACAGTGAACCATTGGCATTGCACCAAAGGGCGCCGAGGATACAGCATCCACATTAGTGATCTGGACAAAGCCATGACCTACACACTGACCCCGGCCCCGTCGCTTCAAACCACGCAGCATACAAGGTGAAGAAGGAACGGGTTAGTAACAGGTGCGGACATCGGATTGCGAGCTTCGCTGCATAGAAGCTCGAGACATCCATTCTTCCTGATAATGTGAGTAGTGTTGTGATATGAGGCTGGTGCAGATCAGGAACCAAGCCGCACCGTCGGAATTAGCTCCGAAGTGTCTATACAGACGACCAAGTTGATTTCCAATCAACTTGGCTCATTGTTGTATATATAGGCACATGTATCACTCTGAAATAACAAGTCAATTCATACCTCTGAACAACAACAAATATGTGCCGACATATTGAAAACAAAGAGACTCGTAGATGTAGAAGAAAACAAAAAAGAGGCCCTCGATCTTACGTAGGGGTGTGTAAAGGCATCAGAATAGGCGAGTGGAGGGTTGCAAAAGAGCTGCTAATTTAGAATGAACAGGAGGCAGGGTTCTGAGGCTTGGGGGATCGGCGTAGGGGTCTGCCAAGGAATGGCAATGGGGCCCTCTGCAATGCCGTGGCCGTGTCCCTCAACGTTGCGAAAATGCGTTGCCGACTTAGCGTTTGCGTTCAATGTCTTGTTGATCGCCTTACCACTTGGTTCACCGTTCTCGATTGCGTCGATCGGTAGCGCCAAGAATGGGGCAGACATAGGAAATACGCCCTAGCCTATCAGAGTCGATCCAGGGTCATGTAGCTTCGTGAAATTCGATTTCTGTATTGTTTCAGCCAAGACTTTTATCCTGAATGGTAAAAGTAATCCTCACTTTCCGTCAGGACAATTGCAGATCGCATTAGCTCGACTAAGGTACAATTTGATTCTACTCTAATATAAGCCCTTCTTCCGGAGCTCTAACCCAGGTACCAGAGACTTATAAATGAATGATCAATTTCCATGAGCAAAACTAGAATTTGAAGATGAAGAGGAAAGAAAATTGAGGAGGTTCATCCCACTGCACGCCGTACCGACCCAATAGTTCCTACTTGCAACACCTCAACATGTGCACCTTGAAAGGTACCTAGGTCACGCACGCTACTCTCATAAATGGCTTCTCTTACTGAAAGACACATATATAATGAATCTGATATGATATATTAATACATTAACACAAGCTAAACAAAGAGTTCAAAAACAAAGCGACCATACAAGGGCACTTAGGGAATAAAACCAGACCAAATCACAAATCAATACACACAACACAGGCTACCATAATAATCACAAGCGTTCATTGTGAATTGCTAGCCTATGCGCTTTCAAGTTTTCGCGCCGACTTGTAGCATGGTCACAGGAAGGGCACTTGAAGGATTGTGGGTTGACATGCTGCATCGCGATATGCCGCATCAAGACTCCTTTGCGTGAGAACATACGGTCATAGCTGCAGCCTTCCCATTCACATTTGAAGGTGCCGTATTTGTGATCACTAAATAGAAAATGATTAGAATGCGATGATTGAAACAAAACAATATAAAAAGAAACATACGTCTTGCTCTTGCTCGATGAAATACGAGACGAACGGGGAGGTTTGCATTTGGCCGCACATGGGTTAATAGAGCCAGTCGGTTGAGCCGTAATGCTGTTCTGTGTAACGAGATTATCCCATAGCCTAGGATCCCTAAGCTCGCGGGAGCTCGGAGGAGAAATAGCAACGTCATTTCGCTGAAGCACGAAGGGCTCGGGATCAATACCCTTGATAGACTCAATGGTACCATTTGGGCCTGAATAAGTCAAGCAGGAACATGGAACCCTTCCCTGAGAGTTTGGTGTTGAGGGAAGCTGCAACTCATGAGTGCTTGATTTTGTGGTGAATGGTGGCTCGGGTGATGAAGACATATAAAAAGCTTGGGCTTGTTTGAGGAAATCTGTTCTCCAGCCGTTCAGGTCTATGGTGGACCAGGAATACTCGATTTCTGAAGGTTGGAGGATTTCATTGTGGTTGCATGCTGAACACGCCATTATGCAACTAATTCGTGATTGGGATGCGTGAAAAAGGAATGAAGAGAGGCAGGGTAGGTAGATAGAAATACAAAATGAAAACTGATATAAGACTTGGTTGATTGAAGAAGAATTCTAGTATTTATAAATGTGATAACTCCCCTACGAGGTAGTCGGGGGCTAACTTCAGTAGGAGAATGAAAGCAACTAGTAAGACCTTAGAACTTAGATGAATAGACCATCGCCAGGGACATATTTTGATGAGCCATTCTCCACAATCTGAGACTCCGATCACCAGTGGATCCCTGCGGGTGGGAATTGGCCTGAGGGTTCATAATGACTGTACCTACTACCGGATTTGGATTAGTGTCTGAGTGCTTGGAACCAACCTGGGAACAAAAGGCACACTCAAAAGCCGGTATGCCATCCCGCAGCAGACGTGCTAAAAATGCTTTACTGCCTTACTGTCACACTTGTCCTATTGTTCAAGCTGATACCAGCAGAGCATCACCGGATCATCGAAAATGCAAGGCTGAAGGATGGCCATGTGGCATTGCCCAACACCGCGGGTCTGGATGCGGCTATGCGATCTTCATCCCCGACAGGAACAACCGTTTCATATCCTGGGACACATGGGACACGTCATATGGTTATTCCGGCAGATCATCCATATGAGTGGCCAGAAAAGCTGCTAAAAATACGAGAGATCGGCGTTGTCCTTGTGAATATCCCTTTCCCCTATCCTCTACTGGATGTTATAGACCCCCCATGAACAACATGATAGAACCAATGAAGATGGCGCTCATGTTGCAATTAAGGGTTTAAGTCAGTCTTCATTTGCTAAGGCCCCCTAAATCTGCAGATCACGATATGGGGGTCACTATACCTCTTTCAGGCAAAGTGCGTTGTAGGCGTTTCGAGAAGTACTTCAGCCTCTCCCCTGTCTCCTTGTCGGGTGCAGCTCAACATGTCATTTGGCAATGAGATCAGACAGTTTCCGACTGACAGATATTGGGTTTAAGAATGGTATCATCTGAATATTTGTTCGTGAATCTTCGCATACACGTTCCCTTGGTACCTCCCATTGTCAACATTTTCGCAGAAGCTCCGACGAGTTCTGATTAGATTAACTGCCTCCATGGTTAGAAAAATACAACTGTTCCTAGAGAACTCACTCATGAACCTATGCACTCGATGCTCTTAAGCGAGATTACAAAATGGAGGCGTAAATAGAATGTCGCCAATTCGTTTCCTTAATTCCTACATGAATAAAAAGACCTGGAATAATTCTTTACCTGGAACACTTCCCAATACGGAATATTCCCCCTGAATTAAATATGCAATTAAATATCAAATGAAATAGGAGTGAGGTCGGGCGATAGGGGACCGAGTAATCCGGTTTCATATTGCTGACTTATCAAGGCATATTTGTACTGGAAATACGCAGTCCTTGGGTATCCAAAAAACAAGAAATACATTTTCATACCCATGTGTCAGGATGAGGAATTGATGTACAGGCTGGTACTGAACATGTCCAATAGAATCAGGTGATTGATTGTAGGTGTTAAAGATCGGTTGAACGATCTCAGGGGTCTATACAAATAAGCTTCGGCGTGTTACAACACCGTACTTCCGAATGTGCCCGGAATACCGTGTCGGATTGACGGATACTGGTATGTGCTAGTATTGAGGTGTCCCATTGAGATGCATTGATTGTTCTATCTGGATCTTGCTGTTGAAGTGTTATCAGATCTCAGGAGTCGTTCCTAGCGTGTTACAACGCTGGTATGCCGAGCGTACCCCGTTTACCATACAGAGACAAAGAGGGAATGGGTACTTGATGAATAACCCTGTTCTTAGTGGTAAAATACCACCCCTCAGTTCGACATACCGTACAAATACCAGGGGGAATTGGGTGAACGATGAATAAGCCTGTCCCAAATGGTCCTAGTGGTATTTGACCACTCTCTCAGTTCGTCACCATGCAAACTAAATATGAGCAGACTGCACATGGACAGTATTATATAACCAGTTTCTTGGTGATCCTTGCGATGCTTTATCCTTGAATTGTCGCATGCGTCACTATTCTCTGATCCCTCGAAAATTGAGATCTATTAGCGGGCTTTCAAACTTTGCATTGTAGTGCAGCCTTTCCTTTTTGGTGGCACGAAGTTACTCCAATCACGAGCTGTATTAGTTACCGAAGGATCTGCTTACGTCGGTTCGTTATCAACAAGTTTCACTACACCATAATAGATATGGCGCAGGGACATATGATATGCGCACAATCATCCGAGGTCTTCCTGCCCAGGTCTCTCGGCAACACGCAATCTTCAAGGTTTCTTGACCTCTTTATCTCAGTCCAAACTACACCGGTCGCCGAAGGTCTAAAGCACCACCCCTTCTTGCAAATTCAAACTCAAAATGCACTCAGACGAGATAAGAGAGGATTTTTGGGGATTTGACACAGTTTCTCCCCTTTTGCCACTACCAAAAGTGGATCCCTATGCAAGGGAAAACGCCCCGGATGGTACGAAGCAACAGGCCGCTCTGTAGCAAGATTGTTTAAATGCGAATGTATAAGTGTCTAGATGAGAAATATGTGACTAGCTACTATACATCAGGTAAGTTCTTTTGCCGATCAGACTTTGGATCGACTCTGATAGGCCAGGGCGTATTTCCTATGTCAGCCCCATCCTTGGCGCTACCGATCGACGCAATCGAGAGCCGATAAACATTACACCCAGTTTTCTCCTCTCAGTGTTTCGGCCCTTGCTAGTCAGCGCACAACTGAAATAGCAGGATTGATCGGCCGCGTACCTCTCAGGGATCATATTTTTCAACTATATTTCCTTTTCTAACTCCCAGAACATAACTCCCCAAACTTTCACCCCACAACTCTTTCTTTCGTCTTGAAAGTCAAAACAGAATCATTAACCTTCGGGTAAGAGATAGCGGGAAGCTACCAATTCTGCTGTGCTTCATGGGCAACGTCGCGTGGGTTTGGCTGCTCTTGATCTCGGTGTCACAGCTGGCTCAAAGCTCGGAAACTGCCCGAAGTCACTGGCAAAGGCCCAATGGAGACGATAAAAACTTCAAAGAGACCTATTCCATCGGAGATTCATTGCAGATTCAGTGGGCGGGCTGGGACTCTTCCTACACGAATCAGTGGATGAACAACGAGACTAAAGCCAACCTATACGTGAATGCATGGAACTCTGATTACTCCTCGTTTTCCAAAATCCTTACATGTACGCGATCGCCAGCCACAGACTTCTGGACAAGCTAACAATCTTGCGAAATAGCCTCGAACGACATCTCCACTCATGGATCTTATGATTGGAAGGTCGAAATTGACGACAAATATCTATCAGATACCAAAGAATATGGTTTTACATTTATACCTGATGGAATGGTTTATTCCACCGATGGATATCGTATATATTCACCGGGAATCCGCATCCAATCCAAGTCGGCTACGTCTTCATTCACGCCGACAAATGTTCCAACAACAACTTCGAAAGCTTTATCGTCTGGTACTGATGGACTTTCGACTGGCGCGAAAGCAGGAATAGGCGTTAGCATCGGCATGGTTGGCTTGGCGTTGTTGACTACATTCGGGTTTTTTCTATTACGATGGCGACATCGACCATCATCACGAGAGGTGACTGGAGTTAGAGAGTCTTCTCATCTAGGCTCGGCACAAACACCGGCTGACGGCTTCTACCAGAAGGCTAAGCCGCCGCCACAGGAGCTATCCATTGGATCTGAGTCACCGGCTGAATTGGCATCGACGCTTGAGAGATGACGTGAGGGTATCCTATTGCACACACAACTGCCTCAATGCTGAGGTTTTCTCACCCAAGCAGAGTTCAATTTGGGCTTGATCTTGGGCTTTGGGAATACCCACTACTCATTCAGCCAACATGGATGAGTAGGCTATGAGTGTGGATTTCGATAATAAGAGGTATTCGCCGCCACATCAATTAAAGCCTTGTAACTTATCGGAGATATGCGGGCAAGAGGGCTCAAGTTCCTAAACGCACTGCGGCTCGGGATTCGGTTGGTAATTTGGGATGGGCATGGAGAATTGGGATTTGTAATGCTATTTAATATCCAGAAGCCGGCTTATCTTTTCTTGGTCGCCTCTAATGGGCATTCGTGTATTTAGAACCTTGCTTCCATGCCCGCCATAGAAACGCACAGTCTCATGTACTTGAACGCACCTCAGAAACCTTGGCCCCGGAACAATATTGGCCGTGTATGCACATTATCCAAGATAGTTACAGTAGCTCGGCAGGAGTCTATTGTGGTGCCATTTTCGACAGCCGAATCTACCGTCAAAGTTCTAGGGTAGTGCCCTTATGGTATGCTCTTGAGAGAGCCAAATACAGATACGGGATCGTCAGGCAGAGTATGGTATCTGATATTAATAATAGACAAAGAGAGAAGCCAGAGAGGATGAAGGGAGATATCTATCCACCACTGAGATCCTGTCAAACAGAGGCGCATGACCCCTGGTCAGGTCCTCCCAAGACATGTAGTTTGTGACACAGGTCTTCATTGATGGCGTGAAATCCGAGGGTGGGAACGTAAGATGTGAGGCCGGAATTTAGCTGGAGCGGGACCCGATACAAGTAGCTGAAGAGTTCAACAATGAATTTCTCGCCATAGTACGTGCGCAGGAAAACGTGAGGAAATGAAGATTCACAACTCGATTTCCAGCCACCGATTAGCTCAAGTACCGCTCGCTTGCAAGGTTGAAAGCACACGATCACAAAGGGCATGAAAAGCTCGCTTTCAACCTCACAGTATCAATGCCTGCTTGTCGCAGAGTTGTAGAAAGATGTCACCGTCGCTTGCTAGCCACTTGCTGAACCCTTGAAGCTGTCAATGCTCATCTTCAAGTCGTGTTTCCTGGGCCTGCAACATCGAAATTCTCCTTCCGTGCTGGATGACTAGTGCAGTAATCTCAAAGGGGCTTTGAATTGCTTACGTTCTTCGTCTATAGCAGGGCAGGACTCTCCTGTTCATACCTATTTCAAGCTCAGAATTTGGATCCGTCATACTTCCTTCACTTGCATATCTGGAAAGATGGGTTGGGTCTTAGGCTATCTAACGAACCCTGGGAAGCATAAATCTTCACTTAGCGAAATGATAGATGCCCATGAGGTTTGGAGCTCTGATACAGGATGGATCGAATTAAGTTTCACCACTTGCACACGGAGATTCTTTCTCGAACACTGTGCCGAAACGTACTATACCTATCACGGTTACTCTGCCCCTGAGCCCCTTACTTGGCAGTATTCCAGTACTGGCGTCAATAACAGCTTAAAAATAGCTTCTGTATTAGACTCGTAAGGTCTCCGGGTTTCTAGAACGATGATTCAGCAAACAAGCCAAACAGACGATGTCTGCTCGTTTGGAGACGTGGCAGGAATTCGGACCCCCATTCTATCAACAAATTACTTGCCATTCAAGGTTACAACCCCTACGAATGAGCGAGTTGAATAGAAACAGTATGTACCCGTGGGTAATATTTCTTTGCTTCAAGTAACAGGTTTGGCCTTATATTGGGGGGCTAGCATCTGCTGGACTGACTATTCGTGATCATGCTGACGTTGGATCTGTTAGAGCCTTGAAATGAGGATGATGACGGTGATTTTGAATCGCATGACCTCGACCCCGGCGATCAAGATTTGCAATACGCCCCCACTCCAGAATACTACGGTCGCACGCCGGTGTCAAGCTGCTGGCTCAGTCCTTCCCCCAACTATCGCTCCGAGCACGATATGAAAGACCTGTCCCAACACCAACCCGAAAGACCCAGACTGCTCCAACTATCCGAGTGGCACGATGGTATGTTAAGTGACCAGCTTCCGGAATGGTGCATCCAGCATGCGATAGAGTGGAAAAGTTACGGCGAACAAGAAAGTGCTCTCATGAGACACTGAAGAGGATGTAGACCTGACTCCCAGTGCTTATTGGCCGATGACCCTGAAGGGTAAGCTTGAGAAGTTGTTAGAAGGGAAGATCCCCCCGACGACACCTCGATCGCTGTGCCGGTGAATGATCGCTCCCAACGCAGACCTGATGAAACGGTTTGAGTATCTCGACATCGACTGAACTGCTGTTGAAAAGCATCTGCTGAAGTGGGGCGAACTGATTCGTCGAAGCAAGAAAATGAGGCTAAGTATTACCTTCAAATATGTTGAGGACGACTGTCTCCACATACTTATCTCTGGTAGGGTCCAGAAAGAGGAAGGTCATTGGTCGGTCATTAAACGAATGCTCAACGAGCGAGTAATACGTCCTAATACCCCGCGGCCGCAGGTCTAAAGTAAAAATCTTTCAATATCCTCACCGCAGTACGTGTCCTGAAGCTCGGAATAATAGAATAATCCACCCCCACTAGTCTGTCAATAGCACCCATAGTCCCCAAGCGCAGCTCTGAGAACCTCGAGGGTTCATTTATGGATTTTTCATCTCTGCTTGAAATGACGCGTATCCCTAATCGATCTGCAACCCACGAAGAAGTTCGAATTTACATTGCGCAGACCCTTATATCCAAGCATAATGCAGGCCATGACTTCGCAGAAGTTACTGCCCGCTCGTGGCGACTGGGGCGGGGTTCTGAGCTTCATGATGCGAAATTGGAATATTTCCAAGAGATATTTGGCCTAGATGTGGGCCTCTGTCTTTATCAAAGTGTCTGTGAAGATAGAGACGATGCTTGGAAGCAGTCATTTATTGGAGTTGTTTGCTTCTGTAGGTTGCTACTGCTCAATCAATCCGAACTATATTAATCGCTTTACGCTAGATATGACCATTGTGTCTACTGCATTACTCCTGTGGTTTCATCTGTTGCCATTACTTCGCGGCCAAACAGGCTGTAAGTGACTTGTAATAGCTGGTATCCTATATTATTAGTGTGCTAATTCCATTGCGCAGCACCTTCCCAATTACTCCTTTTTGGCTTAACCAAGGCGATCTATGCTTATCTAAGACCTAGGCGCGATGATTGTATGCTGGCGAGTGGATTTTTTAGTGCTTGTTTTGCGCTACTTGCTGCAACGCGTGGATAGTGAATGCATTGGGAATCTCGAGGGGCACCGCAACGCATGTTATCTCTGGATTTGTATGGTGTGAACCGTGCAATAGGCTAGGTTGCCTTGCCGCTGGAGTGTCATATAAGCTTGGGAGGAGGCTATTGGTTAATCCATTAAAGAACCAAAGTGAGAAATCGCATTTGAGAGTGTCAGCTCTTGAGACCAAGTTACTCAGCAATGGAAAAGTACTTGAACCAGTCAAGAGAAGAGGTTAGAGGATGAGAGCAATGGGATCAAAATCTCCCGTCAAAAAGACAGATGGCTAAGCAGGTATTTCGATATCTAGCCGGGAGCGGCAAATTGTGTCGAAAGTTAAAACACTCTGCTCCTCATCCTCGGCCATCTACTCCAGTGCTTTAGGAATTATTGGAGCCGTCAACATGCCACCACGGATCTGTAAGATGGCAGTATTCTCTGCAAAAGAATTACCGGTAATTTATAGAGCATTTCACCACGTAATCATGACTTTCAATACAATGCGGTATTTGAAGCCAGGCTAAGCCGAAACAGGTTCAGTGCGTTTCGGAACGGTGTTCGAGATGAAATCTCTGAGTGCAAGTGGTGAAACTAATTTCGATCTATCCTGTATAGGACTCACGGAGGCTAATGAATGAAATGGCCGTGGCTTTAAGTAGCCGCTCCAGTGCCGCGAGCTGAAGGCCTAATAAATCCCCGCATTACCTGCTACATGCGCCTTTCCAGATATTCACGCACGAACTAAAACTTCAGTAGCCCTCTGTCTAATATTTCGCCGTCGCCATTGTAATTTTACGCTTTTGTGCTATTTGGGCTTTCATGACGTTTGACATCATTTGAAAGCTAGAGCCTACGACTATAAGAGAACATTTTCTATTTCATAATTCTACTTTCCAGCAAGTCCAAACCTAGACTCACGAGGCATAATTCAGGCTACAAACTGGTAAATGGCGATTATGGGCCCTCCTTGTTCAGACGGTTCTTCTCCAAAAAAGAATTCGACGTCTCAAAAGAAAGATCATCGCAAATCTAACTTGGTGAAAAGGCACACGAATATAGTAAGTTGTGTGAAGCCGTCTGCGTCGGGATTCGGACTCGGGAAACGGGCGAAGTATTTATTGGCTAACTTTTCTAAGGCTCTTATTAACCGACCCCATTCTTAATTACAGACCAGGAATTGGAGAAGCCCGAAGAAAGCATTATGAGAAATCCAAGCGAGGCAAACCTTCTAGCTTGAATACTGCAATACAGGGCTGCATAGATTTTTGCTAGTAGTAGATTACCACCAGAGCCCGTTTCGGAGAGGATCTACAGAAGAGCAGCTTACTAAGAAACAAGGCCCTGAATCTGAGTAGTTATTTAACTATGCAATTACATGCTGAATAATCAACTCAACCAATACGAACGATATGGATCCTTGGAGGGGCCTTTGGTATCTCAGAGTTGATGGCTGAATTCAATAGAATGTCATGCTTTGCTAAGGTCATGATGAATACCTCTACCACATTGTAAAAAACCAACCACTCCCAAGCAGAGGCTGGCCATGACCCGTTACCACTTGTGTTACTTGTGGCATTGGGAGGGCGTGTCGGATTGAGAGATACTGGTATGTGCTAGTATTGAGGTGTCCCATTGAGATGCATTGATGTTGTTCTATCTGGGTCTTGCTGTTGAAGCATTATCAGATCTCAGGAGTCGTCCCTAGCGTGTTACGACGCTGGTATGCCGAGCGTACCCCGTTTACCATACAGAGACAAAGAGAGAATGGGTACTTGATGAACAACCCTGTCCTTAGTGGTAAAACACCACCCCTCAGTTCGACAGGGCGTCTACCACGAGATCATGAATGAGCATCACGAATGAGCATGATCACAAGATGTTGGAAGCTGTGAGAGCTTCAACCCCAATAATGTCTACTGTACAGCAAGAGAGAGGAACTCTTCGATCCCGAGAAGCCGAAGATAAGCTAAATACTTAACTGTTACCCTAGGAGGCATGGATTCAATATAAGGTAACATATAAGCCCACCAACAACTTTAGTACATTGATCTCATTAACGAGTTTTCACCACCAAGGTCATTCAGTGGTACCCTATTGAAGTTTTGCTGCGCCGCAGGTTTGCCATCCCCCCCCCACCGGGGCCGTTTATGAGAACAGTGTTCGAAGTGGCGCATGTTGGGATGCGGATGTATTTTCGGTGATGTTAGTATTTCGCTGAGTCGCGTTCCCACTCATCACCATCATGTTTCGATTGTGACCCGTATTGAGGCCTGCGATACCGTAGCTCAACTCTGGATTTCTCGGATTGAATCTCCACGTTGACCCAATAAGCCCGAGCAGATTCAGGAATGATTTTCCCGGGCTTAACTTCAATTGACTCCACATCAATCAGTCTCTTCAAGGCCACAGTTGTCGCAGATACCCAGTAGTCATCCCCTGGTCGCTTGTGCATTATAGAACACATGTCACGACGGACCTTCTCATCGCGACATTTGGCCGCAGACCACAAGAGCGCAGGCAGAACTGAGTACCTGTAACTGAACGGCGAAAATTCAGTCTCACTTGAGCCCGTAGCTGAGTCTGCCAGAATCCGTGCAATATCTGTGATATGCTGGAACTGCTCCAAGTGATCATCATAAGCCATCTCATCTGGATTTGGGCTCTCGGCGACAGCCAGCTTGATCTCGATGATACCGATCCATAATGAGCAGGCTTTGAGGTTATCGCAGTCCTCTGGCGCAAGACCACCCAGTTCGACGAGGGTGCCCGTGAGACGACTTCTACAGAGTCGAAGCTTGGTCAAAACTGCTGCCGCGCCGCGGCCGACGGAGCTTGCTGGTCCAATCTCAAACTCGCAGGTGGTGCAATTCAGTATTAAATCCGAGACGAGGAATCTGAATTTTTGGACGCTATCCATCTGATCAACACCCGAAACGAGATGTGGAGTAATCTTTGATGGAGCGGCTGTAGTGTTCGGGCATATCCAATTCTCGCCATCAGGAAGTTCAGAACCCTCGACGAATATCTCGGGATGAGAGCAGAAAAACCAGTGAACGTGGATCTGTGCAAAAGCCTGTCCCAGGGCCACCCCAGTAAAATCTTTATCTTCCTGAATATTCCATTCTTTGAAAACCTTATAACCGGAGACAAGATGGTTGCGAGCAGAAAAGAGATCTCCTTGGAATAGAGCAAGCACGGTAAAAGCCAAGCATGTCACTAGCATTACTTTCTTGTGGGTGCGGCTTGAGCTGTGTGGAGTTAGAATTTCCCGAGCGAGAATTTCCCGGAGGCAAGCAATGGCTTTCGTAGAATGACGAAGAGCTAGATAAGAATCTGGGTGTTCTTTTTGGCTTGCTGGAATTCGTTCCAAGTGGGTATGCCATGCACTCATAGCAATTACAGCATGACGGACGGCAGGATGATTTTCGCACATTTGGAGAACCAATTCGTACCAGAAAGAATTCTGGAAGTAATGCGAAAATCGTATCGCTGTGTGGTTTCGGTAGAAATCCAGAAGCCATCGCTCGTTCCAGGTGAGGTCGATCTGACAGGCACTGGCCAAAGGCAGAGGAATGGCAGTGACCGATGGCCGGACTTTTGAGCGATATCCTAATTGCAGAGCTACATTATTGTGATTGTTGGTGGAGCCTCTGACTTTGAAGTCACGCCACTCGCGCGTCCTCCTATCGATGACTTGTTCATAACCATCGCATTCCCTGCCTGTGCTCGTACATCTAAGACAAGCGGGATGCGTTTCGTCGCATTTCTTATGTCGTATCCTTTACAGCGTTTAGTTCCCGCATAAGTTCACATATATGGGGAACTCACTTGCACGTTCCACATCCTGAGCGCGATTTTGAGTGCTGTGATCTTTTTCGCGTTGAGTTCTCACACATTCTGCTTGCAAACAATGGAAAGATCTGTATAACATCTAACTCGGTTGCAGCCTTCCAAAATTCTGTGTAATGAGGACGGGTACAGGATTGGCGATATGTCACCGAGGATTTCGTATAGAGAGTTGGGACAATAGGGGAGTGGGGGCTAGTGTATATTTATCCATCGTGTCTTGGACCACGTGATAAGATATCATCACGTGCGGTTTATCACCCATCGGAAAAATATATATGTACTAAACGAACTCCTTGCGATTTTCTCTATTTAACAATCAATATTGAAGTAAAGGCTCGGGAAATCTAGCACGCAGAATTAGCGAAGCTCAGTAGCTCTGCTTATGTCGTGACAAAAAGGCCGGTTGCTTCTGTTGAGATTCATGAGACTAACATAATCTGACGAACTGAGAGAGTGGTCAAATACCACTAGGACCCTTTGGGACAGGCTTATTCATCGTTCACCCAATTCCCCTAGTTAGTATTTGTACGGTATGTCGAACTGAGGGGTGGTATTTTACCACTAAGGACAGGGTTATTCATCAAGTACCCATTCTCTCTTTGTCTCTGTATGGTAAACGGGGTACGCTCGGCATACCAGCGTCGTAACACGCTAGGAACGACTCCTGAGATCTGATAACGCTTCAACAGCAAGATCCAGATGGAACAACAATCAATGCATCTCAATGGGACACCTCAATACTAGCACATACCAGTATCCGTCAATCCGACAGAGTCTAAAAATGCCACTGGTAGTGTCAGTGGTTGATTACCACTAGAGCCCGTTTCGGTGAGGATCTACAGAAGAGGAGCTTACTTAGAAGCAAGCCCCTGAGTCCGACGATGTATGGATGTACTTAGAGGGAACCGCTGTTTAGTGATAATCCATTGCTACGTACGAGACCTTACCCATTGAACCATCGACGACACTATCTTCATCCGGGGCTTTCCAACTCAAACCCTCATTCTCACTCCTTCGCAGACTCTAATAACACCTTCTTACCAGACACAGCCGGCGAAACTTCACCAGGGAACGGCTTCCGCGCCCAAACACGACGACTAAGGTTAATCAGCGACATCACAACAGAAAAAGGTAAAGAACTTACGCGCGCTCATAGATATGATAGCGTGGATTCTTCAGCTCGGCCCTCAACTTGGCAACATAAACAGTAACCTCATCTTGAGACCAAGGGTACGGAGCACCAAATTTCGTAAGCAACCACATAGCCCAGCCCTCTATGCCGGACATCCAATGCTGATGATTGACGGTACCGGCCTCCTTATACTTCTGATCACGAGCCCATGGTCCAATGGGCCACTTGTACTCTTTTTCATGAACCTCGATGAATCCCGCAGTACGGAATGCGTCTTGCATCATGTCGATCGTTTCGAGGGGTCGACCTGCTCGCTTACCGCATGCCGACAGGGCAGGACCCCAGGTACGCAGGATGTTATCATCCGGTAGGCTACCGTCATCGCATTCGATGTACGGGCTTGCTTCAAGTTGTTCGATCCAGCCGCCTGGGCGGAGGTTCCTATGAACTTCTCAGATATTTGAAGCTTAAGTCAACTTGGGGGCTTACTTGTAGCATTGCTTGTAGACGCGGTCCCACTCCGTCGGGTCAAAGGATCCGATCATGATGCGCATATGAATAAGGTCTTGCGGTTCGCCCCAGGTCCAGTCTTCTGCGATGTTGTCGACTTCTAAAATGCAGTTTGGTGGCATCCAGGTTACGGGCGGTGGGAAGAGGTCGACTCCGCGAGCCGTGGCTGAGATCTGGTCAATTATTTGATGCAGGTAGCGGGGTCTAAGCGGACTCACCCATCGGAAACATATCGGCAACATCTCTGGAAACATATTAGTCTGGATCTTTGCGATAGCTGAAAAGCAAATCTGAAGGTATGTTTTATTCACGTACATGGCCCAGTTACCCTGACCCGTTCCAAGGTCGAGGATATGGTTTGGGTGCTCTCCAATTGGCGAATGGAAGAGCGGGTTTTCTCTGTCCGAGTCCATGACAAGGGCGACCAAATGCCTGCAATAGTCAATTTCCGCGATGAACATGAGACGAGTACGCATACCCAGCTTCGTAAGTATTGAACTGCTTTTCGTCCGATGGAATGCTGATCAAACGTAAGTAGCGATCCCTCGAGCAGAAATTCGCGCATACAGGTATTCTTTGTGGCTCAATGTTTGGTAACTAAAAGAGTATGAGCTATGAACGCCACCGATTATGAAGAACGCCTATCGACGACCATTTTCTAGCAGTCCGCGATAAATAGAGGACCCGATCGAAGTGGTTTCCCTGACATTGTGAGAGTTGCGACTTGCGATTCTGGAAATACTTACGATTGCCAGTCATCGCCGTAGACGGTGGGGACATAGACATTGGGATCCTGTTCACATATCTAGAATTAGAGACATAACACAACACGAGGAAAACACACAACAGCGATTTCTCCCTGTTCCTTAATATTGTGTGGCTCCGTCATTGTCGAATTTCTATTCGTACAAAATAGATCGAACAAGGGTATTCACCTAGGGGGACTGAAGAGTTATTTATCACTTATCTATGCAATCGGCTGTGTGTCCGCAGTTGTGAGCAATGATGAGTTGGGTGGGATGAGACGAACGGATGGTTGCAGACCCACCTCCTTACACGTGAAAAGGGTCAAACGTCGTGTCAACAGCGAAGGAAGGTAAATGGTCGATTAAGTGACAGGTTTCCTAGCCGCGAGACTAGATTGAGGTGCGAGGGCGGGGATATGGCGTTCGTCTTTTGGTTTTGTTCACCTTCATTAGTTAATGTTGGCTGACATGAACCCCACTTTCGTACTGTCGATGCAAACTTCGAGAAAATATTAACTCAAAAGTGCAAAAATAACGAACTTGTTGAATTGCTTACTATGGTTGGTCGGGGAACAAATGGTACATTCCGTAAGTCCCACTTGGCCGCAGCACTCTAGCAAATCAGTGGCTCCGCTCCATTGGACGGTATGGCCTGAAACCTTTATGGGCAGCTCCTCTTTTCGACGCCGTTAGCCCAATTATTACGAAATGCTTTGTGTTTCTTCTGAATAAAGTGGAAACCAAAATTAATATTTGTAAACAAGACATCGAACATAAGCAGGCCTCTTTACCTCCCATTTTGTACGTATGCCCATGACCACACACGGTAGGGGTGTGAAACATGCAAAAAAACAGAGGTCCTCAATTAGCACACCCAAATGGCCCCTCAATGAGATGATGCAACTTATCAAGTCTGCCGTCGCTCCACTATGTGACCATGTGACCTGGCAGATGGTGCGTTGATTATTGTCGCGAAAAGAGGGCTACGCTCGATCGGATGTGAACGTCCAAATTGAAACATTTGTGGGGAGTCCTATCGCCGGATCGGAGATAGACCAAGGCTTACTCCATTTCTGTCCCTTGAGATCGAAGCGTGGCGAACGAGGTGTGAATGGTTTCATTAGTGGGCTTCAAAAAGGAAGAATTTGAAATCTGAATCATCAGAACGGTCTAAACATCGACACTTTTATTGTGTGAATAGATGTCTGGAAGTGAACAGAGAGGTGGCGTTTGCATGCTCAGGCCAGGGGGCTTACATCCCTCTGCAGTGGACCCGGTAGTTTTTATGCCCTGTTCCTAGCGTTGTTGAATAGAACAGTGTAATTTGCAGTAAAAATTCCCGGAAGCTAGACAGTGGACCGGCTCATATCACAAGGTCATGCACTGACGAATAAAGAGCGAAACTAGATTAACGATGATATCTTAACAAGCTCATTTTCGTATGAAGTTGCCGGTGTACAGCCCAATCACGCCTAGATTAGCGCGTTGCCAGTCGGGGTTTGTAGAGTAAGGAAGGCCTGTTGTACGACAGAACGCTGTGCTAAAGCTTTGGGACAATATGCCTTTGATTTCTCCTAGCAGGTCTGGTTTAATGTAATCCACATTATCCACCGAGCTGGCAGGGACCTCGAAATCTATATGTGCATGTGCATGTAGAGTGACCTATAACACACTTCATCACTGCACATTTCATCCTAGAGGATTTCGGCTCTGGCTTTAGGGGCCGACACGAATACATATTCGTAACATTTTTAGATGTATGCATTCGCATTTCTAGTTCCCAAACCTCTACCAATATTCTTACGAATATTGCCTCGTCGCCAAGACCAATTTTCACCCAATAAGAGAAAATATATCACGTGCGATTTTTTATTAGTGAAATGTCGGTTCCGAATCTGACAAGTGTATTCAAGGACGTGTTTCGATGACGGCAATAGAGCTCAGAATGTCTGGCGCCGAGTTGCAAGCTTCAAACAATGATGACTCCGGCAGCTCATCTGTCAAATTGCCACCACGCCCCCAACGGTCTCGAAAAATAGACTACTACTTCTTGAATGGTGGAACTGACGAAGGCGGTATTGAAGATCATATCAGAAAGAACTACAGACTGGATTCGCCACCTGGTCGCTTAGAATCGATTGGTCCTGAAGACTCCGCCAGTCAGCTGCATCTCACTCTACCTACTCCTTCGAAATCTCTTCCATCAGGGGGCTCTAGATGCTTTACAGAGGCCATACGGCCATACAGATCGCACAGCAGATCTTGCATTAAGCCATTGAATCAATGGCTTTGGAATCAATTTCGAGTAAGTCCTCTTCCGGGCAAGCAATGGCGATCCAGACGAAGCCGACAGCTGCTCGAGGATCGAGAGATTCAATGCATTCATTGTGGCTGAAAAACCACAGATTCGGCGAAGGCAATAGCGAGGACGAACATGAAGATGCACTTAGCCACACACAACACTTTCGAGAAGTCCGATCCAAAGGACCTGGTTGAGGGTTCCAAGACGAAACACCACCCAATTGCTTCAATGTTCCAATCCCGAGCCGAGCATGATACTAGAGCTCTGTTGGAACAGAACATATTTCGAAGGGTTGTGACAGATGATGTGGCATTACGGCAATTCTAGCTACAGCTAAACTTCATCAAGTCTTCCTTAGTGGTCCTTACGAGTTCCCCAAAGTCCATAATCTCTAGAAAATAGAGCCCTAAAACATCATGGACTGACTGGTCATGACATCCGGTGCACTCATCATCAACAACACCAGTATAAACCTTCTCTTTATAATCTATATGTGGATGGTTCTTCCACATTCGGCTGTTTTGATAGTACCCTGTGGCAATGCAATAACGAAGCCGCGCTCCCCTTGGTCGCTCCGCATGAGATGGGCGAACATGCAATACAATTTATAGCAGAGGCCATGGTAAATAATCAAATTCAAACATCTATCTCTAATTGATCACTTCCGTTCGTCCAAATGCTTCGAAACCGAAGGGACGCGCATAAGTAAAGAGTTAACACATGGCAAGTTGGAAGAGAAGAATTGAATCAATGGTTTGTCCGGGCGAACTTGGTCACTGTCTCGGCGCGATGACGCTCAAGATCCACTAAACATTGTCAAATTGTCAGCTTCTGTTAGCGTTTGGAGGCGATCGCTGAAATAGTGGGCTTGTGTACAGGTCTTTTCCGGCTTTTCTAGATCGTCTATACCCTGGCCCCCTAGTCTCTGGCCCGTCGGATCCTTGTCTACCGCTTCGGAAATCTTCGTCTTCGTATCCTCGTCAATCGGTGGTGGCGGCTCCGTCAGATTACCAAACGAGACGCCGACTTTTAGAGTTTCAGCACAGTCTTGGCCAAGCGGGACTCAAGTAGGTACATACTTGGATTATGAGAGGCGGAGTCCTGAGCCATCGCATTAAGTGATAAGATCTGGACTGAAAAAATGTACTGCTGGAATTAAAGTGGAGTGGCCTTCGAATATATACTGCCATGAAGCCTTTTTGATAAGAGTGACGCCATTCATACAGTAAACCTGATTTGAGGTTCAGCGGGCTTCGGCGGGAACCGCCATATGTACAGTAGCTGTATCTGTCTGCATCTAGAAGGCTGTGCCGATTAGCAACACAAAGGGACATATCACTAGTAAATAATCAGCCTATTGCAATATTGCTACCATCACCTTTCTTCTCTTCAGGATTTCTGGGCTGAAGAAAAGAAAGCAAGAGAAGTTCCTATCATCACAAACCGCCCGATCGAAAGCTAAAAGCCAGTTACGAGAACGAAATCAAAAGTCAGGGAAGAGTCGTTACCCTAAAGCTGTCAGGTCAAATCATGTATGACTATTTCGGAACCCACCGATATCGACATTTGAAGCCGATTAAGAATACCTGATATTTCTGACGTAAGTCCTAGTAGGCTCATTGCTTCCACCCAGTGCAAAAATTGCACCTGGAGCAACAAGTAAGCATTGTGCATCATGGCAGACAATTCCGCACATTGTACCAGATGATGTGCCCAGTATCGACAGGCGTATTTCATTTCAGGAAGAATATAATGCTGAATCGAACCATTGCTAGTTTCATTCCTTTGTATGACTTAGCTTGCCAGCTTGCAGATGTTTTTCTCTAGGCTGTCGTGGAGTATCTGACGGCATCGTTCTGCAGGACGCTGGTTTGTATATTTTTCATCGATCCAGAATTTCCTTTCGTCTTTTTGGTGATCCAAAAGAAAATTCCGGAATGACAGATGGAGAATCGTGACTGGTGTGTCGAAATTAGTAGAGTGGAGGTATCAGAACAAGAAATATGAGCCTTTCATTGCGGATTGAATAGTACTGCGGTCGGCTCAGTGCTTCAATTTTAGAGAAACGTGAATGATCCAACAGTCAGCGAACGTTTCTTGACCGACTCAGCATCCTGTCCCTCAACACGACTCTTGCTCGTCGCTCTCACCGAGCATCTAAAGGCATCAGAAATGTCGCTACAAATCATTGCTGGAAAAAGAAGAAATGGGTTTCAACAGGCCTCAATTAAGAGAGTTGTCCCTTAACGCGTTCTACCAACCAGAGCACTTGCGCAACAGAAGGAGCCGAGAAGGCTATGAATACGTCCTCTACCCCCGGAAATTTGCTTTACAATTTATTCACTTGACCACGCAAAGTCGAGCAGCCTCGTGTCTGAGGTAGTCGATAAGTTCTTCCCTTTTAATCAGAAGCAATATTTCCACTGTACTGACATGTTTAGAATACATCGTGGATCAGCAAGTCAGACAGTGCCTGCCTGCGAGAGATACAGGTATGATTCCCACCAGATGTACTTAGGCCTCGACATGGTCCGGAACCGGACCAACAATCCTGCAGGTTCTTCCCATTTCGCACCTGCTGGAACCTGGGGTGCATAAATCTGCCAAGAGATTTCCTATTTTGGACGCACACATTGCTGATTCATCCTTTTTTGTTACTGTTATTTCCATCTGTTTTAGTCCCGACCTCGATCAGTCTTCGAATGTAACTATCCTGTATATGAAAACATGTGAAATTGTCTCGTATATCAGATATTCGGCAATAAATATCATTAGACCTTCAAACTCCATCTTATTTTTACTCTTTGTGGGTAGGGAGATAGTGTACTATAGAGATAGAAGTATATGACAGGGAAACATATATGTTCTTCCAACGCAACCCCAACATTCTTATATAGGACTCTAAAATTTATACATACATACCTAGAATCTTGATCGAAGAAGCTAAGGCTAAACTCAAATGAAAGGGACAGCTCTAAGAAATATCCCTAGCTTTTTAAATTCAAATTGTCCCCTTGCAATAACTTATCTTGTGCCGCCTCAAGTATGTTAAACTGGCCGGTCGTCTCATTTATGCTGAAATCTTCGGTCGGCCAACTTCTGCGGTAATGCTACAACCTCCGGGTCTGCCGGGTACTGCCAGGTTAACCGCCAGATTCCGCGCAGTTCCACCTGGGAGGAACCTGAGAGAACCTGGCGGAGTGGGTTCTAGTAGCCAATTATCAAGCGTCCGGCAGTAGACCTAGTCTATATTCATATAGATATATCCACTTTGTCCATTCAGCTCGCGATCGCTATGTCCTACACTTTTCTATTAAAACCTGTCCTTGGTAGATATAGGGCTTTTTGTAAGTCTCTTCTCTTCATCTACTCTCCCTTATAACCACATTCTCTTATTCATTATGTCACAGAGTCAAATCTCTCAGTTTTCCGATCACTATTCTTCATCTATCTTCGAGGATACACCTCTAGAGAACCTCCCCTTCCTTCCATCCGATAGCGTCCAATCCTTCCCCCTGATGCTCTATACGGCAATACTTCTGGCTCTACACCTGATATCAGCTTTATCCAGTCCCAATCAGTATTACCGCCGAAGATCTTTGAGCACGTTGAACCTTTGAGAAAGAAGAGCTTTGTACTGTGGACGGAGATGGTGAACGATGAATTCGTTACATGGTGGTTAAAAACTGAGTTTGGTAGCCGCATTAACCGCAATCTCTTCGAGGATAAGCGTGGGGCACGAACAGCAGAGTGTTGGAAGCATATTCACCAAGTTGCTGCTATTTCAGACGGGGAACCGAGGGTTATGTGTAAGACATGCGATCATACCCTTACACACCCGGCAGATGGTCACCGAGGAACATCTTCTATGAATAAACACTACCAGGGGAGTGTTAAATGTCGAAAGAAGACGCCACAGTCAAAGGATATTCGGAAACTCATCCAAAAAGGAGTAAGTTGACAACTTTTGTTTCCTTATTAGACACATACCGATATCAGTTTACATTAGGCACATCTCGCACCGCAAAAGTCTGTCTTTACGAACGATGTCTGGATTGAGAGGATTCTCATTTTCCTGTCAAGCTTACAACCGCCATTCCAGCTTGTTGAACATCCCCAATTTCGCGCTCTAGTTGAAACAATTCGTCTTGCCCCAAGCATGCCAGAAATACCCACATCCATTACTATCCGTCGCCGGCTACAGGTAATCGTTGAAGAACGGCAGCAGGGTCTCCTTCAAACGCTAACTGAGGGTGGGAAGCTCTCTATTGCATTAGATTCCTGGACGTCACCCTTTCGCTGGGCATTTATGGCAGTTACTGGGTAGTTTATCGATCACGACTGGAACTACCGCGAGATACTACTTGGCTTTGAGCCTGTTCATGGGTCGCATACTGGCATTAATCTTGGCGCAGTTCTCTTTCCCCTACTGCAGAAGCATGAGATTGAGGATCGCGTGTTGACCGTTACTACTGATAATGCGTCTAATAGCTCAGCGCTGGTAATGAGTCATAAGGGATGTGTTCAGCGGCTCAAGCTACCAAGCAATATACCCATTATCCGCATGCCATGTATTGCACATGTTATTCAGCTTAGTCTGAAAGGGCTTCTTGGCCAGATGGAAGCTAATCCGAAGAATGAGAGAGAAGAGATGGATTTTACTGGAGGAACGGTATCCTCTCGCCGAGAGAATCACGAGATAATCTACACGTTGAATAAGGTAAGCTTATCTGTTACTAACCTTTTTGACTATCGTTACTAACAGACTTCTATCTACTAGGTCCGAAAGCTTGCTGTACACATCAACAGAAGTACCCCGCGCCGAGAGCATTTCTTGGGGCTCCAGACCAAAGAGCCAAAGCTTGTGCCGATGCAAGATGTCGAAACCCACTGGAACTCAACTTTTCTGATGCTCCGACGAGCGAAGCGGCTACAGTCAACATTTGATGATTTCTGCCGGGTATATAACCACGTGGATCTTCAACTGAGCGAAGAGGAATGGCGTCAGGTTGAATATCTTCTTCCAATCACCCAGCCATTGTTTAGCTTTACCAATGAGGTCTCAAATAGTAGGGATATCACTATCCATACCCTCTTTGGCATCTACAACGCCCTCTTTCCTCACCTGGAGAAGTCAAAGAGACAGCTAGTGCGAAAACGGGTCAATTGGAAGACTGCGATGCTTAGAGCACTTGTTTATGCAAGGAAGAAAGAAGGTTTCGCAGTATCACAGGGCGACAGATGACGTTGGCGACGATCTCTATCAGATTGCTACAATCATGGCGCCTCGGAATATGATTGAAATCTCCCAGAAGCCAGAGTGGGAGCCAAAGTGGGCTCCTCGATACCGCAAGAGCCTCGAGAAGTACCTTATCCCATACGAAAAGCGTTATTTGCAGTCCCACCCTATGCGTGATAGTGTATCTTCCGCAGCACAGGTCTCCAACCTAGAATGGATGGTATCAACCGCCCAATCTAGCGAGTCTCAGCCGAGCGTTGATGATGAGCTGAGGCGTTATCTAGGTAGTTGTAAGTAAACGCTTTATCTCTTACCTCATATATACTGACCTACTGGTAGGTACTCGTCTCATCAACCCACGTTTGTTCTGGAAGGACCATGAGAGTGAACTTCCTATCCTTGCAAGCCTCGCGCGAGATGTTCTTTCAACTCCTGCATCCGGTGCAGGTGTTGAGCGGTTGTTTAACTCTACTCGGGATATCTGTCACTTCCGTCGAGAATCACTCAAGCCAAAAACCATCCAAGATCTTATGATGATGATGTGTACAACTCGCTTTGACGTTGAATCAGAGAAGTGGGCCTTTATTGATGAGTATCTCTCTACACAAGAGATCCATGAGAAAAGCTCAGAAGGAGGAGGAGTTCGATTTGATTAGTGATGATGAAGAGGAAGAAGAGGATTCCACTGATGCAACATCTAAGCTCACCCAGCTAACTGGCGAGAGCATCCTTGGTAAGAGACCAAGAGTAGGAACAACGCCAACAGACCTACTTAGTACCCAGGCGCCGCCTATTCAACTAGAAGATGGGGATGGTGAAGATGAAGATGAGCCGCCTCTTCCAGAGAATAGCAGTACCCAAAGGCGTACAT